TATTTAAGGTATAAGTGTATATAAAATGTGGGTGTCATCTACATTTTAGTTTTGTTGTTGTTATTGTCGTTGTTGTTGATGTTGTTGATGTTGTTGTTGTTGTTGTAATGTTGTTAGTTTGCAGTTCTACGGCGTTTTAGCCCAAAGAGGCTATGTAGTCGTCGCGATAATGGTCTTGCCCTCTCGTGACTATTTGAATCTAGTGATCCTCAACTCTTTAAATCTTATTTAACATATAGATCGCCTTCAGAAATGATGAGGTTAGAAACACTGAAACAATCAAAAATTTTTAGAATAATCCACACATAAAATGTGTATATGTGGTGTGTACGTGTTTGTGTGTGTGTTTGTGCGTGCGTGTGTGCGTTGTATGAGTTAGTAGTTCGTGACGCTAGGTTTTGTCAGCGTATTGTTGAATAATTAAGTCTAACCAGTTCTGTGAAGACAGTTGCAGATGAGGAGAATGTTGCGTTGTAATATCTGCTCGAACGCTCGTGAACAATTAAACAGAAACAATTTTTTTTCTCTTTCACGCAATTGAGAAATCAGTGAAGCGTTTGTCAGTTGCGGATTGAGTAATTAGGAGGGCGGCTTGCCTGAAAGGGCGGTCTGCTTGTAACGATTTATCGAACGTTTAGTCGCCCTATTGAGAGGCTTGTGAACGCTCTCAATTGTCGCTACTGCTGCTACTACTGCTGCTGCAGCCGCCACTGGATTATGTAAGATTAAAGAAATGAGTGATTAAAGATTATTAATGAAAGGATGAATAGAGATTTTAAATGAGCATCTAATCGTGATGAATAAACTCTAGTCGGTGGTGGTGGGGAGTGAGTGAACGAATGGATGAAAAAAAAATTGGATGAGTGGATGAATGAATGAATGAATGAATGAATGAATGAATGAATGAATGAATGAATGAATGAATGAATGAATGAATGAATGAATGAATGAATGAATGAATGAATGAATGAATGAATGAATGAATGAATGAATGAATGAATGAATGAATGAATGAATGAATGAATGAATGAATGAACAAAATAACGAATGCTTCTACAACAACTGATACAACATCATGAACGAGTTTCGATTTTCGTTAGAAAGGATTATAAACACGTGTTTCACCCTATGTCCTTCTCTATGCAAAAAATTTTTACCGAAAATTTTTTTAATATTTTAAAATTCTTCCAAATATTTCCGAATATGTCTGCTCACGTTTGCGTATTAATCTAGATGCATCAGGATTGTTTCTAGACATGTATAATAATGATAATTATATCGAGCGGATTGGTCGAAACTAGAAGAATTAATATTCATGAGGAAGATGACGAATGGTTGGAAGGCTAATTTGGATGTTGGTTGATTAGAAGGATAGTTGATTGGGATGTTTGTTGATTGGTTGGATGGTTGGTTAGTCGGCTGGTTGGCTAGTTGGTTAGTTTGTTGGTTGTTTAATTGGTTGGCTGGCTGGTTGGTTAGTCGGCTGGTTGGCTAGTTGGTTAGTTCGCTGGTTGTTTAGTTGGTTGGTTGGTTGGTTGGTTTGTTGGCTGGTTGGCTAGTTAGTTGATTAAAATGTTTTTTGATGTATATGTTTATAAGATGATTACGATTTAAAAAAAAAACTCTCTTCATCACACTCAAAGCATCAAAATGTATGATTCGTTGTGATTTTCTTTTTCAAACATATGTGTGTGACCGTGTTTTCCTGTGTAAATTTCAGTTGTTTATTCGAGAAAACACAATAAGTCTCATTTGTATACGATTTTTGCCGAACCTCCATGTGATTGTGCGTCTGTCTGTTCGCGTGTGGTGATATATCTGTATTTCTGTATTTCTCTGTGACAACTTAAATTATTTTTTCTACGAACTGAACATATTTTTTCTGTTTTTTCTGTATTGTGAAAATAGTTTTCTTTTAAAGTGTGTGTTTGTATATTTGTGTTTGGTTGGCTGGTTGGTTGGCTGGTTGTGTTTGTGTTTGTTTGTACATTATTGTGTGTGTGTATAATCGTATAACCGCATGTTCATTTTTTGTCCGTATGTGTGAATGTATGTTTGCGGATTTGGTTGTTTAATTGTTTGCACGTTTGCGTTTGTTCGTGCCTGGTGAACTGGTGAACATAAGAGGCAAACGCTTGATAAAAGTTCCATTGTCATGCGTCCATACGAAAATGATAGGTAATTGAAATTTTGACTGAGATCATCTTATGTGATGATTCACATCTCAAATATGTGCGCTGAGTGTTTAAGTGTGGTGTGTCTGTGTGTGTGTGTGTGTGTGTGTGTGTGTGTGTGTGTGTGTGTGTGTGTGTGTGTGTGTGTGTGGGTTTGTGTCAGCAGTAGTTACTATCTGAATATTTAAATCTCTACGTATTTTATGTATATTTAGTTTATTGGCTATTCGATTTTAATTGATTTATCATTTTCAAATTCTCTTCAAGTAGTATAGAAAAATAATTTTTTTTGTATTATAGTTAAAAAAAACATTCGCTCGGATGAATGTTTTTAAAATTTTTTAAAATTTTAAATATTAATCTCAACAAATAACAATCTCTACTATATTGTCATAATTCTCGTAAGTTTTCTAGTTGGCTCTAATTTATTTTACACAATTTCGCAAAACAGCCACAACTTTTCAACCGCTGTTGTTCAAACTGCCAAAGTACCAAACGCAACACCTCAAAACTTTCCCAGCAATCACAACGACACCCAGACAAACGAACGAATGACTCCACAGTACCTATGTAGAACACATCGCTTTCAACAAAAAACAACAACAACATCAACAAATATTTTTGCCATTCATAACATTAACAAAAAACGTCACCAAATAAACCACATCAACAGCAGTAGCAGTAGTAGTAGTAGTGGTAGTAGTAGTAGTGGTTGTAATTGTAGTAGCAGTAGTAGTAATTGTGGTAGTAAGAGTAGTAGCAGTAAAAGTATTAGTAGTATTATTAGTAGCAGTTGTAGTGGTGGTAGTTGTAGTAGGAATGCGAATGAAGATATATTTATTATTCATTGGTGTTTAACCTGGCATGCACCCCTTCACGTCATCGTCGACGTATGCTCTGACGTCATAATTTGGATCTACTCGACTAACGTGATGATGATGGTGACGAAAATGACAAGGAAGGCGATGATGATGATGATGATGATGATGATGAATGACAAAGGTTTTTGTTTTTTTTTTGATGATGATGATTACGATTATGGTGATGACAATAACGAGGATTGTTATCATCACCGCCATTCAACGTCAACTTCAAAATTACAGCTATCATCATCAACATTTTCTTCTATCTTTTGTGCACTTTTGTGTTCTGAGTTTTGAAATGGTGGGCAAGTTAGCCAAAACTGTATGAATGTCATCGCTGTATTACGCTCTGACTGGGTTCAAATACAGTCTGTCCGTTTCTCAACGACTTATCTGTATGATATGTGTTGTACGCACACGAAATACAAGGCTTCGTTGACTGTATGTCATTGTAACAGTTTCTTTGTTCACCAGACTCGGATTTTTTAATGAATAATTAAAAAATTTGTGCAAATTTGAATTCAAGTTGTGTTGTCTGGATTTTTGGACTTAGATTTTGGAGCAGAAGTTGAATGATGAATTGAATGAGTGAGACAGTACATGTGGGGCATACATTGTGTTTTTCATTTTTATTCCATTCATATATGCATGACGTGAAATTTTATTTTGTTTTTCAACTACTTCAAGATGAGACATTTGTTACATTGGAAACTTTATGTTTATCTGTATGAACTTCTGTCTGCACTTTTTGCACGTACGTGTGTATGTATGTGTGTGTACAGTGTTCGGTGTATGTGCGCAACGTACGTTAGCATCTCTACGAAGAATGAATGTTTGTACACGTGTTCATGCATACAATGAAGCCGATGTTTGTGAACATGTTCGTCTTGTTCGTCCTAGTTTTTTCTCATGTTTGTAATTTAATACGCTCAACACTTCTTATTTGTTATCTGCGATTCTGTGTTACATTTTTTCTGTATTGATATTCAACCATTTTTTATTTCGCATAATTATTAAACAGTTTACAAACTCCTCTCAACATCAGCTCAACAGTAAGTTGGTATAGGTATATTATGTCAATTAGAAGCAAACAACCGAACTGTGAAAAGTTTTTGTAGGTAATGAGGCTGTATTTATTTATCCAATTGATCAAATTAAAATTAGACACAATATATTACGCTATACTGACACAATTTCAAAATACTACTTCAATAAAACTATACATAGCTCACAATCATGATTGTATAGACAAATACATTCATATAAACATACACAACTCGCGCGCGCACACACACACACACACACACACACATGTACACACAAACACACACACATGTACACACAAACACACACGAACGCACGCACGCACACACACACAAAAGCCGACAAGTCAGCAGTGATGTGATGAAGCAAATATGACATATGTATGCAAGCATCTTTCAAATTCAAATTCATCTCGTCCATACATTAGCAGCCTAATCCCATCTTTGAAAAATTGTTCCTACTGCTACCTTGCTACCACTACTACTACCACTACTACTACTACTACTACTTCTACTACTACTGCTACTACCACTACTACTACTTGTGTATGCGCTGTTGTGGTTATTTTTACTAATACTACATGAACCAAACAATTCTAAAAGTCTTGCAAAACCTCATATTAGAACTACAGCAGCTGACATTACCATTTATATTATTAATACTTATTTTTCTTGTTACAGCTACTATTTAGCTACTTTACTACTACTGTTAAAATATTTTCAAATTATTTGAAATAAATTATTTCAAACATCTATTTATACAAAATAACTTAAATCATTAGAACGAATTTCTTTTGTTGAACAGCCTGCAAGGTGAGAGAACACGAAGTCATCCAACAAAACCACCACCCCAGCCACCAACAGCAGCAGCATTCCCATCAAATGAGCCACAACAACAACAACAACACAAGACCGTCCAGTTGTTCATCGTCGTCTCATCACGCATCCAACAACAACAACAGCAACGCAAACAACAACAACAGCAACAAAAAACCGCGGCTCGTCTTCACGGACATTCAACGCCGCACACTGCTGGCGATCTTCCGCGAGACACGTCGTCCCAACAAAGAGATGCAAGCGACCATCGCCGACCAACTCGGTCTCAAAGTTTCAACTGTGGCCAACTTTTTCATGAACGCCAGACGCCGATCTCTCGACAAATACACCGACGACGACGCCCGGCAGACGTTTGCCGACGTGTCTGCCATGGAAAGATCGGTGTCTGTGGCGGGTGGAGGAGGTGGGCTGAAGTTTGCTGGTGGGCCAGAAAGTTGCGTTGGGGGTGGAAACATGTCGGGCTGCGTCAACGGAGCGTTCCAGCTGCAACATCCGGGCAGCGGTGGGGGTCCACCTCACTTGCAGCAACTCCACAATCATCATCATCACCAGCAGCAGCAGCAACAGCAGCAGCAACGCCAACTATCTCTAAATCCACAGCTGCCACCGCACAACAACATCCCATTCCATCACTTGCACGCCCGGGATCTGGACTTCTGAAAAGGATCAGACGCAGACAAGACACACACACACACTTACACAAATACACACATACACACACACATACACACACATACATACACACAAACATACATACATACACACAAGCACGCACACACGCACAGTGATTTCAATCTTGCAATAAATACACCCAAGAAATTACTTACCATGTAGTGGAAGATGTACCAATCACAACAGCGCTACATGCTGCGGTTACCCTAAATAAAATGAAACATGATTGTAAATTGAAAAAACCACAAACAATATACATTCATTCACACATTCATTCGTTCGTTCGTTCGTTCATTCATTCGTTCGTTCGTTCGTTCATTCATTCATTCATTCATTCGTTCGTTCGTTCGTTCGTTCGTTCGTTCATTCGTTTATTCATTCATTCATTCAATCAATCTTTCATTCATTTATTTTTCTATATATTTATATGTACCTTGTTTTGTGAGAAATACAAACGAAGAAGAAAAAAGACAATGATGTTATTGAAACATTTGAAACTTTTCTTCATCATATTTTATTTCAACCTATTCAATATTAATACGTACGTATCGCAACTTAAAATATTCTCAACGATGTACAAACAATTATCTAAATAACAATGCACGCAAAAGTAAACAGAGCTCACATTGTTTCTACATCAAAAACCGAATAGACATTATTCCATTTGCATCTCGTATTCATTGTTGTTTATTTGATTTATTTATTTATTAATTATCATAATTTAATTATCATTAATATTTAATTAAGTGTTAATTTTATAACTATTAACCGATTGTTATACTAATTTGGTTATTTTCTTGGTCTCAGTCAAATTTCAAAATAAAAACTTTTTAAAATTTTTAGCCCGCCGTCAACATTTGCCTCCAACTGAATAACGTAAGTTTTAAACTTTCTCTTTTTCTAAAGTTGTTGTGCATGTAAACATCACAACCTCGACTTTCAATCCATCCACATATTTAAAGTGTGTGTGTGTGAATGTGTATGTGTGTGTGTGTATGTGTGTGTGTGTGTGTGTAGTGTGCGTATAGAATGTCACTAAGCTTTTCCAAACCATTTTAAGCCTCCACCTTCCTGCTAATTTTTTACCCCCCAACTGTCCTTATAACTTATAACCCAACTGCCCTTATTAAGCTATCAGGAGACATTCCATTGTCTTTCCATGAAATCATTCCACATTTTTCCAGGCGTCAAGTAATATATATACATATTCAGGAATATATGTACAGTGTGGTTTATTCAAATTGTAAATGATTTTTGTTTGTTAATAATTGTTAGATACTTGTATAGTTGGTTTTAATTTCTTTGGAGTCATAAAGTTTTTTATCAGACGTCTTTTTTTATTTTTGACACCAGCCACACTTTTCAAAAGTGCAAATTGAACGTGAAATTGTTAACGAATAAATCCTGTCGTCATCATGTGTCGAGATTACTTTTAACTCTAATGTCAATTTTTAACTTATTTTACCCAAAATATATGTATTATTTTTAGAAATTATGTTTTCTAAGGTTCATTATTAAATCATATTTTTAAATTTATCAACTAAATTAATTAAAAGTACCACTATAAATTTTGTACTACAAAAGACTGTGTATGCACGTTGTATGTGTACTTGCATTTATGCAGTATACAATTGTATGTGTGCTGTATGTGTTTTAATTTATTCTGAATGTGGACTGTAAAAGTTGTCAACTAAACATAAGCATTTGTCTTTGGACGTATTTTTGTCTTTTTGTCTATCAGAAACACGCACGCACAAACGCACACACGCACACGCATACACACGCACACACATGCACACACACGCACACACACCCGAAACACCCATTTTATAGTTTGTTGTAAAAGAAAAAGTCAGATGCACTTAAAGCAGTAATCTAAAATCTACTGTAAATACTGTATAGTCAAAGGTTTGGATGTGTGTTCTTTTATGTCTTTACGTACTCTACTACAACATTTGTATGTGTGTGTGTGTGTGTTTATGGTGTTTGTGTGTATGCGTGTGCGTGTGATGGGTGTGTGTGATCTGAAGAATAATTCAGCGGTTATTAACAGTGAACTTGTTGAATAAAACTTTTGAATGAAGCAAATGACAACCGTGAACTGGCAAGTATGGTACGCAATAACTTGAGTCCAAATCACTCATTTATATTTTTCAAGATGCAATAAATTATTTTATCAATTGTTCGTTTGCTCGTTCGTTTGACAAATATTTCTACACGCTGTTGCATATTCTAAAAGTTAATTTTAAGCACATATATACAGACTCTCAAACATTCAAACTCACACACCAACACACACCCCACACTCACACACACACACACACACACACATATATAAATAAAATATATATCTATTTTTCATTCTGTAATTACTTCCTTCAATTTGTACATTTTGTTACTCAAAATTGACATTTTAAACTTCAAACCAGCACATTGGCTGCCAAAACGCGAAGACGACCTTGGCTGTGTGGCTTGTGGTTGCAAGCATCATTTCTCTTTTTCCATTATTTGTTGTTATTCATCTTTTTGCCATTTTATTTAGTTTTTTTTTCATATTTTCATATTTTAATTTTAAAATAAATTGTTCAATAAAATTTTTTTTTACAGAAAAAAAACAACATTGTTTTTTTTAATATTTTATTACTATTTCATCCTTACTTTAACTATTAGGATTACAATAAATAAAAAAACTGAAATCTCTTTTTAAAAAAAAACTATTTCAAATTTTCTTGTCGATAAAAAATTAAATACAAGCAATAGAATACAGAAATTTATTTAGAGACTTGAACGCAAACAGAAAAATATGAAGAAAAAAGTAGTAGATCGATTGAAATTATCAATCGCCGTCAAGATGAAACCTGTGTGCTTTTATGAGGAGAATGCTTGTGAGCATAAGCTGCTAGAGACCCATCCTGTCGGTAAATATAACAAAAAACAACTGAAAAAATTGGCAAAATGATAAGAAGATATTTTTTTCAAATAATAAATTAGATTGCACATACTTGAACGGTGGAGTAGCAAGGAATGTGATAGCCTGGGCGGGCTGTTGTCCCAGATGACCTCCTGACCCCATTCCAGAGGACAAATTTCCAAGTACTCAAGCCAAAAGCATCAGCGTTTTGCCACGTCAATAGTTAATAATATCATCAACTTCATCCACACCACAAAAACCAACTTTTTTCCTCCTCTCTTTAAATGTTTTTTTTATAATTAATGAAAATTCCATCAATTTCTTTTGTCATATAACTAAAAATTTGGTGAATTTGCTATGTAGGAAGTGCAGAGTGTAGGTCAGGGTCGGTATGTTTTTTGTAAAATTTATTTTCTATAAAATTTTTGTTGCTGAATGAAATTTCGTTTAGTTTAGTTTGGTTTCGTTGAGGTTTTAAGCTTACTTGCAGTACAAACACACCGGCCACAATGACTAATTACAATTAATAAGTACTAACTAAAAGGCACTCAAATAAACAACAATTTTTAAAATATGTATCGAATGTATTTGAAATTTAAACGTGTTTATATATCTTCTTCAAATATTCTCCAAATGATGATATTCTACGGAGTGATGTTAAGAGACATATTGTTTTGTTTCTTTCAAAGAGCTCACAAAATTGTTAACAGTTTGTTTATGAAAACTTGTTTCACATGTAGAACCTGAATCAAAGCCCTTTCTTAAAATATACATTTAATTCCGAACAATGAAAAATATTTCGCTCTCTATGGATGAAGAAACATCTTTAATCACACACACATACACACAACACACACACAAACACACACACACACGCACACACACACGTACGCACACACCACATACACTCCATCAGTTCACACGCCTAACAGTAAAGAATCGCTCCACGTGATTTATTGTTGAATTAATGCATCCAGCCAGCTAATCAGGGCGACAGTTGACCAAATCTTGACCATAACGACACCTTGGAGACCTTCAAACGTACCGTGCTCATTACCGGCCACTAGGCATGTTTAGTTGCCTACATATTCATTATGTATGTATGTATGTATGTATGTATGTATGTATGTATGTATGTATGTATGTATGTATGTATGTATGTATGTATGTATGTGTGTGTATATGTATGTATGTATGTATGTATGTATGTATGTATGTATGTATGTATGTATGTATGTATGTATGTATGTATGTATGTATGAATGAATGAATGTATGTATGTATGTATGTATGTATGTATGTATGTATGTATGTATGTATGTATGTATGTATGTATGTGTGTGTGTGTGTATGTTAAAACCAAAACATGATGAGTGACACTGAACCGTCAAACATCAAGTAACAAATGGATTAACACTTTGATTTGTCGTTAATTGCACATGTCGGCATTCAGTTGGATATTTTCAAGCACACAGACACGCAGGAACCGCTGCAACAAGCACGAAATGTGGTTAGTTACGAAAAACAGTTCCCTGCTGTCGCCTGATCTGACGCTGATCATTTTACATATTGCCTTAAGAAATTTTAGGGTGTTGGTGTCCATCGGGCCGAGAACCTCGATACATATTGGCAAGAATTCCATCGAGGGGAGGGCGTTCCCATATTTTTTCATTTTCTCGTCCGCTGCCCTGACCGCGGCCAAACCGCATTCATTATTTGTCAGGTTTACATATCGTTCGGCGAGGGTGCCAGGGACCGTAACATCCCACGCCAAACATCTGCCGGCTCTCCTAGGTATTAGTGTGCATCCGTCCGGGCGCCTACCATCATGCGCAGAAATGCCGGATGGTTCCTTGAGAACCGGGATTGAAGCCTTGGAGAAGAGCCGACAAATGTATTCGTTTAGCGCTGAGTGACGTAGTTGACGGCCCCCACCCAGGCGACAAACCAAACCGTGGTGCCTAAACTCGTCCGCCCCAGCGACACATCGGCACGTGTTTGGATGTACGCAGGAAGTACATCAATTTGAGCAAATTGAGGGCATTGCGGATAATAGTCAAGGCATCATGGGCCGAAAGACAGGAAACACGACCCAAGGCGAATTTAAGCTCAGAGAGCTTTTGGTCAAAAAACTTTATTTGATAATCGCCCTCGACCAAGGGTGTGAATAAAAAACTCAGTTCTGATGAAACAACTCTGGGTATTCCAGCCAGCGCATGTGGCACCTGAAATAAACTTTGGCAGTGAAGTTTGCATTTTTTAATGTTTAACTCTAAACCAATTGCAGCGGAGTTATGCTTCAAATATTCGTAGCTATCGGCCAGAGTTGGGCCGTCCGAAGCAATGCTGATATCATCCAGATAAGCGCAAACGAAAGTGGACGAAGCTTTTTCTAAGAGTGGATGAAGAGTTAGTGCGAGCAGCAAAGGACCAAGGGGATTACCCTGCTGTACCCCCTCGGACGATTCTACAACCCAAGAGTGGTAGCCAAGAGAAGAGACTCCGCCATAGGCAGAATGGCAAAAATTATAGATATTGGGGCAAAAGGTTTGACAGCCTCCAACATCTAGTCTCTTCTCAAGACATTGAAGGCATTTTTAAAGTCCAGTTTCAGAAACCCCCATTGATCGGGGAGGTCGGTGACCAATCTTCGAACCGCATGAACAGCGGCCTCAGCGCCACCCTTAATCCCGACACCCAACTGAGTCGGGTAGAATTTGGTCTTGAGTTCGACCACTACCAGGGCCAAGGCACATTTGCCGGCCAACCTCCTCCAAACGTTCCCGACCGCAATCGGTCTAACCCCTCCGTCTTTCTTATTTAAAGCTATTAGCCGGTCTCCAAAAAAGAACCGGCGGACGGAGAGTGGGCAAGCTCCAGATAGGATCAAATTAATGAATTGGGTTAAGGAGTTCAGTGTGTCGTCGATTGGGACGGGGCCTGAAAAAACATCTTTAAGGTGCTGGGGTCGTAGGCCATCCAGGCCTCCAGAAGAACCGTTTTTGGACGATTTAACGGCCCTCAGCACCTCGGCGGGAGAAACGCAACCAGCCGTTGGTGTCGATGTGTGTATGTATGTATGTGTGTATGTATGTGTGCATGTATGTAATACATACATGTTAGGATGTATGTATGTATATATGTATGTATGTATGAATGAATGTATGTATGTATGTATGTGTATGTGTGTGTGTGTGTATGTATGTATGTATGTAAATATTATATTCATATTTACCGCCTCAAAGTTGAATTTTCATGGCTGAATGGAATTACCACTACTAAATTTCTTTATTTAAACAAAATAAATGACGACACACTATTATCGAAACGATTTTAAATTAATTCATTGAAACATTTATAAATCAATAAGAGGATTTGAAATATAGAAATTGAAAAACTTCAGTGTATGAACCGTGAGGAACACATTATTTCAAATGGTTGGACTATTTGAAGCATCAAAAAAATTAAACTAAATAATGAAAATATTAAATTCCAATGGCTATTTATATCGATCAGTATTTTACATTTCAAGTACATTTGGAGTTAAGCAATACAAATCACTCATAAGTAGAATTTAATAAATAAATAATATAAAATAATTACATTATAGATAACGAATACTTGACAGCTTAACATTGCAATCACGGTATGTTACAATCATTTCATTGTTTTAATTAAAAAGGGGTTAACATTAACGGCAAAATCGCGTTGGACAATTTAGTGGGGATGTTTTTTTAGAACACAATTACACACACATACACACACACACACACAGTGGGAGAAAGAGAGAAAGGAAGAAGAAGAGAGAGAGAATGAAAAAGAGAGAAAGAGAGGGAGATGTATAAGTATCTAAGTATCAAAAATATTTATATCTAATAATATATATTTATTCATATTTATTTATTCATAATTACATGAACATCAGATCCCCAATGTGCTACTGAATTCATTCGTTCGTTTAACCGCAAAATCATAACAGCAGCATTACTTAGCTGACATCAATTCATTACATCACCGTTGTTATAATAATGACATTAACGTAAATTTCTTAGCGTCACAATCATTTTAGTCATCGTCATCTTAGATTAAACTATTATCTCCCATTTTATCTATTAGAACTGCAAACCTATTAGCCACGTTAACGAAGCTTTCATCACAATTATAACAATCTTATCACAAAGTTCATCATTCACCCTCATCATCACATCAACATCAGCATTCATTGTCATCATCACATCAACATCAGCATTCATTGTCATCATCACATCAACATCAGCATTCATTGTCATCATCACATCACCGTTACTAGCAAAAAGAGCTTAAAATTTAAAAAAATGTTAAATATATATAATCACAAAATATGAATATTTATATTTTTTTATTTATTTTTATATAATAAATAGTAATTTGTAAAGATTTATTTAAAGCATTTAAGCCAAATTAAAAACATGAACATCGAACGGTGTAATTAGGTCGGTGGGTATCCTTTAGAACCTTAGCCTTAGTACCATTTAGAACCTTACCGTGGTACCATCTAGAACCTTACTGTGGTACCATTTAGAACCTTACTGGGGTACCATTTAGAACCATAGCCGTGGTACCATTCAGAGAACCTTAGCGTTATAATCTGAATTCGTTTCCGGATGGCTGCTGACAGTGAATGGATGGGAAGGTTCCTGGATTGTTGGGAATTTTGCTGTTAAGTTGATAAATCCGGAATGAATTTTTAAGAATCGAGCTATATAAATTTAATTGATTGATGAGCTATATAAATTTAATTGATTGATAAATTGGTTGGTTGACTGATGGATTGATTGATTGAATGATCGATGGATCGATTGATCAATTGATTGATTGATTGATTGATCTTAGTTATAAAGTTGGAAAGAATTTTTCAACTAATTAATTTTAATCAATATTTTCATTTAACAATATTTCAATTACAAAAAATGAATGATAAAATTTTCAAAAAGTAACAAGCTCTCTATAGAAAACTTTTCATTCTTAGCAGCAGTATAACCTAGAACTAGCCAAAATACTCAGATGACAACATCAAACAATTTTATATTCTTCCAAAAAATGGACCATTCACACACACGTACGCACGCACACATGCACACACACGCACACACGCACAGAACCTTTGCAGGACACACCTAGGCTCATTAGAACATTCTCGGCGGCAATTCTCTTCGCCTCGTCAACATTCCTACACAACTTGCTGGCCATGAATGGATTGCTGTTGATGTTTGAGATCAACACCTAGTTAAATTTAAAACGTAATGTTGTTAGTTATTCTTTGATGGATTAGCTGGGATAGCTGAGCTGTAACTGGAGTGAAATTATTTTGAATAGATAATTTGAAAGAAATTTTCATTCAAATCAATTTTATTTAAAAAATTTTTTAATTATTTTTTCAGTTGATTAATTAAACGTTAAATGTAGAAAATATGCAACAAAGTCTAACATGTCAGCTAAATTCTTGGTTGATAATTGTAACTCAGGGAACATTTTTTAATATTTTAATAGGGACGTTTGTTAAATTCACATATTCAAATAGATATAATTAAATAAATTTTAAAGTTTCGTCTTAACCAAAATATAAGCACATTATATACATGATGTCAAAAGCAACGTGTAGTAACAAACGCGAAGCATCCGTCTGACCTTGTGGACAAAGAGCTGCTGCTCGTTTGGACAGTTGGAGATTGTCGAGTGCAGCTGGTAGACGGGGCTTTCCCAACCGTTTCGCTGGCACAACTCCTCCAGTAACTTTTTTTGTTCACGATTTCGGTTTTCAATTTGTTTAATTTTATATTTTCTTTATATTATTTTTATTAAAGTGGATAACAATTCGAATATTTTTAATTAATACAGTTCAGTATTAGTTTAACAAATGTTCATCATATGCTTAACAATACAATATGGTATTATATCTGTAGCCAGTAGTTAAACTTTAAATTGGCAAGTAGAGGTTGATGTTTCCACAAAAATGTACAACTACCTCACGATCAGGCCAGATTTTGCAGTTATTTCGCATGAAAAACGTAGCGTTATGCGTCGTGAGCTTTTTATTGCGAAGACTTAATTTTGTAAAACAGGCAAATGTATACAATGATTCTTAGAAAACATTTCTTAGGGCATTTCCACCCTCACAGTCTCCATCATCATCTCACCTGAACTGGAGACTTGCTGCTGATTGGCTTCAGGGTGTGTGGACTGACGGGCACTAGTTCAACACCGGGGTGAAGATCGTACAGACGATTCTTTAGTTTTATCAGAAAATAAATATTATTAAACATAATAATAATATTAATTATTATTATTAAAATGATATTAACTCTTATAATTTGCTTACAATAACCACAGATAAAGTTATATTATTATTATTATCATCATTATTTTCATTATTATTATCACTGTTATCATCATTATCATAATTATCATCAACACTGTCATCATTATTATCATCTCCTTATCTCTTTCCTTTTAACATGCCACCAAATTTAAAAGCGGAGCCGACAGCCGTCAATTTTTTGCTATAGATATATATATATGAACATTTTAAAACCCGCAGGTTGAGGTGTTTTTTAAAACGTAAAAAATTTTGAAATAGTTCTAAATTTTTTTATTTAAATTGAATGAAACTGGTCCTATTATATAAACTTATTAATATCGCAATTTTTTGTCAAAAATTTAAAAGTTTAAATGATAAATTTTTTAAACGCTAATGAAAATACTAATACACCTAACGCCATTTGTATTTTAATAAAATTCTCCCAAATTGTTTACAACTCATGTTTCAATTCTTTCACTTTTAACCCACCCAAACTGACCTGTTTGCCTTTCTGTCCATACGTCCTGCTCATACCTCCCGCCCGTCTCATGCCCTGTCCTCCTCTGAACTTCTGGAAGGAAGCTGATGTCGATGACGTCATCGTTGATAGGGGTGGGGGAGATAGTGGGTAGCTGTGAGGTGGTGAGTTTTAAAGTGGCCATGTTACCTATGTCCTACTGAATATTGAATGCACAGACCTGTTGAATTGTTGATTGTTCGAGATCAGGGCATCACCTCCGAAGGGGTAGTAGGGAGAGCCCGTTAAAAACGGGGACGTTTGCACGGGGGGGTACGTGGGAGATATCATTAACTGTTTGTGTTTTGTTGTTGTTGTTGTAGTTGGTGGTGGTGTTGCTGTTATTATTGTTACTGTTGTTGTTAGCTATTGTGTGTAGAATATGTTGTTCAGTGTCGCAATTGCGTTATCTCTTTTTTGTTGCATGCTGTTGCTTTGACATTTTTATCATTGAATTTTTTTGCAATTATATCTGAATAAATCCACTGCTGATTACTTAGTAGAGTTAAAGAATTGGTTGCCAAATTAAAAAAAAATTATATGTTGAAACATGTAGGTGGGAGAGAAAGAAAGTTGAAATAGACACACTTTCGACGTTCCATTGACGATGTTGAACATGTTGCTTGCGGTGAAACTGTTGCTGGACGTGTTGGTTTCCTTGTTTGCGGGTTTGGCTAGGACGACCTCAATCCTCGATCCATCCATTGTCGTATCTTACAACATAGTTGGTAGTAGGATGGATTGTGAGTCATTTGTTAAACCAGCATGCTTGTGTTAATATTAAGAGTTGATTGCTATTATTAGTTCCGTCTTTGGAAACTGGCGGTGAAATAGTTCAATAAACGTGGGTTTTTTTTACTATTTTTTTATCAAATATAAACCATCCAACTGGTTTCTCCGAATTAGTTGATTTTCAACGTATCTCGTAAAAGCTATATTAAATGTTCATATTTTCATTTTTAGCCACGTTTTTGTATTTTGTCTTAGCTTTTGTGCTGTTAATAAAATTATTAAATTAAAAACTACTGATGTTGTATTAAATGGATCAGCAATAATATCTTGATACAATTTCCAATACGAAATGAAATGAGAAGACTCATTCAACTTTACAACGACATGAACAAACAAACGCCTGCCAACAAGTGACTAACTGTCGAGTGCTTGCATTACGCGCAGGGCATCGTCCCTCTCCTTGAAATGAACGAACGCAAAATCTTTCAACTTTTTAACCTGCATTTCAAGTGTAATATAGCAATAATTTTATTCGTTATAAATTTAGTAATTTTGTATCTAAGCATCTTGTGAGGATGTATTACGTTATACGCCATAGCATGCCCAATACTTTATACAATATTTTTCGTATACCATATTCTAGGCTTAATTCTCCATCACCGATATTTTGCCAGGTCAATAATAAACCACGTAGCCCTGTAAAATGCAAGAAATGCTCGTTTCAGAGAACTCTTCTATAGATTTGAAGCTTTGTTGATGGGTCAACAACATTGAGCAATAAATCAAATATTGGTATTTTATTTTAAATCATATTCAACCTTCGGCTTTGCTTAAAATTAGGTTTATAGAGTTTGTTAACAATTGTGAAAATAATTTTTTTTTTCGAATTTAAAGAAAAACCTTCTCGACAGCTTCCCTCCTTCCATTCAGCGCCTGCACGACAGCCTGCAGAATGATTTCCTCCGTGGTTGTCGTCATCAGGTTGCGTATGTACAATATCTTCACCTGTTCGGTGGTGACGTACGTTTAAAATTGTCACAACTAAATAAATAAATATCTCACAAATTATGATTTGTATCAAAAATGTTAGAGAATCCAGACTTAAAACTCTTCTACAAAATATAAATGTAATAATAGTATGTAAACATATATAAACCTTAGACATGACGTCATCATCAATTTCCGTTTCCGGTTCAGCCCAATCGACTGCGACCTGTTGGCCCCAGAGCGACACACGCCCCGTCATCAACTTCCTCCTCGCCACAGCCGCTGCCTTGTGGCTTTCGTACTCGACGAATGCAAATCCTCTGTTTTTCGTCTTGTCGGCCACACTCGAATACACGATGGCTCTCACTACACCCTCCGTCATCTGATGATGAGTGTTGATAAGTGATTACGGGAGATAATGATGATTCTGAATATCAAATAACTTTAAGAGGTGTTCAATATGTGAATGGTAATAACGATGGTAATAAAACATTATGGTGGTCGAAGAATTCAGTGAGAGTTGCACGTTTTACGTTGGTGTTTCCAATGCCGAATTCCCAAAACAAAAAGTAAGATGCACACTACCTCAGAGAACACGCAAAGTGTGTGTCAAAAAGTTTAGAGGCAGATCCCTCGTTACGCAAAATTTTAATTTCAATTAATTAAACGAGCAAAGTAGATTTATGCGAAATTCCACTCTCTTCAGAGAAACAATAAAAAAACAAACAAGCCAACTTGACCCTAAATGAAATGATAAAATGATGGTATGGTAGAATGAGAGTAACTTGTTTCATGGCCTCAACTACATCTTCTTCCTTCTTATCCAGAGGTATGCCCCCAACAAACAACCGACAGTTGTCCACTGACTGACAGGCACCAATGTATCTTAGGTGTTGAGGGTAGTTGAAGTTATGGTTATGTAACGTTCTAATGGGTTAATTTAACCAAACAAATTCATTAGAAGCAGAAATATGAAACGATCTTCTACCAACACTGAAGCAGATTGTTTCATTAAACAATTTCAAACGAGAGTTAAAAATTTATTTGCTCAACGAAGCATTTAATCAGAGTTAAATCCTCTGAGGAATGCTAATAGATTGAATCAACACAACAACAACAGCAGCAACAACAACAACAACAACAACAACAACAACAGCAGAAACAGCAGCAACAACAACAATAATAATAATTTTCAAACAACAAAACTGAAGGCAAATGTGTCAGGCACCTTTTCTCTCTGATTTCATAGTTGTTCATCTCCTTACTGGCTGTCTTCGCTTCTTCTCGATTTGCATAGGTCGCGAAACAAAAACCTCTGTTGCCCTGGCGAATGAAAAAATAAATCGATCGAATGTCTTAGTCGTTCTGGCGAACAGAATATAAATTTATTTTAGAGTAAAAAATGAAACTTGTTGTGTGGTGGCGTGGAATGTAAATTTGTCAAAGCAGCTTCGTTGTTGTTGTTATAACAATTTTGTTTTTTTCATTAAAATATAAACAATTAATATTTGTCGATGACTTTCAACAAGTTTTGATTTTCAAACGCAAAAGTTTCGCAGTTTTATTTGATGATAATGTGAATAGAAAGAATCATCGATATGCAAAGTAGTGCCTATATAAATAATTACAGCCGGCTATTGAATATTTGATCCAACAGCTCATTCTCATCATGTTCAGATCAATTTCAAGCGATCAGACGCATCTCTGATCGAATATTCTTATTCACTGAACATGACTGAGCATGCGAATTTTCAAGTTCTCCGATATTTACGGTGAAAATAATAATAGAAAAAATAGTAATAAAATTAAATGCTCATGTTTCTCATTGTTTTTACCTTAAGTTAATTCAGTTCGTGAGATTTCCACGCACTTATAATTAATGCACATTAACAAGCATTAATAGATTTGACATTTATTAATATAACGTGCAATTCATATGAATAATTGGAAACTTAAAGTGAAGTAAATACACAGCGTTTTTAACAATGATGGTAGAAATTAAAATTATTATTTTGAAAAAAGCTTCAAACAAAAATTTTTTTCACTAGAAATTTGAATAGTTTTGCTATATTTAGATAGATACGTAACTCTAAAAAGTTGTCAAAATGTTTCTAACCCGGGAACGGGTTTAACCCTTAAAACTGATTTAATTTCTTCAAAAGTTATTCAAGTGTTTTTCAAAACTGTTCTGGAGCTACGTTCTTACGTTACAACAATCACTATCTTAAATGCATTTATTAAATTATTAATGTTAACTTTTGTAACCGGTTAAACATCTTCTTATGCGTCTGTTTTTTCTTCTTCTTTTTTTTTTATCTCTGAAAATGTTCTTCCAACTTCTCAAACTATACCGCATTATACACACATACACACCATAACAAAAAACACACGTACACACCGACATACACACAGACATACACCAATATACAAACAAGCACAGCAAGAGACAAACACACACGCCAACATACACAACAATATGCAAATCCACACACACACACACACACACACACACACACACACACACACATACCAATATACAAACATACTCACCAACAGACAAACACACACACGCCAACATACAAACCTTGTCAAAATCGACCATGATGCGACACTCATAAAGTCTTCCAAACTTCTCTAAGATGGGGACTAACTCATCTTCAAAACAATCCCTTGGTAGCTAAAAGAGATGATGATGTAAAAAAAGATGATGCTGTGGATGGCCATGGTGATGATGAAAGAGAGAGTAATGAGGATGATGATGATGATGATGGTGGTGGTGGTGGTGGTGATGATGATGGTGATGATGATGATGATGATGATGGAGAGAAAAAGAGAGTGATAATGATGACGATGACGTTATTGACGATGACGATTATGGTGATGGTCATGGTGATGATGTATAAATTGTATTTAGCTTCTACAGAGATATCTATGTAGGATGAAATTCATTTTGAAATCTCAAAAAATCGAGTTGTTGGGTACGTGGCAAGCAATGTAATAACAACAAGATAAGTTATTCAATATTAGCGCAAACATTTCACCAGCTTGAAGAGCTTATCAAGTGATGATAACATTTTAAAACTTGCAGGCTGAATAATTTTGTTGTTGTTGTTGATGAAAAACCAACTGACAACATATTTCTTAAGATGCTCCAGTCATAATTATATTTATAATATAATAATAATATAATTATATCTCCAGTCATAATTAAATTTAATCATTTTATGATTAACGTCATTTCAACTTGGTAGCCATCATCTTTGTCTTCATGAACGTCATTGCTGACAAACAAACATCTTGAATGGCAATCGTCAGCGGTAATTAATTTCTTAGCTAGTCAACAAATCAATTAACTCATTGATTGATATTTGACTAATCGATAAATTAATAACTCTTTAACGTCCTTAATTAATTGATCAATTAATTAGCCTTTAGTAAATGGACATCCTAAAAAACGCATATAATAAATCACTTTCGTAATTAACATTTAATCAATTTATCTATTTTAAAACATTTAATTAATCGAATAATTAATAAATATTCGGTTAATTGATCAATTAATAAACATTCGGCTAATTGATCAATTAATTAACATGTGATTAAATTGTAAAGCGATCTGCGGTGAACTCATTCGTAGTGTCGCCTCACGCACGGAGAGGTCAAACATCATTTAAATGTGTTTGTGACGAGTTTTTTTTACATGTAAGCTCATTAAATACGTTACAAAAATAACTGAAATTTATTTGATATATGATCTTTAAAGGTTAAAATGATACAGAATGAAGTGAAACCATTTTGTTAAAAGTGAATTAAATTTACAATAAGGAAACGAATTTAACAAAGGCAGAAATGACGTTTTATAGAAGGTTCAGAACAATTTGAAATTAATTTAATCAAATAAGGTTAGTTTTTTTAATTTTCTTCTCAACGTCCGTAATGATATAGTACTAAATTTAAAAATCGGTATACATGAAATACGAATTCGTCGCAAAATTATTTCCCAAGAAATTTATCCAAACGTAAGAAAGTTCATACCGATTTCAAAATCATTTTACAGACTACACAAACTCATCGTAGAAAATATTACTGGCTTTGCAAGGCTTCTACTAATTTCAAACTCATCACACACCTAAACAAACTCATCGCAGAATAATTTTTCATTTCGTCATTTCAAAAATTTTTTTTAAAATATTTCTACCCACCTTGCCGACGAAAATTTCACATCCGCGTCGCGGAACTTCCCCCACCCAATTCTTCGGGGGTCCGTACCTTCGCTGACCGTTTTCCTGAACCAGTGGGTAGTCAGTTCTTTTCAACAGTTCCAAGATGGCCGGTGAAAATTCAGGAGTGTTTGTTGTTGAAGAGTTTGCTGTTGAAATGTTGCTGTTGTTGTTGTTGTTGTTGGAAGCGGCAGATGTAAGGATGGGATTGTGTTGGTTTATTGAGTCAGTCATTATTTTATGTCTTATTAAAATTGTGGTTTTGTTGTATGGTGAATTTTTTTCTTCTCAAATTTTTTGATCTAACAGTTGAGCAAATAAGATTTCTGAAATTTTTTTCAGTGGTTTTATGCTTCGCCGAGTTTTTTAAAAGATTTTAATTCACTCGTTTTGTTTAAAATTCTTTGTTATTGTTTATGTGCTTATCTGAAAATATAATCAAAAATAATTTTTTTTAAATTTCACAACTAAGATTAAACGAGTGTAGCACAGCCAGGTTTTTTAACAGGATTTGTCACGTAGTAAGTAAATTTCGCATAGAGCAGAAAAAAATCAAACTCTAAGATCTTTTACCAACCGTTTAAGTAGAGCTACACAAATTTGGGAAACACATTTGATTCGAAAAAAATTAAAAAATGGAATTTTTTTGTGGTTGAAAAAGCAAAAATCGAAATGTTAAAAAATTTACTTTAAATAAAATATATTCAACACACAAATTACACCCACACATATAAAAATTAAATAAATAATAAAAATATTTGTTTCTGATAAAAATTTTGCCAAAAAAATTTTCTAACCCCCGAACTATTGATAATTCAGCTTCCGATTAATTCTAAAAAATCAAATAAATCAACAAAAAGTAAGAGTTAAAATTATTAATCAACAATTAATTATTTCATATATAATTATAATTAATTAATTAATTAATTAATCAGTCAATTAATTTAATGATACAATTTGAAATTAAGAAATCGAACGCGTAGCTTATCTCGGATGACACCTGGCTGCTTCAACTTCAAATATTAGTCAGCCATCCAATCATGGCTCAGCAAAACTCGACATGCGTGTGTATTATATCTTTATCTGTCTTTATAATTCACACACACACATCTTTATCCGTCTATATAATTTACACACACACACACACTGACACACACACACATGAGCGTGCACACACACACACGCACACACACACACGCACACACACACACGCACACACACACACATGTATACACATATATAAATGCAGATACATATATGACGGAATGCAATGTAATGTAACGTAATGTAATCAAATGTGATGTAACAGGGCTCGATGTATCATCATATGGTAACACTCAGTCGGTATGAACTTTCATAATTATTCCAACAGCATTTTCTGCTTTGAAGTTTTATGAAAATTCCAAAAGTTTCAAGAGTGCCTTTTTTCTACGAAAATAATCATAGTTTCGCCAATGTCAATTCACAAAACTACAATCATTTCTCAAAATTATGAAACTAAAACAACATTCTCTTATGTGACTGTTAGTTCTGCGTTGGTTTGAACACCATTCCAATTTCATAACACACTGCCAACATTTTCTTTAGCAAATCTATATCTACAGAGCTTTTAAAACCGCGTTTGTGTTACATGTTTATTACATGGGTTCTTAACTAAGTATAAATTAACGTAAGAACAGACCATAAACCGGCTTGACATAATAGTTTTGTATATTGTATATATATATATATAGTTTATGGTGATAATTATGATAAGTTTAATAAAAAATAATGCGACTAATGTTACATATTTGTGTTTGTATGTACTGCTATTTAACAAGAACAGAGACGTCATTGAATCCAAAATGAAAAAAAATCTTCAGAAATATGCCACAGGCCAATGGCAAGCAGTGAAAACGGGCTCCCATGTGGAGTGATTAGTGGTTTAACGTTATAATATGACTGGTTGTAGAAGCACCGCCGTAATGTCACTATTGACTAACAATATCAGAAGATGGAATATCAGAGATTCTATTGAATATTAAGCAGTTACAAAGAAACTTTATAGCTCTGTGCTGTCGTTACCTTACTCCAAATTAGCATACCTGTTGTGTGTGTGTGTGTGTATTCGTGTGTGTGTATCCGTGTGTGCGTATTCGTGTGTGTGTGTGTATCTGTGTACGTTTGTGTGTTTTTGGCCTTGTTTTTGTGTGAATGTATGTGTGCGTTTCTGTGCGTGTGTGTGCTTATTTGTGTGAGAATGTTTGTGTAAGTATGTGTGTGTGTGTGAGTGTGAGAGAGTGTGTGTGAGTATTTATTTAGTCATAAACTTATTTTTTTACTAAAAACGGTCAATTTAAGTTGAAGTGTGATAAGGAAGTAAAGATGCATTGGCGCATTTAGCCTATTTCGCGAATCTCCAACTTTTTAAATTTCTAAATTTTGCCAGGAATGTATCATTCGATAATTAACTCTATTAATTTTAATACATCTATAATGACGTCAATAAAAAAATATATATATTATTTTTACTATTATTATTATTATTATTATATTTATTTTTACTTTACGTTAATTAAAACAATCATAAAAGCACTCAGCTTGAATATTAAATACCAGCTACAGTGTGGTAAGTTTAACTTACATCCAAAAATTATGTTCTTGTGTGTGTGTGTATGTGTGTATGTGTGTATGTGTGTGTGTGTGTGTGTGTGTGTGTGTGTGTGTGGTTTTTTTATGTAATGTGAGTATATATGTGTGTTTGTATGGTTTGTATGTTTGTATACGAACCCGTTTTGTATATGTGTATCTATATGCGTGTATAGAGGTGAATCTGTATACGAGTTAATTGTTTATGTATACATAATTCTGCTTGTATATATTATATATGTGTTTGTGTATGTTTATGTGTGTGTGTGTGTGTGTTTTTTTGATGTTTTCATGTTTACGGGATCTGTTTTGAAGTATGTCTTGGTGTTTTTATGTGATATGTGTTTGTATGAATTTGTGGTATTACTGGTGTTAGTAATCAAATAACATTGGTATATAAATGTGTGTAAACAAAAATACTATATAAGATTTTTTCATTATTTAAATAAACATTTTTAAAGATTAATCAATAAAGTAATGAATTGTTGTTGGATGTTTATGCTTGCACCGGCGGGCTTCTTCATTCCAAGCGTCTTTAGGTTTATAAAATATCATCACAATCGTTGTTATCGTTGTCACCATCAGTATTGTTATCATAATTATTTCTTCGTCGTCGTCGTCACCCTCATACTCAACATTACCTAACACAGGTGAGTTAATGATGGAAGCGAAGTTCAAGTGACTATCCTCTCGATGAGAAACTGTTTCAAAACACTTCACAAACGTTTCTTCTATACCACTACTGCTACTACTGCTGCTACTACTGCTGCTACTACTGCTGCTACTACTGCTGCTACCGCTACTATCCTTCTTACAATCGTTACTACTGTTACAAATACTTTACTACAACCAACTGCTGAAAGAGAGCAAGACGTCAAAAAACAGCTGTGAACATTCTCGTAATTCTCACCAGAATTAAAGAGTAATAATAAAAACGAGAATAAAGAAATATAAATTTATTCATTCCAAGAAAGAATATTAAAACGACGAAGTCAACTATTTAGGTAGAAGTTAACATCTTTCAAAATGTTGTTGTAACGGTAATCGATAAAACACATTTTAACTACATTGGAGATCATACGGCTGTCTTTGTCATCCTTTCGTCATCATCATTTACTATTAAATTGTTGTGTATTCTATATTTAACTTGTAAAATTATTTCGGCTACTTTTATTTATCAGAAATGGAACTATGTTAAATTCAATTGAAGTCATAGGCACTTGGTAAAATTTACCTAAATGCATTCATTAAATATAAGTTTTTTTTTAACTGGTTCATACATCAGTTGACTTTAGAATTCAAACTATTAGGTATGAATTCGAATCAACTCTAAACTTTTCCTATTTCGGATAGAATCAAATCCAATCTGTCAACTTAATTATCCTTTATATTTGCCAATTTTTCTAGGCGATACCGGTGTTCCATTCTTTATCTCGTGTTTTGGTTACCGTGAAATTTTTTCTAAAGCTCACTTCAACTTTTCCTAAAGAACTACTTTTCCTTTCATTATTTAATTGACCATATTTTATTCAATGTGTTGCAGAAAGAATTTTCTTTCTACGTGTCTTATCTCGCTGACTGTCCGCCAAATATTTGCATTCTCAACTAGCTAGAATAGAAGACACCTGGCACAACTCAAGCACCTTGTCTTAATCAACCTTCACCAACTTACCTACTCAAAACTTCGTTCACCAAACTTGATCAATCTGTCGAAAATATAATACATTACTTTTCAATAGAAGCTATTCATTTACAGATTTTCTTCAAATAAAACGTTATCTGCCTATTTAAAATTGCATCTATCCAATGGCCCAAATGATCTCAATCATAATTTAATATGTAGTATGTACGTATATTTTGATACACGCCAAGTTAAGCTAATATTATTACATAAAATTTTGAAAAATTAATATTTTTAATTTTTCTGTATACGGAATTAAAATTAAAATGAAATAAAATGCTGTTATAAAATATAAAAATCAATAATGTTGTGAAAATAATAAAATTGAGAATTTAGGAATTTGGGAAGATTTTGTAGAACAAATGTCGAAAAATCAACAGGCTGTGTGTCTATTGAGATAAATTTGCAAACAAGAGTAAGAATTGCATATTAGGATGGGAATTATGAAATTATTCTGCGAAACACATCAGGAGAGAACGATGTAGTGAATGTAATTAATTTGAAATTAATTTAAATGAAATTGAAATTAATTAACAAACGCGAAGCGAAAATAAGTAGCTATTGAACACATTAACTCCAACAAAAATAATTTAAAAGTTGTTAGTATCGTTTGTATTCTCTGGCGAATGATGTATAAATCAGAAACGCAGCTTCAAGTTAAAACTTTTAGAAACATCTTTAAGCTAATTTAATTGCATAAATTTAAAAATTGAACATTTTATCATCTCATTAATTAGAGAAAATATCATAAAATTTGAGAAAATATTAATTTATAGGTAATTAAGTGTTAAGCTAAAAATGTTATTGTAGTGTACATATTTAAATAAAAATAGTGTGAATATTCAAATAAACTCCCTTGCAAATTTCTTCCGATATGTTACCAAGAAATTAAAATCGCAAATTATGTTCATTTTGGATGCGGATATGCTGGCGAATGCCGTGTGATTGCGAAGGATGAGGTTGATTGCGGTTCGGGAAAACCTTCCCTACTCAGGACTTTAAGTGTTTGTGTGTGTTTGTGTGTGTATGTGTTGTTCGTGTGTGTGTGTTTGTGTGGTCCGTGTGTGTGTGTGTGTGAGCGTAACACGCAGAGAGCCTTATTATAATATTATTTAAAATTACACAAACAATAATAACCTAACAATGCATCACTATTGTATTGTTTGTAAAAGATGATATACCATCATATACTATCATATACATTAAATATAATAGTGTATGTTGAAAAATATCATGACATATTATCATATATATTTATATAATTATTCGTCTGTTTGTATACGTCTATTTTATGTATTTTGCACTTATATACACACAACACACACATGCATATACACAGACACACACACTCATATATATATTTATTTATTTACTTATATTTATATGTGTAATGTATGCCATACACAGGCATATATTTCACACACTGGCTTACGTATCATAACAGTAAGTAGCCTACTTATAAATTATGCATCTCAGTTCAGTTCAGTCAAACCAGATCTTGCGTAGAAAATTGTACTGTGAGGATGATTATTACTGATTAATGTCGATAATGTTTTCATCATCCAGTCGGGTTACTGACATTGTTGCTATTATCATCTGTATATCCTTTGTCGGAGTGAATTGTTCTTTTAAGAAGAAAGAGGTCTTTTTTTATATTATTATTCTTGTTATGTTTGTTTATAATTTATTTTATAAAAGGTTGAAAAAAGTTAAAGGTCAGAGGATTCAACAACACGCTACAAACATCGTTTATGAATACATGCTAAACGGTGACAGGCGGGAATCTTTTTGTCATATTCGAACCCGGTTAATGCGAAACAGTAACCTAAACCTTTCTCAACCTTTTCAGATTCAAGGACAACTTAAAAAATGTATGTTTCAGCCGCGGACTACTGAAAATTTTGCTACTGGCGCACTTGAAATTTACATATATATATATATATAATTATTAGGTCATATAATGATGTAACAGCTGTACGCACATAACTAGTTCATAGACTCTCTATTAGACTTAGAGAGCTACAGTTATCACATTTGGCTATAGGTGTATTAAAATTGTTATTTAAAATTATTCATTATATATTTTAATAAATGTTTTAACTTCAAATTAAAAGTATAATTTTCGTTTTACGTTGATGTTTGCATACAGCGTATCGCACGGCTTATCTGGCGTATCAACAATTTTTATGTCAAATATAAAACAAATTGTAATTACAATGAACAAGTGTCACATGCTAACATTAATGACTAATAATAAACAGAGGTTTTTTAACGTGTCAAGCCAAGTCCATTAGAAATAATGCTGATAGTGTGAGCCTTGAGCTTGCACAGTTCAGCATAGCTTATCCAAACGAGGCGTAATACTCGAAAGACTCAATCGGAGTTCATCTATTATCTTTAAAAAAAAACTTGCACTTCACACTTTGCCCGCGGACCACCAGCCAAATGTCCGCGGACCACAGGTTGAGAACCGCTGACCTAAACCACTAGACCATCACGCCGCATTGGTTCGATTTTTAGGGAATCGTCGGAATTTTCGAAGGGTCGAAATGAAAGTGGGATGATATTCATTCCACTCGGGAAACTTTTAAGATTTAATAATTTGAAGAATAATTTTTTTAATTTTAAAAACGATTTTTCAAGCACGTATTTTTTATAAGAATTTTGTTCAAATTTCCAAGTTATAAAATAATATGGAGCATTATAGTACACCCAATCGTTATATTATTTTATTGAATGTAGAGAAAAATTAATTTAATTAATTGTAGTCATACTATGCAAACGTGACTCTAAAGTCAAAGGTCAAAATTAATGCTTTGAAGGTTTTCATATTCTCCACCTCGAAAGACAATTGGAAATTTTATGACTGGTCCAAAATTACGACCGTTGTGCAGTTTGGCTACACCGACGGTGACCTCGTTCAATTTGCTCATTCCAGAAATGTCACCGTCTCCTACGCGGGTTAGTTCTACTTTTGGGAAAAATATTCTAACAAGTTGGACTAATGGGAATAAGTTAAAATAAATAATTATTTCTCAGAAATATCTTTTAAAAATATGTCTAAATTTATATAGATAAGGGTTTATTTATGTGTGTCTATAACTGTGTCATTGTATATGCGTAATAGTCAAGTCGCAAACAGTTTGTTTTTAAGTTTAAAATTTATTGATAGTCGATAGTAATGGTTGTTAGGGATGGTTATTTATGGCATGTTGGTTTGTTTAAAATGTTACACGTACAAACATGCTCGTTACAGTGGTCGTAACGAGGAGGCTAAGCTTTTATACAATAAGCTTCTTCCTCTTCTTCTTTTCGCTGGTAACGTAATTATAATGGAACTAAACTTTTGTATTGAAAAAATACGTCATTTAATCAAAAAATTTTCACTGAAATGACGCATCGCTGCCTTCAAAAAAGAGCAAACAAGAGCAAACCAATCCTTTCAACAGCGTTATTGTTTTACGATTGAGGATTCACAAAAATTTCATGTGAGCTATTTTTTAGTTAATTTAACAACATTTAATTTTAATCTTCTATAATTGTAATAATAAATATTGTTAATATTATGCGCTTACATAGACACACACAGGCCCAAACAAACACATAAACAAACACACAAATAAACACATAAACAAACAGACAGAGCATGTTTCTTATTTGCGTCTCTTCATTTTCTTTAGCCCATGTATACATCATTATTATAATTATTATCACATCGGTGCGAAAAATCTATAAATCGCGCAAATTTGTATTTATTATTAATTATATTATTCAATCAAATCATAAAATTTTTAAGTTGCACATAGGTTGCACATATATTTACATGTCTTAATTATATTTTCATTTGGATAGCGATATCTTATATCCTATATGTAACGATATATATAAAAAAAACTCTAATAACATTTTCGACCAAATATACCGGATCACATTCGTTAGTTTTCACACAATTTCCTAGACCCTCCCTACTGTCATTCCACGCTGCTTTAGATGTTTAGAGCAGGTAACTTTCGAAAAGGAAACAGCTCTTTCTCACTGTGTTTTTTTCCAATAACTGTCCTTTCATATTGTGCACGTAGGCTTTGGGTGCACGTAGGCTTTGAATATTATTGTACTATGATTATTATTTTATTTAAATTTTCCGTCATTAATGATGACTTATTAATTCCTTAACCAGCTAACTTTCCAACTTCCATCCTCTACAACCACACATCACTGAAGCTATGGGCCGACGAACAACTTGGCTACATAAAGTTAAACAACCTGGATGGAGTGAACATAGATTTTGAGGATGAGATCAACTGTACAGACGTCTACGCCAGAAGTTCTTTCTCGATACTGATGCAACTGTTGCGAATGAAACTGAAAGCGTTTAAACCAAATGGACAGGTTGGATGTGTTTGTGAGAGACTAAACGTGGAACATCGAAACTTCATAATTTTATTTAATACGGAATAGTATTTATGAAATTTAATTCGAGTTTCACAAACTCTCACAAGTTGTCAATAGATGTCGCTTGGTCTCCAAACAACATCGACAACCGATGTTACGACTACCAGACTCTTGCCTCGTACGCCGATCTCGTTTTTGTAATGTCCTACGACCAACGAAGTCAAATTTTCGGCGACTGTTTAGCCGGGCCCAACTCCGCTTTCAACTTGATGACTGAAGGTTTGGTAACTTTTTATTGCTGCTGATGTTGTTGCCGTCATTTTTGTTATTTTTATCATCATCATCATCATTATTATTATTTTTATTAGTATGTTATCATCATCATCAACAAATCTCAGCCATTTAGCTTCTCAAGCAAATCTAAAAAAAAGCAACGTTTAGTTAACGTAAGTAAAAACAGTAGCAACTGTAGTGGAAGCAGTATTTTGGATAACATGTTCAGACTGTATATAATTTTTTTGAATTTTATGCTCATCAATTGAGCAATAAAGCTAATCCTCGTCTAGGAATGTACTCATTGCAGCGAGCCTTTCGGATTTCATTGATTTCATTAGTTTGTGGCCTATTTTATAATCAACTATTGAGGTTTGGTGTGAAATTCACTTTTGTTTCATTTTTATCAAACTGCCAGGAATCAAAAGATTTGTGGAGATAGGAATCCCAAGAGGAAAAATTGTAATGGGCATACCTTGGTATGGGTATGATTACCCATGTCTCAATTATTATCCGATAGTTAGTTAGTTTTTAAGCATACGTTTTTTTTTAAAGATTAGTCATGACCCATGATTGAAAAGTTTTTGTTGGTATGATTTGAAAAATTTAAACTCTCAAGCGATCGAATTAGTTGTTATTCAATAATGTATTGACCAAACTATATAAAAGTTGAAATATTCCTTATTTACAATTTATCACCTAATTATCCATTTAGTTTTATTAATTCAATAATCTGTTTACATGTTATTTAAATTTTCTCATTTATATGTAATTTTTTCGTTCTTGTGTGTGTAAAACGATTCATTTCTCCACGTCATCTCAGCCGAAGAAATGCGAATTGAAAAAGGTTCCATTCCGAGGTGTGGCTTGCAGTGACGCAGCTGGGACACAAATCGGCTACTCGACTATTTTGAAATACCTGTCCAACGACACCCACTACCAAAACAATGTCTGGATGCCCTTAAAGAGGATCTGGATATTGTCTCAGGATTGGGATGAAGATGCCAGATCTCCATATTTCACATACGAAGTTTGTTTATTTCAAATTTTGTAAAAAATGTTTGACCTTAATGAAAATTAGATTTGCCGATTTCTTTTTGAATTTTTAAAATTTTGTAAATAGACTGATTTAAATAGAAATGAGATTTGCCGATTTAATTTTGAATTTTCTAAATTTTTTATAAAATTGACTAAATGGACAAATAGATTGCACGTTTCTATATAACATTTCTAAACGAATCAAAAACAGGACCAGGCGACCCAATCCTACCACCAAGTCTGGTACGACAACTACATCAGCCTATCGCTGAAGTACTCATTCGCCACTTCACACGGATTGGCGGGAGTGGGATGTTGGGAAGCGGATAGTCTGGAATATTCTAATGAAACTTATTCTAAACAATCAACCGCAGAAATGTGGCAGGCTCTACCGCGCCCATCATTTTGAAATAATCATTCGTTGACCGACGAATTAAGCATTTTGTCTTGTCTCGTCTTTAACCATCTTCGATTTGTGGGTAGGCCGCATCATGAACATGTGAATGCTGGTAAAAGACCATAATTAGAGCAGTGATTACTTAATTACATTAATTAGTTGCTCCGTCTTTGTGAGTCTAAAGCGCCAATTATTACATTTATTTATGTGTGTGTGTGTGTGCGCCCGTGTGTTTGTGATCGCAGTTAACATTATACAGAGCATAATTTTAGTTTATTTAGTTTGGGACATCTTATTTTATTTCTAAACTATACGGTAAGTATCTGTCTACTTCAATTTACGCTTATAGTTAGATATATCGCATACATATAAATATATGTATGTATGTATATCTAATTTACATACATGTGTGTGTGTATATATAAATATGTGTGTGTGTGCGTTTATATATATATATATATATATATATATATATATATATATATATATAAACAAAATATATATATAAATATATATGTTTGTGTGTACGTGTGTGTGTGTGTGTATGTATGTGTTTAAATAACTGTAACAATGACATATTTATGCTGGAAGGTCATGTATAGAACTGAGTACCTTACTACATCGTGAATTGAATATACCGAATATATGTCTACATTTGCATGAGTGAATATATATAGTTGTAGATATCTGATAGATGTAACACTTTGGATTATATTTAATTATTATATTATATGTGTTTCTACGTTTGTGCAAGTGAGCATGTATAATTGTATACATTTGGCATTCGTGACATAAATTTTTTCACATTTAATTATTTTATTTGTTTCATTTGGTTTAAGTTCGTTAGTATATATTTATGTTATTATTGTTAAAGTAGTCTTTAGAAACCATTCATTTTCAACATTTTTTCCATAATTTTTTAATAATTTCTTTCTTGTAAAAAGCGGCTTCGCATTTTTTATTTGGCTCCTTTTACGTTTATTCCACACATTTTCATAGATGAAAAAAATTTTCCTTATCTGTGTTTGTTTTATATTATTTGAATCAATTTTATAAAATAAAAATCAAATACTAGATGTGCATTCTGCTAATATTTCCGATCTAATATGTTTAATTTTTATTTTACCTTGACTCGAACCGACTGTTGTAAGTCCAACGAAGCATAGCGAACAGAAACTAATTAATACGATCCGTGAAAAACCCGGGCAGATGAAATGAAATAGAAGTAATATAACGTGTGAAAAAGTTGATGCGATATTGGTTTAGAAATATCCATAGAAAAAACAGTAGCGGATTTTGACAGCTTTTGAGTGGGAAGCCAAAATTTTGTTAATGCTTAAAATTAAACGATGCGTTTTAGTGTAAAAATAGTTAGTTCAAAGACAGAAATACATTCAAACGGGACATGAACGTTAAACATAACAAGATGGCCTTTCCAAATTCACCACAAAGACTAACGATTTCCCACAATTCAACAATCGTGAATGTGACGATAATACAGCTTTTGTTATCTACATTGATAACAAGGTTATTGAAAAGGTGAAATACGAAAATATCAATATCAGCCATAGGTGGCTAAAACTTTTGTAATAACTCCAAAGAATAATCAGAAGTCATCAACGCATGTACCTTCATCATCTATTTCCCGTGATTTAGCCTTTGTTAAAGAGGAACCAGTTGAAACATATGTTGACAAGTTTCCTTGAATTTTTCAAGCTCCAACCAGTATCAATATAAAATAACTCCAGGTTTGCAACAACGCAAAATAATATTCAAGACTATTTTGTGTAGTGGAGTTAAGAAAAAAGATACGAAATATGCAACATTTGCTGCTTCGACATCACAATTTGTTGCTTCAACATTATCCGCTTTTTCAAAACCATCCTGAGGCTAAAGTTGGATAAAACCACGTTTTAGAGTTAAAACGTGTTAATATTAAATAAAACTATATGTTAAAGTTAAACCACAAATTTATTACGAAATACAATTTAAAACAAACCACTTAAGTTGCAAAGTAACAAGAAAATACCAAAATAAAGCAATAAACAGATATAGGAGCAAAAAAGCGCCATTTAATGCTGAGGCTTTTAACATTGGAAGATCATCCTTTCGCTTTATTTAATGAGAAAACTTTCTAACTCAAAAGCAGCTGTAGCGATTTCATTTTAGCTCTCAAATTAGCGCATCGACCAATATCGCTACTGCAACCGATACTGAAAAAGGAGCGGCGCTCGTAACCGCTACACAACCACCCCATACTTAATTCAATACTGAAAAAAATAAAATTTAATAAAATATTGTACTATAATCAAGTTTAATAAGATTAATTTTGAGTTATTAGAAAAAATAAATTTTAATTAAATGTTTTTTAGATTTTTTGGCACAAATTAACAATCCACGCACCTTCTTGAGCGTGTACGGCTGTTAGATAGACCCTTAATATTAAAAAGAGCAGAAAGTGTCGGAGTCTACCAATTTAGTTTATTTTCCGCGGTGTGGCCGTCGAAGTTTTAAAACTCGATATTTAACTGTTTCCGGATTTGTGTTTTTATTTTTTTTCAGTTGGTACACGTGACTGCTTCTACCGACTACGGTTTAGATAGATTTCGGGTTGTCTAAACGTTTGACTGCGTGAAAGAAGCAGACATCGCATCCAATTAAATTACAGCCAAGATGGCTAGAAAACGTAAATCTAAAAATAACAAAGAAAAATGTTCAACCGCGGGTAATTTTTTTTCACTATTCGAATTAATTTTTATTTTTTAGAATTTGGTACTACTAGAATCTAGTAACTAGATCACAATCCTAGATTTGATTTGTCATTAAAAAATTATTTTTAATTTTATTCCTTTTAGTAACTAAAAGGAATAAAATTAAAAATTTAGTTTGTTTTATTTATTTATTAACTTTAAAATTTTAAATTAAACTTCAATTAAAATTAAAATTTTAGTTAGTTAATGTTTGTTTAGCTAGCACTTACTGATTAGCCTTAGCTTGGCTTTAATTTTAATAAGTTTGATTTTAATACAACAGTTCAAGATTCACTCTGCAATTGAAAAAGTTGTTTTAAAATATGAAAGTTTTTTTAATGATCGTACAAATGTACTATTTTTTCTTTGATCTTTATTATGCAGCTCTGACATATGCAGAACCGCTTACATATAATCCCTGTATTTAAACCTTCATGCCACAAAGACTGTATTATCCACATGACACGACATACATACACGTTATATATGACCATGCAAGCACCGCATCATATGCACATGGCATATGATAGTCCTTGAGTTTTAAATGGACAGTATTCGAACCAGGCCATCTCGTAACCGCACGAGACATAGCTCTTCTACCTGCTCAGCTAACTCACTATTTTAGTATTATTTATGTAGGTTTTTTAAGGCGAACATTTATCTTTAAATTAGATTTAATTGAGTAAAAAATATATAGATAGTATTATAATGTTGTAGTTTAATTAATAATGAACCTTGTTTCCAGTATTTGTTTTATCAAAAAAAGCAATATAAAATTATACAATCCATACAGTTGATATCTTTCTCTATTTCCGTTTATTACTCACAAATTCTATTCGGCATTTATTTGACCTGTGTGTTAGGCAGAGGTCTGGCAATAAAAGTGCCACGTTATCCATCTGCTATCTCATGCAAATCCTTTTTAAGGTTCAAATCTTTCTTAAGGTTTAACAACTTTAAATACTATTTATCTGTGACTAAAATTTTTAAGGTCTTTTTGTGTGTTTTGAATTTAGAACCTTGTATGTGCTGCACTAAATGTAGATACTTGTATTATGTTTTGTACATGCATGCCATATGCAGAGTACAGCTTCTAAGTTACATAAATTTAACATTAATAATTTAATTTTGTTGCAGCTTCTATGTAAGATATTTAAGCTAGCATAACATAGGATTGCAAAACATACATGATTATACATTCAAAAGTACATAAATTTACTGAAATTGATTAGACCATGATTAACTTTTCAAGATCATAAATGGTATATTTAAGTGATGTATTGATGTTTTTTTAATAGGAAGCAAGAAGGATATCGATGTAAAAAATGAAATGCTCACAGTTAAAAAAGAACCAGACGATGAAGTCGGTTATATCCTAAATTCTATTGATTCATATCCACTGGGAGATGTAAATGATGATCAGCCTACAGTTTCTATAGAGAATGAGATCAAACATGAAATTGAATTTTCACCTCCAGGTTATTTCAATTGCAATGTTACTCACTTTGTTCTTCTTGGTGATAAACATTTGTAATTTATTGAGGGTGAATGTGCCAGAAGCATTTGAACTAAATTTAAATTAAAATAAACCACATGAACAAACTTGCTGGCCAAATGTTAAAAATCATGTCTCTGTATCCTGATTTGGTTAAATTGAATTTTCATAAAGAACTTTTTAAATCAATAATTTGTAGAATCACCAAAGGATATGGACTCGGAGCCAAAGCCTAAAACTCGAAGTTATAAAAAAAGTTCTTTATATCGGGCACTGATACCCTACAAGAAATATTATATAGTTAGTATTCAACAGTCATTTAGCATTCAGCACCTGTAACTGATTCATTGTTGTTTTTTTTGTTATCTAGCCAAAGAAACTGATGAAAGAGAAAACACTGAACTTGGAGGCCATATTAAGATTGACAGAAAAACCTTTGATTGCTTTGTTTTCACAAATGTCATCTAACGAAATCACAAGAAATTATGCCTACACCTGCTGTCTCATTCCCAGTGAATGTGCGCTCAGCTTTCAAAGCTTTGGCAATGAGGGAAAAGCTCGAAACCAGATGTATGAGCACTTACTAAACCACCTCACTGAACTCTTGAACAAGAAGAAAGCTGATCCAACTTTTGTTTTCAGTGCTGATGTTGTCAAGAAAAATTTATTGTTGGGAGAATGTATGGATGACAATTATTTTTTAATTATTTTTTTAATACACATTTTTCTACAGTAATTGATTTATTGTTACCAAATAAACTCCAGTAGCCATTTTTTGGTCAATGGAGTCTTTGAAGTGCTAGTAATAATTGAGCTCGTTGACTTCAATCTACTGACAATCTGGGACCATTAACACCTAACATGTTTTTATTTGAATTGTTTTTTTTTGTTTTGAATATGCTTTTTTGCAAAGTTTTCAGTTTGTTGATGGAGTAAATTTTTATTTTAGCACCTGGAAAAAAACAAGGGAAAAAAAAAATGAAAGTGAACAAAGAATATCGCAACACCTTCAAGACAATCAATGCCAGCGATGATAATATTTTGGTAGAGGAGGTTAATGATTCCACCGTCCTACAAATGTCAGAAATAAAGTTGGAAAAACTTGATTCAGATGGCAATATAAAAGTTGATGTTGTCAACAATGATGAGGACTTCCTAGGTCTCCACAATGAGTTACTTACTGATGAGGATGAAATGAATGAAAATTTGCACAAAAAAAGAAAAAAGTTAGATGATGATGTTGAATGGAATAGTAAATCATCTGCTTGCAAGAAAAAGTCTCCTGGTAATGCTACAAAGAATGTCACTCCAAAAAATACTCAACAGAAATCAAAGAGCACCATCAATAAAAAGTCCAAAAGCAACAAGTTGAACACAAACGTTCAAAAGATAAAATCTGCAAATATTTTAAAAAACTCAAGGCACCAACCTCCAATTTTGTCTAAAAAAACAGAAGTATCACCTGAGTCATCAGCTCATAAGAAGTTTGTTGGGAGTCGAGACAGACACATTTGTTCAATAAAGGATCACCCCTGGTGCACTGATCACTGTTATGACTTCAAGCATAGGAATTCTTATAAAGACAAGGCAGTTAATGAATGCCACGAATCAAAAGATCATGCATATGGTTCAATTAAAGAGGAGGAACAAGATGCTCCACTGCATCGAATTACATTTCCATTAGAAGACAACTTCAATCAGCTAAAACTCATTCTACCCATTGTCAAGGTCTGCTTCATTTTATAACATTTTCAATTTGTACTGCTCTTTTGATATGGTGTAGGATGAGACATTAATTTTCATTCAGGTGTCGTTGAATGAACTGCCCAATCATCTCGGATGTCTGCCTAGCAATGTGTTTGACGATTGTACTGATGCAGATGATGTCGAATTACCAACCATCAAACCTTGCAAACGTAAGTTTTTTCCATTATAGATACATCATTCTGATAGCTAATTCAATACTAAAGATAAATTATACGTTAATAAATTTATAATTGGTACATTTGTAAGATCAATTTTTATTTATCTTACAATCAATGAAATAGTGGCTGATGGTTTTACTCCCACCAGTAGTTTGATTAACATTATTTGATTTATTAGCCATAATCATAATTAGTTGTTTTAGAAATTTCGCTTTTATACAGTAAATTCCTTTTCGACAGCCCCACCGACTTTACTCTCTGGACCTCTGCCAGATGGAATGAACCAGACTGGCATGTTGGCAACACAGTTTACTGAAGCCTTTCAAACGGTTATGAAGAAAGATATAAATAAGGAGGAAGTTGAACGCCTCGAATCCAAACAATCTTCTCTTTCTGATCTTGAAATAAGGGTTGGTAATTTTATGATTCATAAATGCTGCTGTTGTAGTATTTGGGTTTGGCATTTGAATGGCAAATGGCAATCCCAATGTTTCCCGCCTTTTACATGCACTGTAGAGAAATATTAACAGTTATTATATTAGTCAATAATAATGCTTGCAAGATTTTTATGACTTCTATCATTGAAGTTCTGACAATGCATTCATTTATTTAATAAACACTGTTGTCTGTCTTTTAGCGTCTCGCAATTTACTACACGGAAGAGTTGAGGAACAAGAAGAGAGAGGATTCTGAGTTAACTTTGACTTGCAAGATCTGTAAGACCAAGCAATTTACTGCCACTTCCACATTACTCTACCATTACAAAAGTCACGCTGGTATGTTTAGAAGATGAATTTTAGCATCATTAGCCTTTAAATTAACACTAATTTAACCTCTTGAAACTTTTCGAATTTGTAATCTTAGGTTGCTAATCTAGATGGTTGTATGAAAAACTTTGAATTTATACTCTTGATTGGATTTCATATATGCCAAATTTATTTATTTTTTAGGTATAAGGCCGTACATATGTAAGATCTGTAAAGCAACATTTACAAGGCAGCACAGCCTCAACTACCACACTCTCATCCATAAAAACCTCAATCGATTCAGGTGCGAGGATTGCGGTCGGATGTTTAGGCATCCCAGCCACTTTAAGGTGAGTGTATTGCAAAATGTAGTTGGATGGATATTTTTCACTATTCTCACTATTCTACCATCATGTGTGATTTACAATTAGATGAATCGTATGTATTATAAAAATTTGTGTATCGTGGTTGGTGGGTTGTTTTAAAGATTTGATGAGGTTGATATGTGAGGTTGGAGGTTGAGAAGATTCAATTGATTCTGTTTTTTTGGGTTTTAAAAATTAGAAAAGGTTTAAGTTAAACTCATATTTCAAATAATATGAGTTTAACTTATATAATAATATTTCAATGTAAAACTTGGGCTTGAGAAGGTAAATTTTGGGTACATCATCTTTGTTGATTGTCTGGTGATACATTTTTAAATTGATGTTGAGGAGATGCTTGATTGATTTCAGGAACATTGCCGGAAACACACAGGGGAGACCCCATTCCTCTGCAGCGACTGCCCTTTGCGGTTCAAAACTAGAAATACGTACAAACGCCACATGCGGACTAGGCATAACAAGTCAGTCGCCAGCATCTTCACTACAAAAACCAACCACCTTATCAGATCTAATCACCAGAAGAATAATGCCATTACTATAAGTAGATTGCATCGTGATAATAATAATAATGATGATGGTGATAAGATGATTACTAACTGGATCAATAAGGAAAATACTAACATCAACAGAACCATAATAAATGGTAAGTTGGTTGACAACAGCAGTTTCAGTTCGACCTCATCCAGCGAGCAAGCTGTCAAAAATCTTTTATTCAACACCAACAAAGTAATAGTCATTGCACCAGAAAACAATCCGGAACCATCAACTTTCTTCACCGGTAATACTGCAAACTTTGATTCCAATGATGTTATCTTTGTAAAGGAGGAACCAGTCGACAAAGATTGTGTTGACAAGTATCCTAAAATTTTACCAGCCCCAGCTGGCTTATACATCAATCCACTTTTAACAAGGCGCAAAATAACATTCAGCAGTAGGTTGATACCTAAGGTAAAAGATGAAAATGGGAATTACATTGCAACAGCACCTGTTGTTACATCACAGACCAATGTATCTGCTGCTTCTACATCACCACTTGTTGCTTCAACATCACTGCCTGTTGCTTCAACATTACCATCTGTTGCTTATGTTTTATCATCTGTCTCTTCAACGTCATCAACTGTACCCACAAATATGCCGAAACCTAATGTAACAATTTTACCCCCTCCAGCCATCTTACCAAGAAAAGGGCCAATCATCCTATCGAAACGGTGTCTGCCTAGAATACCTGAACCAATTATTATCGAACCTGAATAACATTTTGCAGCAGATTTTCTGATATTAAGTTAAGTACTGTTTCAATCATGCTAAATTATGGTAGCAAAATTCAATGTAAATTTATCATTCAACTTTATTTAAATTTATTTTCGAGTTACTGATTGTCTGATGTGTACAATTAATTCTGTTTGATAGTCGGATTTAAATTTATTTTTGGCATATTCTTTTTTGTTTGAATAACTTATTTTAGTTTATTTTCACTTAGCTTATTATATTAAAATAATATGTATTTATTTTGCCGACATTCATTCAAGTTTGAGGCACATTGCAAAAGTTAGTTTTTTTATTTTTTATGTTTCAACCGAATGTCCCATGATGGGCAGCAAAGCCATTTGGATAGAATAATATTGAAATTGAACTACCATCTAAAATAAATTCAGTAGTATATATAAAACTTAGCCTGCTCATTATACACCAATTTACTCTATAAATTCTACTCTCCGTTGATTTGATTTCTGTAACCAATAAATATACTTCTGGCTATTGTACGTGCCTTTGTTTTGTCCTGATGTGGCGATGTGCCAATCGTTTGACCAGCGGTCGTGGGTAAATATAACATAAATGCGGTCACCTCAATGAGACCCTTGCAAAAGTGATAGACACAATAAAAAACATTTTTATAGAAATGGACGGTCCATCAAAATTTTTTTTTGTAAAAGGAAGTGTGCTTTTAAAGTTTGCTACACTTACGGAACGAATTTTTTAAACCTCTTCCCAATATTTTTAAATTAATAAATTTCAAATGGAAAAATAAAATTTCGTTTTGATAAATGTGTTAATGAAAATTTCAAACGAGGCAACTCAAAATTTTCGGAATAATTCTGCCGTGTATCTACAAATAGCAATATATATCAAATGATCTTGTTTTTATACAATGCAACTTGCAAATGTTAATACATTAACGGTGTCATTTTTATGAAACATTCAACTGCCACCGGAATATGTGCATTTGTTGGAATATTAACTGACGAGTTAGTTTGTTCAATAAAATACTGTTCTGTTCAGTTGAACGTCTTTTCCACTGGTGGGTGACATTCTACTGGGTGCTTGATAAGCAGGTGGGTTCTAGCGAAGTTGCATTCTGAGCGTCATCATCATTTTCACCATCTTTGTCATCGTCATGCTTTCTTTTGATCTTGAGCCTCTTACTTGATTTACTTGAGGACACTGGAACGTAGAAAGTATAACTTCACAAAATATCACAAAATACGTGCAAACCTACAGACAATCAGTAAAAACAATTTGAATACCAGAATATTCACATCAGCATTCAAAACCTACCAGCTTTTCTTTTGCCAGATCTCAAGCCACTGGGTAGTGATGACAACGTAGTTATTCTTTCCATGGATGTGTTCCCCATCTGTGTGCTATTGTATGTACTAACAACCGGTGTACTGTCTTCTGTACTCCTACTGTCGTTGACTTTTGATTGGGCGCAAACAATGCCATCATCCTTCTTATCAGTTATCGAATTGTCTTTCGTGGAGATAATAATCTCATTGAACCTGTTTATTTCGAGGGTACAGTTTTTAATGTCAGATTTACTGTCATTATGTTTATCATCATAAGTATTATTGTTATTATTATCATCAGTGCTATTATCATTGTTGGTAGCACCAGAATTAATTTCCTTAAAATTATTGATGGAATTGTTGATAAGCTGTGTGCATATAGACCTATAGAGTTCATCGTCATCATGTTCAAAAGCGGATATGACGTCATCGTAGATGAATGACGATGCCGACGTTGGCGAGTTGAATGAATTATTATGGCAAACTTTCAGCAGGCTGTTGTTTATGTTTTGAAATTTTTTTCCGATAATTTGGTTGGAATTTCTTGCTTCAGCAACACTTTTGTTGTTATAACTTTTGAAGATGGCGTGCTTGATGTCATTTGCATTTCCTTTGTTCTCTTTCTCAGAGTTGCTCCTGGATATCAGTGATAGAGATGGTAATGTTGTTGATGTTGACACTGACATTAGTAGCACGTTGTTGATGTGTTGAAGGTGGCGCTGCAAAAATTGTTTGTCACTTTTGACGAGCACCTTCATAGAGTTGATGCCATTGATGAGATGTCGGTGCGAGGGGTTTGTTGAAATGTCAGTTGCGTCTGTGGCTTGTAACGATGCGATTGCAGAGTTTGTAGCGACGTTGTTGCTGGCGACGTCACTGATGTTTTTTCTGATCGTACTATTATAACTGTTGTTATGACTAATGTTGCTAGCATTAAAACTGCTATTGCTAACGAGACTTTTGTCTTTGTCAAAGCTAGTTGAAAAAGTCTTGTTGAAAGCCGTTGAAGATTTTAACGAATTCTTTCTTGATTTTAAATTGCAACAGCCAATAACAATGCCTTGGTGAATGACACCATCCAGTCCATAGGCACACAGACCTCCCCAGAACTCCACTGCTCCATAGCCGCCCCACTCATCCACCATGTAAACAATCTGAACATTTTTATTTTCCAGCTTCACTTCATTTTGCATCGTAACCCTGACAACAAGTCCCACAACATCGTAATCACTGTGTGACAATTCGTGTAGAATGTCTATGAACCTTGTGACGGAACGAGGAGTGTAGATGAGGTTGAGCAGGTTGGAGTCAATTTTCATCTTGTGGTACTGGGTCAATCTGGAAGTGGTCAAGTGCAGTGGCCAATCATTGCTGTCTTTATATATATTACGAAAAGTGGTACTGTTGTTGTTGTTGTTGTTGGGAATGACGTTATAGAGAAGGACTCGAGTTCCCTCTTGTAACAATTCACTCACTTCATGACTCACATTCCAAACTGATAACTGAGCCTCTGTAAAAATTTCATATTTCAAGTTTGCTATGTTAACCAATTTGCATCATCATCAGCATCATCATCATCATCATCTATTAACAGATTGATTAAGCATTCATCATCATCATCAACCATCATCATCATCATCTATTAACAGATTGATTAAGTTAATGACATTCTAGATCGGGATAGATGAATTAGTAGCGGAAGATAATAACCCGAAGAATGTTATTTATTTCATTGAACAAGCGTAATGAAATAAATAACCAATGAAACAACGGATGAATTAATAGATGAATGAATGAATGGAAGGATGAATGAATGAATGGCCGAACCAACCTGAAGCAGCATCAATATCCCTCCAGTGACAACCTCTGATGATGCATTTGAACATTGGCGTCACCAGCCGCTTCATGCCAGCCTCATCAGCCACTCCTCTCATCTTCATCTCCATGAATGCGTTCATTTCTTCCTTCCGTTTGACCATCATTTCACCACCATCATCACCATCCATGTTGTATTGAGAGTCAACAAAGTTGATGTTGCCTGATTTCTTCTCACCGCAACAAGTCTTCTCAAGAAATTCTCGTTGCCACTTGTTGTACAACTCCTCCATCTTCTTATCTCTCTGCCTCTGAAACATGCGATCGTACTTCCTCTCCAGCCTCTCTGACCTCATGACCCCCTTCACACCCTCCACAAACTTCTCGTGGTACATGGTGGGGTACCTCCGCACGACCACCACGTCCAGACAGGAGATGTTGCCACCACAGCCGGACATAGAAGATAGGGGCCACCTGGGAATGGACGATGCTAGCGTCACAAATCCCAACTTACAACCTGCACGTGCTCTCCTCGTACAGTTGGAGAAGATTTTGAGGGCCAGTCCGTTGGGCTGTTCGAGAGGGGAGCATGCTTCAGATGGGCCTGCCAACTCACTGCATACCATGAACAGCTTCGTGCCTTTCAATTTGGTTTGTTTGTTTGCGCGTGAATTACGTTTCAAACAGAAAATGTTAGCAACCTACAAAACGAACGAATTTAAGATGTTTAACGTCGATGAACTCTTGAAAAACTAAATAAAACCCACCAGAAAACATTCGCAATGTAAACGAGCAGAAACTGAGGAACGAGACAACACGAAACACACAAACAAAGACATACCAATTTGAACTTTCCTCTTGCTTATAAGAGTGTCCATGTGATCATCAACTAATGCATCCATGCAGTACCATCCATCAGTCAGCAACAGCTCGTACCTGCTACTCTTTATATCAGTCTTATTGTTGATGTAACTGGCGCTAATGTAACTGTTGTTAGTTTTGATGTCGCGAACGTCAGCTCTATCAAAGCCACTGTTGGTGTTACCATAACTTTGTAAACAGCTTTCGTTGACTAACATACTATCACTGATACCATCATCCTCATCTTCCTCCCCGCCATCGTTGTTATTACTCTTCCTTGTGATGTGAGCCACACACAACACCATGCCCTTTTTGCTCGAGTCATCTCGTTCGCATATCAACTTAATGGCACTCCTACGACATGCCAGTATCTCTGTATCGTATCTGCATTTGATATCGATCACCACCATCCTCATCTTATCATCATCATCTCATCACAATCATTTTATATTGAGTGTTTATAACATATAGTTATCATTAACGTTATCTCAAAAACAGATGAAATGATATCAATCGGATGAATGAACTATCATCATTATTATCACAATCATAATATTAATCGGCATCACATTCATCCGCAACCTCATCTTAATCATCATCTTCATCATCCAAACCATCATTTCAATCCTTCCAACCATCATTTCAATCCTTCCATCCATCATTTCAATCGTCTCAGCCATCATCCTTATCACCTAAACTTGAGTTGCTTCATGACGTACTGGGGCGACATCATACGTTTACCGCAAAAGACAGCCGGATGCATCCTGTACATGCAGGCCAGCTTCCAAACTACCCACCTGTAGTGGTTGGCTGTCCACTCTATGGTCACCATTGACGGGGTCACACCTAACAAATGATAACGAAGATGGAGAAAAAAATAATAATAACAATAATGATAATAATGACAATATTAATCCCAAACCAATGGCGGCCAAATTCAAAACCTTTATTCAACTAATTACACCCCACACGAACCATTGGTAGTTAGGAGTGCCTGGTACATTTCCACCTTGCTGATGTATCCATCGTCGTCAGCAACTAATGTTCCTCCGTCTTCTAGCTTCAACACACCCCACCTATTAGTGCTACTATTGGTACAACTGTTGGTTGCAGTATTATTACTGCTGTTCTTCTTATCTATGTAAGTACTGCCATTGTCTTCATCCGCGTCAGGTGTTTGTTTTAACGCAGAAGATATTAAAGATATATTAGTTTCATTATTGTTAGCACTCATTTCGTTAACACCTTCATCATTTTCATCATCGTACACACCAGATTTTACATCATTTACATCGTCGTCGTCATCACCGTTGCAGAATATGGACACATGAAATTTGAAGTCCTCTGCGTTCATAGCATTGACGCCTAACGCTAATTTGTATATAGTAGAATTGTCGTCTTCGCTGTTGTGGATGTGTTGTTGTTGGCAGTTGTTGTTGCTGTACTCTGCTACGAAATCACGCAACGACAACCTGGTGATGTTTTTGTTGTTTTTCGATTGGTACAAACTACCAAACTGATGCCGGACGTCGTTGTTTTGTATCTTCGATTGCATTATGTTTTGTTGTTGTGCACGAGCTTGCTGCAAATGTTGACGTTGACTTGTTGTTATTGCAGCTGTTCTATATGCAAGTTTTGTTGCAGTAGGTTGCTGTGTTGCCGGCTGACAAACTGTTGATGATGTGTTGTTACCAGCGCTAGGCTCGTTATTTTCCAACAATTTTGTTATTGCTGCAGGATTTTTCGCTTGCAACGACTGCGGTTGCTGAGACGTGGTTGCGCTACGATACGGAGTGACAAACTTTTTGCTGTGTTCGGTGCTCCTAACTCTACTTGTGCCGGTGTTGTCGTTGTCTATCAAATTTTTACCAGAAATGTTGCTGGAAAATTGTCTTGGGTGGAGATTGCTTTTCTTGGCGGTTCGATTGTCGCTAATGATGATATATTTTTTGCAGGACTTAGAAGAATCACTTCCATCCCCATTGTTAGTATTATTTTTACTGTTATTAGCATCACTATTGTTACTTTTATCACCATGATTATTGATATTATTATAAATATTATTACACATTTTAGTATCCTTTTCACCAAAATCTTTATTTTTGTCTACATTATCATTCATCAAAGTACCATCCCCGCAACCAACGTTGTCGTCATCATCATCCTCATTTTCATCATCACCGTCACGGAAAAAGGACTTGACATACGACAGTGAAGCTTCACTCACTTCAATCTTTCTACCCGATGCCGATTGAAACAGTGAGGATAAAGATGATGATGACGTCGTTGCAACCAATGACGATGACGTCATTGCTACAAATGATGATGATGATGACGCTGTTGCAGTCAATGATGGTGACGCTGCTGATAAAGCTGATGATGTTATAAACGAAGGCTTGGATTTTGCTTGTGATGAAACATTTTTTCCAATTATTTTAGAGCAACTCGTCATGTTTTGAGATTTGTTAAAATCTCTAGTCACGTAATTATTATCATCATCGTTAGCGACGTTATCATCTTCCTCATCATCGTCGCGAAGAAACGACTTGACATGTGCTAACGAAGCCTCACTCACTTCAATACATCTTCCTGACGCTGTTTGAAATAGTGACGACGATGATAATGCTGCTGCTGCTGTTGAGGATGATGATGATGCTAATGATGATGATGATGTCGCAATTGATGATGTCATACTAGATGTAATCAAAGAAGATGATGATGGGATTGTCAGCGATGATTTTTGATCCCATTTCCTTGGTTTATTAAAGTTATTACATCGGATATTATCGCCTTTTTTGGTTCTATTAAAATTATCTTTATTACGGTTATCATCGTTGTGGTTATTTATGTTATTATTAATGACGTCATCGTCGTCATTTTCCACCAAAACATCACCCAACAGTCCCCTCATTCCCACCACAGCACCGTCACTCACACCGACTTTCTTCCCCGACGCAGTTTGAAAACAAGACGACAACAACAACGATGATGATGATGACGTTGCAAATGATGATGATGATGATAAAGATGGCGTCACAGATAACGACGATAATGACGATGAAGAATTCATAATTGTCTTCATAGTTGCATCCGATGTGGATGAGGATGTGAGGGCTGGAAATGACGGAGCAGTGACAACATCACCATGTTCTCCACTCGCGATTAACTTAACGTCCAAATTAGCGTCATCATCCACAAGACAATTCTTCATCATCGATTCAGCCTTTAGCAAAAATTTCCTCTCAATATGCACCTTTTCACCACTGGCTTTTTGGAAACCGGTGAACATCAAACTATTTCCATTATTAAAGTGATTTTTATTCTGGCTCTCTTTTGAATAGATTGGGTTGATGTTGGTGTCTTGAAAACTATTTTTTAGCGTGCTGTAGTTAGGATTCCTGCAGTTTGTAGCATCACATTCATTGTTTCTTAACGTATTATTTCTTTCAATGTTACTACTCTGATAAGAATCGTCGTTTTTCAAAAGCGTTTTTTCACAATCCGATTTCTCTAAAATCTTAGCATTTCCTTCACCTACAACCAACTCATCCCCACATTCCTCATTCCATTCCAACTTATCAGCAGCCTTATTTCCGCAAGCAAATGGAGTGACAGGTGACAAGATGGGAGGGCCGTCAGATAAGATAGATGTGTTGCATTCAACTGCCACAGCTACTGATGCATCCTCTTTGCAATGATGAGCTGAAGAACCAAATGGTTCTACCTGAACGAGAATGGGCATTGGTGATGGAAGAACGGGTCTTGTGCTTATTCCAAAGACCTTACTTTCTCCACAGCCTACATTCTCACTGATACTATCAACATCACCATTATTACAGTTTTCATCATCACAGCTATGACAATTTGCATTATCATCATCTGCTACTAGATTTAAAATAGCAACATCCTCAAAAGCCTCAGTAGCAGAAATGTTACGATCTTCATCATGTTGGTGCAAGCTGTCATCAGTAGCAGTGACAGTTGGAACAAAGTTGTTGTTGAAGTTGTTGCTGTGGGTATTACCTAGGTACTGTGTGTTCACGGATTCATCAAATACAGAATTTGCAATGTAATCAAGGATCATAGAAACGTCATTGTTCTTTATTCCGTCATCATTATAATTATAATTATTAACATAATTATAATTATTAACATAATTATAATTATTAACATAATTATTAGCATAATTTCTGTTGTCATTTTGATTGCTAAGTGCTGTCATGGTATGTTCGTAGCTGAGAGACGGATTTGTGTTAATATTACTAATGTTATTATTATCATTAGAATAATTATAAATATTATTATGAATATTATTATTATTGTTGTTATTATTATTATTATTTTTAATGTTATCATTATCGGAGTAAGATGGCTTGAATGATTTTTTGGTGACAACAACATCAACATCATTTTCTTCATCACTGAGGTGTTTTCTCTTCAAGTTCACATTATTATTTATATTATTATTATTATTATTGTTACTGTTATTGTTATATTTATAATTGTTATTCAATTGCATATTGTGGTCGGTACAAATGTTGCCAGTAAAATTTTCACAAATTTGCAACAAATCCTTGGGGTTCGAGTTATCTATTCCATTTTTAAGCATTTCGTCGTTTGACTGCAATGTGCCGTGTTGAGAAAATCCAATTGTTGTACTCTTGTTGATGTCATCAGCAACTGTCTCATTGATGTTGTTGTTCGTTGAGCTGTTGATGTTGTTGTTCGTTGAGCTGTTGATGTTGTTGTTGTCGTCAACAGCAACTCCGTCATCATCAAAAATGTCCGCAAATAGCTTGTAAGCTTTTGTAAGTTTACAATCTGAGAGGCTTAAACATTTACCTCTTGCTGTTGTGAAACCAGTTCCTGTAGAGTTGTTGTTGTTGTTTGTGTTGCCGTTGTTGTATGTGTTAGTGTTGCTGTTTGTATGGCTGACATTGTTGTTTTTATTGTTGTAGGTGCTGTTGTTGTTAACGTTTTTCATGGAGTTTTTGTCATTGATATTGTTAGTAGCGTTATTGTTTGTGATTTGAGCAATGTTTTTGATGTTGTTCACACTAAAATTAATCTCATACTTATTACAATCGATAACATTGTTGCCGCATTTTGAACTGCTGTAGTCTGAGCTATTGTTGTTGGTTTTAACACTATCAACCGAAAAGTTCTTCGAGGAAGCCTTATCTTCGCCAACACTGATGTCCATTTTGTCAGTTTGAAAGTGAGTGCAGGTTGTGGTGTAATTCTCTCTGAAATTATGATAAGAACTGCCTCTGATGTTGACATCTCTTTTGACATCATCATCATTATCACTGTTAATACTACCATTGGTGTTGTTTTTACTGATGTTATCATCATTTACTGCACTAGTGTCATTAAAATTGATGCTGTCAGCATTACTAGCAGCCTTAAATACTCCTTTGAAATCAATGATATTATTGATTTTGACACCATTGTTATTGGTGTCGTTAATGTCATCATGCATATCCTGTTTGTCACAGCTTGCAACATTAACAAGACTGCTGATGTTGCCTGCTCTCAGCTTGACGTCATCGTCCATATTTATCCTTCTCAAATTAGCATACAGGGTTATCTTTCTTAAATCCTCTTTCTTCCATTTGCTTACTGGCTCCAAAGGAATGTTGAAAAGTGAACTTACAGAAGAATCATTACAATAATTAGTATCTCTGGTTCTGTAATTGCTGTTGAGATTGAAGACATTGCTTGGATGGGATTGGACAATTTGGGATCGAGATGGGTAGATAAATTTTTTCTGTCTGGCACATTGAATTGATGTTAGCAAGTTTTTGCTGTTACTGGCATGGTCATTACTGTTACTACTCAAGTCATTATTTGTTACTTCCTTGCTGGCATTGATGCTATCACTGATGCAATTAATGGTTTTATATTTACTACTGATGTTGATGTTGCTGTTATTGCTGTCGTTTTGAATTGTTGAAGATGTGTTGGCACATGTAGCATCCCTCTTGTCTTCTCCTTCATCTCTGTTGCTCCTCAGACTGTTCTCAGTGAGTTTTTTTATAACTGTAGTGTTAAACAATAAGGATTGTGAAGATGATGAAAATGACGATGCTGAAACTGCTGATGTTGATTTTGGTGAGGATGAAGACGCTGATGATGTTGATGTAAAAGTTGATGATGAAGATGATGTTGGTAATGGTGCAGAGCTGTTGTCAGTGGAGAAGAAGAGTTTGGTTCGATGGTGATTGACATTCGTAGACCTGATAGGTGTGGATGTCTGGAGACGGACTTGTCTCGTCGGATGTGATGTTGACGAGGATGACGGCGACGTGTGAGAGCATGACTCTGTGGAATGGTACAACAGATGCTTCTTGCTTTGTTTGATGGTTGAAGGCACTTCAAACGAAGACTCCTTCATAGATTTGTGGTTGTTGTAGCTTGGAGTTTTGTACAAAGTGTGCTTCATGTCGTTGCCTGGAATCATTACTGAAGAGATTGGTTGGTTGTTGATGTTGTTACATAAGTGATCTGTCGTCGTCATTGAATTGGAAGATGCTGGAATGGGATGAGAGTTGTTGCTATTTGATATCGTATCTTCCAGCCTACGTCCAATCTGCAACAAACTGAGATCCTTCATTGAGTCATTCATGCTGTTACCTCGCTCGTCGTCATGTGAATTGTTCACTTTATTGATGTCGCTGTCGTGAATGCTGCTAGTGTGATCATGTCGGTTGCCAATGATGCTATCAATGCCTACATTCATGTTGCTAGTGAATTTTTTTATAGGTTTTCTTGGTGACATCAGGTTAGGACTAAAATTAATGCCTCCAGAGTTAATATGTTTACTGCATTTTTCACTGATAATTTCATCATTATTTTCGATTGAAACATACATCTTTGAATCATCCAGAACACGATTATTGACAGTGTCATTAATAGAGTCTGTGAATATTAAAAAATTATGTTTAGTTTGATTAGTCTCTCCAAACTCCATCAGTTCCTCATTCAAATCTTCCTCAAAAGATCTTTTCTTAACATTTGTCGACTTACGTTTTGGCGCCTTTTTTAATTTTTTAAAAGATTTGGGCTTGGGGGTTGAGAAGAATAATGACAGAGCATCATCATTCTGCAAGTGTTTTGTGGGTGTGTTGTCCTTTCTTAATAGCTCTTTATAATTATTAATTTCAGACGAACTTTTACAAACAATTTGGTCATTTTTATTTATGGGTTCCACCATCACATCAGCAGATTCATCAAAATGTAGGTCGGTGGCACTGGTTGATGTTAAGTTATTGGTCATGGAAAGAACAGTAGAGGATAAAAGTGATGTGTCATTTTGGGGTTGTTGTTCGAAGTTTACGGTGGCCATTGAACTGGTCCACGATGTGTTCGTGTTGTTTGCACATAATGCCAGCACTGATGGCACACAACGTTCATTGCTAACATTTCTTATTGGTGGTGGATAATCGAGAATATTATGATCAAAACTAAAAGACGAAATTTCTGTGGAGGTAGTAATATTTTCAATTTCACTAACATCTTTTAATTCAGATATTTTGGGGCTAGCTTCATTTTCGTATTCCTTAGACTTAGTAGAATGACGACGTTTGTTAGGTTTGACATTTTGATTATGCTGTTGTAGCAGGAGATCATGCTCCCAGTTCTCATTCCTTTCCCCTAAGAAATCTAACTGTGTTGGAGATAGCAAATTATCAAAAAAATTGATAAAATCTTGATCTGATTCATCATTCATTTCCTTGTTTAAAAGAAATTTATTAAATTATTAATTACTTATGATTTAATTATTAATAATTTATTATTAAATTATTTATTGTTAAATTATTAATTACTTATGATTTAATTATTAATAATTTATTATTAAATTATTTATTGTTAAATTATTAATTATTAAATCATTAATTATTTACAATACTACTAAAACGATTGAATTCTAAAATTGTATTTGCCGCAAAAGTAAACTTTTTAACTAAAAGTAAACACTGACAAGAAAAAACTTGTATGGAAAGACTAAAATTTTTGTTATATGTAACCATTGAATTGTAAGGTTAAAATTCACGTTGTGTTAAAATCATGTTTGCCGGCGAGTTAACCACGACCAGAGGTTAACTACGTTATATATGTTATTAATAAGTAATAAATTTATAACTCAGACGACTGGAGTATTGCACTTTGTGTTGTAAGTTGTTCTGAGGTTCTGAACTAAATCGAATTCTGTCTTCGTTATGTTCTCGAAGTTCGTCATTTGCAAATAGGTATGAATGACCAAGGAAGGAATGATGACGGAGTTGCTGTTGCGCAAATGAGTTAAGCCTCTTTCTTTTCTGCGGCTCTTGTGCCGGAGTCGACATTAGTAAAGTTGGTTATTGTATCGTTGCATTTTCGTTAATTTGGTTTATTCGGTTAATTATTTAGTTAGGTTTTAATAAAGGAGGATTAATAATATATCTGTCGTTGCGTTTAGTTAATATCGAACCCGTTACATTGGTACCAGAAGTGGGGTAGTTATTTAATTGGTGTACGACAATATTTGATTAATTAAATAACTAATAGGACGTTTTGACATTTATATAAAAAGATTAATTAAATACTTAGTTATAAGTTATTACATTTGTTGTACGTTTGTTGTAAGTTGAGAATTCAAAATTATAATGGATCGATTGACGAAGATGAAACAACAAAAATTACAACGTCTGTCGAACGAACAGATAACAAAGAAGCTACTGAAGAGATCAATCGACGAAGCCAGTGTGCGATTGATGAGCCGATCACAGCTGTTAGAAACGTGGACAACAATTTTGGCGGACAGCGCTGATTCTCCATGAGTATTGCGGCGGAGGGCGCTGTGTCGAAAGATGCCGAAGGTGGATTGACCTTATACGAAAGGAAACAGTTAGAAATGGAATATAGGCTTCGAGAAGCGGAGATTGGTAGACAACGAGAAAAAGATGAGAGGGAATATAAGCTCAAAGAAGCATAGATGGCCAGACAGCGTTAAAGAGATGAAGCAGAGATGGCCAGACAGCGTGAAAAAGATGAAGCCGAATTCAGGCTTAAGAGTCAAGAATTAGAAATTCGACGACTAGAGGTAGAAGGTATGAATAATCGAAGAGTGGCCAATGATGCTAGTGAGGATAATAACACGATAAAACTAATGCAACAGACTCGATTTTTCGCGGAGTCGTTAAAACATCTGATAGGAACTTGTCCGTTAAAGCCAAGAGATATTCCTGCATTCTTTGAACACGTAAAGAAAATTTTTCGAAACTATCACGTAGACGGAGAAATTCAAGCCAATTTGTTGATAATGAGTTTGAACGAAATGGCCAAAACGTGGTTGCATACTATTTCCGCCGACGGTCTGAAGGATTATAGCGAAATTAAAAGACTCATTCTGCAGGAGTTCAGGTTAAACCCGACAAAATTGAGAGATGAATTCTTCGCCCTGAGAAGACAGAAAAGCGAATCGTACACGAGTTTCGGGGCGAAATTATACGGCACGCTGAACCACTATTTTCAAAGCCGTAACATTACGGGATTAGAAGATGCAATGAAATTGATATGTGCAGATAGAATGAAAGAGTTGCTATCAAGACATACTCTGAAATTTATTTTGTCACAAGAGCAAGCAGCTTCCTGGATGAGTCCTGACGTGTTGGCACAAACGATCGACAAATATGAAACTGCCATGAACATGAAAGTTTCGAGCGGCAATACATATATGCCGGAAAGTATCATTCAGATACAATCATTTCGAGAAAATGAGCACCAGATGTATAGAAGTAGCAACAACAAATCAGCTTCACCCAAACAAACCTGTTTTTCTTGCGGGAAGATTGGTCATATTGCAAAGCACTTTACATGGAAAAATAGAAATACACCTACGGCCACTGAAACGTCATGCGCTGTGAAACGAACAAAGAAACACAAAGACCACAACAAAAACGTCAACAGCAGAGGCAGTCAAAAAAGCAACCGCAACAACATCAGGAACAAACTAATGATGAAATATCAAATTATAAAAGTATTAACAACATCAGCTCCTCAAAATATGATCATAAATCTTCGGGTGAGACTCTACAACCCAGATCGTCCAATGCCGAAAATTTTTCGGAGAGCCTCAAAACTTCTGCGAAGCCGTCGACATCAAGACAAGTTCCAGTAGAATTTCCGTCAACATACGCGTCCTTAGCATCGTCGACAACCAATGAAAGAAGTCACACAGTTTCAGAAAGCTTGTCAGTGGCGTGTGTAACGTTGGAACACCCATCCCATGAGCTACTGAAAGACAACAACTTCACCTGGCACAAGTACAATTCTTACCGAGCCAAATGCCTCAAGGATCGTCGGAAGGTTGGGATCGGGCAGTCTACAGAAATGAACACTCTTTTCAGGTTTTGGTCATTTTTTCTTCGTCACCACTTTTACCAAAAAATGTACGAGGAGTTCAGGCAACTTGCCATTGAAGATGCCAATAAAGGGTTCAGGTATGGCTTGGAATGTCTGTTTCGGTTCTATAGTCATGGTTTGGAGAAAAGATATCGACCTGACTTGCTTGAGCACTTCCAAGAGGAGACCATCAAAGATAATCAAAATGGCCAGTTATATGGCCTGGAAAAGTTCTGGGCTTTCCTCAAATATTCAAGGAAACATGTGCTGGTCGATGGCAGGTTGAGGGGATGGCTCAGCAAGTATCAGAGACTGGAGGATTTCAAAGTTGAGCCCCTTCTCGGTTCGGGGCCAAGCTTCCATCTCAACAGTCAAATGCAACCTCATTTTTACTCGAACAGGCCTCCAATGAATTATATGACCAGAGTCAGACAGGACTCAGAAAGATCAGATCCATCAAGGAATAGAAGTGGTGGCCAACATCACCAGCAACATCAGATGCGAAGCTGTGCCAATGCCAGACTATACAATGCCCGAGTTAAAGAGGCACAAAGATTACTTCAGTTTGGGCTATTCTAAAATTCCGATCATGGATTTGCTTATCCAAAATCAAGAGTATAATACACAATTCTATTATCGTCCAGGTGCACGTAATGTTGCAAAATTTTCCTCCAGGATATAAAAGTCAAGAAATATTTATTGCATTTTTGGACATTGATTTTTGTTTTGTTTAGTTTTTATTTTTGTATGTGAGATGAATGTTACATTCATCCTCCTAGGCGTTGGAGGTGTGTAATGGAAATTGTTCCATTACATGGTCACGTGGGCTAGTTACTAGCACAAAGCACGTGTGCTTACCTAGGAGAGAGCGCCGTATGGTCACGTGGGTTGGCTACTAGACCAAAGTACAAGCGCTTACCTAGGAGAGAGCAATGTGCAAGTCTATAAATAGCCTGCGCAAATGAGTTAAGCCTCTTTCTTTTCTGCGGCTCTTGTGCCGGAGTCGACATTAGTAAAGTTGGTTATTGTATCGTTGCATTTTCGTTAATTTGGTTTATTCGGTTAATTATTTAGTTAGGTTTTAATAAAGGAGGATTAATAATATATCTGTCGTTGCGTTTAGTTAATATCGAACCCGTTACACAAGATGTTATTTTTGTTTATTTTCAAGCAGATTAAACAATTTTTCAAAATATTTACAATAAGTAAAAATGACATCGAAGTATTTGCACTGCACTCAACGAGTTATCATTGAAAAAAATTATTACACAAGGGTGACATTAAAAATTTTAATGTCTCCTCAAAATTCCAACACAGTAAAGATATACTTGTATGGCTTACACAAATTCTCAATGCCAATATTAAGAATACATAATAACAATTGCAATGTAAAATACGTTTTGAATTTTATAACAAGATCAAAAAAGCTTCAACAATATATTAAGAAAGCACCGTTTTATAACAAAATAAATAAATAAAATACGAAAGAATAAATCATTTGGCTGATTTAATAATCGTCTGAATCCAATCAATGAAATCGACAACGTTAGTGAACATGGTAGGTTTGACTCCGTTGGGAGACGCACACGATCCGTAGTCATCCGATCCGGAACTGACCAATCCCCTAACCAACCATCTACCAGACGGATGACGACATATCAGTGGACCTCCGCTGTCACCCTGTTACAATTTCACGTTATATTATAAAATAATTTTTTAACAACTCTCTCTTACTCCCTCTCTTCTGTCTTTGTCTCTGTCTCTCTCTGTCTCTCTCTCTCTCGTATTTTCCAGAGGCACACATCTAATGTTATTAGCGGGTATCGTTTGCATTCAAACCCAGTCACAGCCTGGTACTTTAACTACCGCCCAGAGACCTCATCCAAGTAGTGCAACCAACTATCATTATTTAACGGCAAGAGCGAATTTTAATGAGCGTGCCGTATACACAAAAAGATAAATCATTGATAAAAGAAATTAAAAAAAGATCGAATGAAAAAGACTAATTGAAAACATGACTGAGAATTTAACTGGCAGAGGCAGAAAGTAATATTTTTTTAAATCTACGGCAATATATTAATTTATTTATTAATTTTGTTTATCTCGTACTTTCATCAAATAACACAACTTATTCATAATGAAATGATGTAACTCAGTGGCTAACGTGGCATGGCTTAATGGAGTTGGTTAGATAGCTAACGCATAACTTTGTCGCATCATTCACGTAGCTGGCATCCAATCTTTATAAAATTATTAAAATTTATTTTCGTTAAGTTTTTTTTTTATAAATTCATTTATCAAAATCAAAAGTTGAACATTCACTAACGTCTTGCATACTTCTGGATCCAATTCTTGCAGTTTGACCTGTCTTAAATCTATGACGGGATCTATTCCTTGAAGATAAATAAAAAAATTAAACATTTCCAATTTCAGTTTTTACTCTATTAATAAATTAAAGCAATACTTTTACTACATTGCCAGTAGACAAGTTAAAACATAGAACAGGAACATTCAGAAAGAAAAAAAAATTGGCTAGCCGAAGTCGTCAATGTTGGTATAGCCCCACCCCAAGCCATAACACAGGGGAGCCTTTTCTTCAGGTTTTGGCAGGCATGCAGTGGCGATGTAATCATTTAAAGTGGCGGGTTTTTCTAGTTCAACCAGTGCTATGTCAAGGTTGTATTTGTTGTCGTTGAAATTGTAAAGATGGTAGATATGGATCTTTTCCACTCTGATGACCTGAGGAAGTTTTTAAAAGTTTACAAATTTTCTGCCTCAAACTTTTTAAATTTTGAAAATTAAATGAAAATTAAGTAAAACGTTAGTAGCTTAAATAGATTGACTGGTAAACTTCAAATATTTCATTGGAATAATTATGACAAGTTTGATTTTTAAAAATTATTGAATTAAAAGTGGAAGAATTGATGTAACCTGCAGATGTTTTGTCGATCCGATATTCTTAGTGGACCCCAATCTAACGCTGAAGTGATTTGGATGGTCGAACATAGGACGATGTTTGTCGTCGGTTGATGAGAAGACGAAGCAGTGAGCAGCTGTCAGAACGAACCTTTTCAATGTAGGTAGGTGGGTAGGTAGATGGTCTAGTGAACATTCACGTCAGGTAGTTAACGGTTTCAGAATCGAATAAAAAAATTATAGAAAATATAATTTGATAATTAATTTACTAGAAGTATCTAGTCAGTTTCAGATAAAGCTTTTTTTAATTTTCGATACGAAACGGAACTTGAATTACTACTGAGCCAACCAACTAAAAACAAAACTCATAGATTCGTTTGAACAAAAGGTTAAAAGTTAAAGGTCACGCCGCCAAACCTCTCATGGACGAGAGTACCTCCACAAATATGTTTGTTGTGCCTCATAAGGGCAGCCATGAACGGCCACTGGACCTCCTTCTGAACAACATCCCCTCCTATAATGTAGGCTCCAACGGTTGGGACTGTTGATAATCCACATGTTTTTGGGGTGCATTGTAACTGAATTGTTCGGTTTGACCCACAACCTAGTTTGGATATTATGAAGGTTTAAATGAATTATGATTACTGCGTGCGAATGTATTCAATTGAAATCATTTTTTTGTTGCAATACTGTATCCATATATGAATATGATGGGACGCGTGTTTTGCTTCGTCTATGTTTGCTATATAACTTATTCGTCATCATCATCTCCATCATCATCATCTCCATCATCATCATCTCCATCATCTTCGTCATCATAATCATCACGACTCGCAACAGCAATTGTTATAGCTACAACCAGCACCTACTTCTAGATAAGTTGAACTTTTTTATATCGAATTCGCTACCACCGCCGTCAATTCTAACAAAGTACCAATTATACATCCTGGTGACATTATTGAGGATGACGTCACCAATGGACGAGTCCATATCGAGGTGTGTGCAGACTTTGTTGTTCCACACGTTGTTCCAACCTACTGAACAGAATGGTACGTACGTGGCTTGTTCACCACTGAAACCCTTTAAAATTGGGACCGGATCCACGGGCTGAATGACTGTTATTATTATTATTTATTTATTTACTTTGTTATTATTATATTTATTGTTTATATTATTATTTAATAATTGTTAAAAAATAATTAACATTAAAAATTTGCTTATACACGGAGTTTGTATGTTTCGATACTGCCAACTATTTAACCATTGGCTAAAACACATGAAATAATAAAATATTGAAATAATTTTGAATTCGGTGATAGTTTTGTGATTGAAGATAAATATAATTTAACGATTGGCTGGAGAATAAAAACAGAGTTGGCAAACGTACAGCAGTTAATCTCGTCTGATCCATCCGGACAGTCCGAACTGCCATCGCATTTCTTCGAAAGTTCCACGCATGCGTACTTGTACTTGCATTGGAAACTCGTAACCGGGTTGCACTGGTCTGAGGTTTGAAAAAAAATTGGTTATAAATGAAACAAAACGAAATTTGACGCGATATTAGAAATTTCAAGAAATGTAACGTCGTAGTTATGACCTGACAAATAATTTTAAAAAAATTTTTTCAGTCTGGCTATTCCAAAAATGGAATAAACATTAACTATTAAAAATGCACCAAACCGGTCTAAAAAAAAATGGTATTCAGCATGGTATTCGTCCGATTATCGAACGGTATAACTGACTGTTCGATTTAGTCAAATAAATTGTGTAAAATATGAACATTAAAATAGTGATGGATTTTTGTACGTTGTTGGAGAGGTTGAATGGTACTAACTGCACTTGCTTTCGTCCCAGCCATCGCTGCAATCGCTGTATCCATCGCATAACCAACTCTCCTCTACGCACCTACTGCTTCCAGGACATCTCACCTGGCCCTCTTTGCAGGATTTGCCTGGTTACATTTAGAAGTTTGTAATAGTTACGGAATGTTCAACATCGAGATCAGTGGCGGATTTATAAGGGAAGGAAGCGTTGTGAGCAGTTTTTTAATGAAAGTCAGAATAAGGACTGTTTTATGTGTGAAATCGACCAAAAATTGAACTTGATAAGCAAAAAAAGGTTGTCAGCCACATCACCACAATCCTGGCCTCCCGTAAAAATGTAAGCGGAACGGAATATATTAAAAATTGTTGAATATTAGTTGGTTGTACGGCTGACCGACTGACCAACCAAAGAACCGACCGACCGACTGTCCTACTGACCAACCGACCGGTCGACTGACCAGCCAACCAACTAACCAGGGCAATTGTTTTCATCAGAGCCATCGTTGCAGTCTTCAAAACCATCACACACACGTGAACCATACCTGAGGCACTGTGGTGTGTCCTTACACATGAACCCGTCACATTCTAGTACACGCGAAAAAGTGATGAAAAACGAAAAATGTTATTAATTTTTAATTAATTAAATAACTTAGTTAAAATAATTTACTTTAAAATCTTAAAATATTGACACCGCGCCTAAAAAGCGTTCTCAGAAGGTTAATATGAAACCAAAAACAGCCCGCTTCAAAATGATAAAATCGTTACTCCATCAGACTCTAAAATTTCACATCATATAGCCACATCACCACGTGACGTTCGATTACGTCACAGCATTACATCATTTCTTTACAAAGTCACTAACTGCAATTAATCCTGGAGAGTTCATTCGGGCAGTCGCAGGCATCCAGCAGGCATTTGTTGTACGGCTCGCACCAGGTTGATGTTACTGAAAGATTTCGTTATTATTGTCTTGATACAACTATTGTTATGATAACCAATAATAATAATAATCATCATCATCATTATTATTATTATAATTATTATTATTGTATTTAATTACAATTCTTAGAGTTATCAACAGATAACGACATCATCATTCCAGAGCACCTCAACCATCACGTCACCCAAATAACAATAACAACAACAACAACAACATTAACAACAACAATAATAATAACAATAATAATAATAATAATAATAATAATAATAATAATAATAATAATATGGTGGTTACTTGCACAAGAGCAATTGACCTCATCTGATCTGTCCAGGCAGTCTTGTACTCCATTGCATCTTTTGGCATTGCTGTAACATCCACTTCCCAGTTGGCATGCTACCTCACCAGGGGCACAAACTTTGGCGGAAAATATTTCGAAGAAAAAGTTTATGATGTTCATCTATTTAAAATTACTTTGAAACTTTGCGGTTGTGACAACTTGTGTTAATAGTTTAAATAATTTAGATAATGTTTGGCTTAAAAGTTTCGCGAACATTAACTCTAACATAATTTAATGCCTCACATCTCATAACCTACACACACACACACATAAACTCAGACACGCACACATACACACGCATAGACACACACACAAACACACACACAAACACACATACCACAATTCATTTCATCTTCTCCTCTATCGCAATCTGGATGACCATTGCACCTAAGACTCTTATTAATGATTGTAGTACCGGTCGGACACTTGTATGTTGCTGGGTTAAATAACAAATGTCACGCCTTTAATGTGTAGCAATATAGTTTTGTTTTTCTTCATCTTATTAGTATTATTATATAATTATAATAATTATTATTAATAGGTAAAGGTTAAAGGTCTATTACACTAATCCTATGATCAGAGAAACAATACACAATCATCGCATATGAATACATGCTACAAGACGCTTTACACACGAAGCGAGTGATATGTGGAGATTGTTTTTGTCGTATTCGAACCAGGTCACTGCGAAATATCACCATGCGACTTTAACCACTAGGCTATCACGCTTTGTAGTTATATTAGCACACAGACTACAAAAAGATCTCGATCTTACCACAGTTGCTTTCATCGCTGCCATCGGCGCAGTTGTCGCTCATGTCGCACACGAAGTCCTCGTACAGGCAGCCGCTACCGTCACGACATTTAAACACTTTGTCAGCTGCAAAATCGCCAGCTCCACATTTGTACGCCGGTGGTACTGCCAATTTTTTTTTTAAATTTATTTACCAAAATTTATGAATAAAATTGAAAGTTTTTTGAAAAAATCTATGAAAATCTATCTATTGCTTAGCTAGTTTTGGGCTTTTTGGGTTGTACCATAAAAATTGTTTATCTTATTAGTACAATTACGGTCCAAATTTGTGTAAAATGTTTTGAAAATTTTATGTCATAAACTTGTGTTCGTAACTTACAAGCATAGTATAATAAATGAATAAATAAATGAATGAACGAATGAATAAAACTTGTATTCGTAATTTATAAAAACTGTACAATAAATGAATGAACGAATGAATGAACGAATGAATTAACAAACGAACGAACAAACGAACGAACAAACGAACGAACAAACGAACAAATGAATAAATGAAAAAATACTCACTAATGCAAATATAACACTTTACAAATATTAAAAAAAAATTAACAATTTCATTTAAAAATTTTCTTCCAAGCAACAACAACCTTTCTGCAGCTGACACTGCCCTCTGTAGATAAAGAAATCATCTAGCGCAATGTAGGACAGCGAGTTTGCCGCGGTTGTTGATGATGTCAAAGGCTTCTTAACTTCAAAACGGATTGTTGAAGTGTAGAAGTCTAACGGAAGTTCCATTACCGCCCACCTGGTTTAAATTCAGATAGGAATATCCGGTTACAACTTGAAAGAAAATTGATTCGACTACAAAATGGTTCACAGGAAATGGATTCTATTACTGAATGATTTACAAAGAATGGATTCTACTACAGAATTTTGAATGGATTTTGACGTTTGGTTAAAAATTTTTAAAAAGTTGTGAAAAAAATCTTTATACTTTGATAAGAAGGCGTTGCAATTTGAATTATAAAACGTTCTTTTTAAAAAGAAATCGGTGTATATTAATGGTTGAAATGAATGAGTGAACGAACAGAAGAGTGATTGCGTGAAGGAAAGTAAGAATATAATGAATAAATGATTGAATGAATGGATAATATATAAATAAATAAATGAATGAATGAATGAACGAACGAACAAACGCACCTGGGTTCGTTAACATGCTTCATCACAAACGTTCGCCTAGCAATGAAAGAATCAATGGCCATAGGAACCATCACAACCTTACATTAATGACGAAATTTTTAATTTATTACTATATTAATTGTTTTATTGATATCATCGCTATCCAAACTTGAAATTGTTAATTAACTATTCATTAAAATATTTTTTGTCTTCTATTTTATCATATTTAGTTTTTAAATTTATAAATTTTAAAAATTAAAAACTCATATATGAATTTTCGCCACGTCCAAATGCGTCAAAAACATGAGGCAAATTGTCAAAATCGCTCCTCATAATCAAACACGTTAACAATTATATGAATGATTAATAAATAAATTGATTAACTAATCAAACACGTTAACAATTATATGAATGATTAATAAATAAATTAATTAACTAATTGGTTAGTAATTAATTGAGTAGATAAAAAAACATTTATTTGTTACCCTTAGTTCACTTTCATCAACCATACTATAGTGAAACTGAAAGCACCCAAATATTCCTGTGGATTCGGAAATGAAAACGGGAATTTCCAGGACAACCAAGCCATCCGGAGCAAGAGGTGACGTGTCGAGGTATAAAATGTTACCTGGATTGAGATAGTGGGATGGTGGGATCAGAACGGTGGGATGTGGAGTGTCGTGTGTCCAGTTGAAGTTATAAAATGAACGCATCTTCGTGAGAGGTTAATTAACAATTTTATTTGAAGTAGAATATATTTATTATCTTTGGTATAGAACGTCATTAATATTTATTATCTTTCTTCTACATGATTTTAATAAACCATCCCCATCTTTTCAAACATAATCATATCGTCATTTCTGACTACTCCATTTTTAAACGTCATCACCAATAACGTCTTCATCACCACAATCATCGACATCACCACCATTGTGACGTCATCATGACATCACTATAATCCCTACCATGTGATTGGCCAGGAGGGGGTCCACCGGCATCAAGCAGGTAGGTGGAGCTAACGTTAGTGACTGACCAATCAGCATCGTCCAGTGGAGTGCCCAACTGTCTGAGGTCGCATTGGAGAAAGTCATCCATGTTGCAATTGAACAGTGAATCTGCGTAGGTGGAGATAATGAAATTAGATTGTCAAATATTAAGCGCTATATCATTGAACTTTATATTCACCAAAAATTGCTATAAATTTTTTGAAAAATTATCAGTTGTTTTAAAATAAATAGTAATGTATAGTTGAATCTATGTAATAATTTAAGATGTACCTTCTTTAAAATGAAATTGCAATACGTCGCAAGCAAGATAACAATACCTATAAAACAAAAGACAACACGAAGCCACAATACAAAATACACACACGGATACACACAAACACACACACACACGAACACACACACACACGCACACATACAAACACACACACAAAACACACACACACCTCTGCAGTTAAGTTCGTCCGTGATTCCACCGCATTGTGAAAACACATTGCATCTCGTTGACTTCAGACTCTCACATGTGTAAATCTCTTCATAGTCGCATTTCATCGTATCCGAACCGCACACTGTCATTACCAGTGAATAAGACATTCATATTAATCCGGTACTAAGACAAACCTATAGAAACAAACCCATCCTAAAACACATTAGAAACGCGATACAAACGCGGTATGATGATAATTAAGTTATAATCATGCCGTTATCTACAATACGGTACTGACGGTGGGGGATCTAGTATACAATCGACCAAAATAAAGTCGTCAGCCACACTACCACAAATGTTGGCCCCCGTCAAAATTTTTCTCAATCCCCCCGTCATAATTTTGCCCAACCCCGTGAAAATTTTGCTACCCCCGTCAAAAGTTTGCCCACCCCTCGTCAAAGTTGTCCAGATCCGCCACTGGGTACTGAACAATTTTTTTAATTAGTCGATGATGACAGTGAAAAAAAATAATGTTTTTTTTAAACAATGGCCTAATATTATTAACTAATAATTAATATAATTAATTAATTAATAATTAAATTAATTAATAGTTGCAAGGATAATGTAAAGACAAGCGTGTTGGCGAAAACATTCCAAATACTCTCCTCCAACCTTCCTCTTCACATGCAACATCCAACATGGTGACGTCATCGATGGCGATGAAGTTCATTGGCTCGCGCGACGATGACGTAAAAGTTTTCACAGCGAATACGAAGGAGTAGAGACCAGGCGGTACGCTGATTTTTACCGGGTACCTAGGGGTAGAATTTTTAAAGTGAATTTGTGTGGCAGTTGTTTCAATGTATAGATTCACTTGATAATAATTAGAGTTACCTAACCCAATGTAACGTTCTATAAGACCATATGGCTTAGTGGTACTTCAACTTTTTTTAAACTTTTATAAGAATTTTTACATTTTCCGCAATTACTTTTCATTGCTCAATTTGCTTTTTTTTTAATTTTTCTTATTTTGTTTAAAACTTTACCAGCTGTTATAAATTCTGTCTTGTCGAAGTGTGATTTTCTAAAAAAATAAAAAAAACTACACTTTGTTTTGGATAAAAAAATTTAATTCGTTCGTTTTTTTAAATATTTTGTTTTACTCGTCTACAATCTTACAGTTACTCTTGATGCATCATACTCATTCAAAAGTTTGGCGGCTGAAATGGAAAAATTTGCCGTGGGAATGACAAAATTAGTTGTGGGAATGACAAAATTGGTTTTGGAAGTGGAAAAATGATATATACCAACTGACCACATAGAATCGGACACACTCAGGCTGGATCGATACACCTCATTTGAATCTTCCATCACTTCCAGGTATCTGTAACTAGCTTCCTTTTCCTCCATGGCTAGTCTGTGCACGTACAACTGGCCTGGGATAAGAAACAATTATTTAACATAATCATATCATTTATTACAAAATAAAATTGAAAAATGATTACAATAATTACGTACTCAATTAATTAATTAATAAATCGATTAAATATCTTGGAATAGATGAAAAATCATACACAGCTAAATACACACACACACATATATACACACACATATATACACACACACAATCACACACACAATCACACACACTCTATCTCTTAGACACACACACACTCTCTCTCTCTTTCTCTCTCTCTCTCTCCTTAATCACCGATTCCTTTGGGCCCTCTGGTCAGCAGATAGAACAGAAGACATGAATCCGATTGGACGTGCACCACAGGGCTGATCATGTGGGCCTCTGATGAGCCCCCTAGCATGAAATGACCTGTTGGGCATGATGATGATGTCGATGATGATGGTAATGATGACGATGTGGTATAGTGATGATGATGTTGATGATGATGATGATAACGATGATGTTGATAGTAAAATGTTTTGGTGAAAATGTTCTCCATAGGTCAATAAAAAGTAATTACAAAATAATTAAAAAATTTCAAAATTTTCAATTTAACCAGAAGTAGTCTTGGTGGTGTGATCGTATATCGGGCCGTAGTTGAGTGGAGGCATGGCGACCTGACCTTTTGACCTTTCCCATTCCCCTCCCAAATTCACCTTCGTTTATGTAGAGTTATTTGTATCACAATCGATGTCAAAGACGTTAACTAAATTGGCTTCGTTATTTGTCGCAAATAGAGTTTTTATCATTTTCATCATCACTTTATTCAGATCTATGGTTTGTACTGTTTGTGATTCATCATCTCAATCATTGAAATCATCGCCATCATCACAATGGTGTTTGTTAATCAATATCACCATTCCAACACTATCGTCACCATAACCGTCATCAGCATCTTCATTATCGTATCTGCCATCTTCATCATCGTCATCATCATCTTCATCATCGTCATTATCATCTCCATCATCTTCATCATCATCATCTCCACCATCATCTTCATCATCATCTTCTTCATCATCATCTCCATCATCTTCATCATCGTCACTATCTCCATCATTTTCATCATTTTCACCATCGTCATCAACTCCACCATCATCTTCATCGTCATTTTCTTCACCATCATTTTCATCTTCACCATCTCCATCATCATCTTCATCATCATCTTCTTCACTCTCATCACCTTACCTTCAATGATTTGTAGCCGCAAACTTTCACGTCTTCAAATGTACAATTGATGCTGGAAGCTACGAATTATTATTATTATTATTAACTTATTTATTATCATTACTATTATTATTCAATCATTTGTAATTATAATTATAATAATTATTATTATTGATCTTTTTGAATGAAAGAACACCTGTAATGTTATATACAAGCATTTGCTAATTTGAAAACAGGTTAATTTAAAACGACGAAATGTTAAATTTGGCAACATTAAAATTGTTGTTAGCGTTGATGTTATTGATGTAAGAAGAATTATTGTTAGATTTTTTGTAATGTTAGATATTTCATAATGTTATTGCATGTTACTGGCTCGTGTTATGATGATTTTAAGATCGTATAGAGTGTCTTGGCTGAGTTAGCCTGGTGAAGCTGTGGAAAATGTTATAACTAAGGACGTTGTCAATGTGAATTTGTTGTTATTTATCGGTTTTTAAAGTTAAATACCGGAAAAACAAAAAAAATTATTTAATGAATTTACAAACAATATAAAAAATTAAAAATTTCATGATTTTGGAATCTAATGAAGAAACAAATACCTTTTTCTTGTGTCATTTCTAGGCTCATAAATAGTTTAAATGCTAAAAACCTTGTTGCCGGTTGGTTCCGGCAGAGTTGTTTGTTGCAGGGAAATTGACAGATCTTCTCATTCGAATTTGACTATCGTCATCATCATCATCGTTGTTGTTGTTGTTGTTTGTTACATGTGCAATGTTGTTAATTTGTAATAGCTTATGTTGTGTGCCGTTGTTGTGGTTTTTTATGTTGTAGTAGTGTTTGTTGTTGTTGCTTTGTGTGTTGCTGTTGTTTTGTATATTGTTGAGGTTTGACATGTTATTGTTTGGTATGTTGTTGTTGTTGTTGTAGTTGCTTTGTATGTTATTGCTGTTTCTCAAATAAGTTTTAAAATGTTTATAGCTGCTGTAGCCAAACCTTTTAAATTTTTCATTGTAGCGATCGTCATCATTGTGAAAATTTTTAAGAAAAAGAAAGATTTTTTCGTGACTTTGCCTGTTCTGTGTGGTGAATAACGTTTGTGATGGCTGTTTCTGCTTCAACTGCATGCTGAAAACTAATTGTACTGGAGACATTACTGATCTGAAAGCATGCACTTGTCTGGGTTTGAAAAAATTTTGAAGTAAATTTATATTTTGGTGACTGTGGTGAGTAGTTGGCCGAAGTTTGGGGAAATAATCCTGTTTGTGAGAGGGGAAAAATTTTAATTTTTTATAATTTTGACGATCACTAGTTTTCTGTTCTTGGATGTGGTGCTGGTGATAAAGTGATGGCTGCAGTTGCTGCAGTTGCTGCTGTTGCTGCTTGTGGTTGTGGTGGTTGTGATGGTCTCCCAATTTACTTCTCTGAGGCTTTTCTGGCATTTTACATTTTCGCGATTCTCCAGTACCTCATTTCATTTTATTTTTTTAATTGAAATTTTAAAGTTGTTGATTAAAATCAAATAAATGAATATTAACGATTAAATAAATAATCAAGTTTTTAAAATAATTTAAGGTTAATAATTTGTGAATCATGTGTGTTAGTTTTGAAATTATTGCATGAAACTTGTAAATGATAATTTGGTCCATTGAAGCCTAAGCTATGAAAAGCGTACGTATGTATAAAATCCAAAGTGAAATAGGTTTGGAATATAAAAAGTTTGCATGAAACTAATTATTATAGGCCTAATTAATATTCATTATAAAGACTAAGCCTTGATTTTTTTAAATAAATTTTTTCATTTATACATTAGCAATCACGTGATCATCAAACCATCATCATCATCATCATCCTTGAAATCTTTGTCATCAGTATCTTGTCATCATCGTCATAACCATCATCTCCGCCACACCACACCACACCACACCAACCACCTACCACAATTGTCGAGGTCTTCGTCCATAACATCCAAGCAGTCAGCAGTACCATCGCATATCTTACTAGTGTTCCACAGACAAGTGGCCCCATTGTCACAGGCAAATGGACAACCTTAACACCGTACATGTGTGTGGTCAGTGTTGATGGCAAGATGGGGGCTAACATTAATAATATTCCAATCCTAATAATTATAAAAATTATAGAAATAATAACCATAATTAAAAATATAGCACAGACAGTAATTTAAAACGTATCATAAAAGAGTGATAATGTAGCATTTAAAATCGGCGGGCTGATTTGGTTTTTTTCATTTCGATTTAGCAACTCTTAAAAGAACGTAAAAAAATGTTTGCTTAAGGACCAGGCATGTTACTTGGTGGGTAAACAACAACTCGGCCTTTGATTTCTCTTTCATCAAATGCTGCCTCTCTTCTATGTCAGTCGCAATCAATTAAACGCTCTTGTCACAATGTCGTGTGAAAAAACATTTTTGAAATTTGAACAGTTAAAATTTCGGTAATTTTGAAGAGATTTTGATAGTGAAATGTCATAAAAATTTGCCCGTAAGTGTGATTATATTTGTAAAATACTCACGTATAATTACTACCCAGCAGTACAGATGTGGTTTTTTGGGATTGGAATCATTAAAGTTTTGTCTGCTGAGGATTTGAAATTGGTTTCCTAACAAAAACGCCGCTTATAACACATAAATTTGGCTATGATGTCTGCTTATTTGATTGTGACTGGTAAGAATCATAAAAACGTTAACAAAACATAGTAATATGACATCAAATTAGACAAAAAAAATGGCAAACGAAGGCCAACACCATCCTCAACAGCAACCAACTCATAGCACTCTTCAGCCATTGGCTGTGGTAGGAAACGTTCGTGAAGACGGACGGCTTCATGACGACATCGCAACCGGTACTGAGGAACGTGAACACACCGACAAGACGCCAAGGACTGAAGCTGTTGATGCTACTGCTGCCGCTGCTGATGCTATTGCGACAAACAAGTGGCCCGCCACTGTCGCCCTACAAAATAAGAATTTTAAAAAGCTGATCAAACCGATTTTTAATTAAGGAAATTGTAAATAATTCAATCCTCTAGGTTTTGGGTGAAATTTTTATTGTGCAAAGATAATTTCTTACTTTATGGCCTTCGTTGCAACTAATTTTCATGACACATTGTATGCATTTATTAATAGAATGTATCAGTCTATTAAGTTACTCCATTAAATTCTTTAATAAATTTTAGACAGAAAAGTTGGCAAAAAAATCTGGTTGTGGTATTATTTTTTAACGTGGATTAGGGTTAGAAAGTGAGAGAGAGAGAGAGAAAGAGAGAGAGAAAGAGAGAGAGAGAGAGAAAGAGAGAATAGACCTAACCTTGCAATTAGCAATGATTCCCCCAGTGTACCCGGCGCAAATCATGGATGGAGAGATGAAGAAGTTCGTCTTCCTGCATTCATCCCACGACCACAGCTTCAGCTTGGCCACTTGCAGAATTGTCGCATCTGAAGTACCTTGGAAATGTTAACGTGATGAACATGTGGCGGTTGTGGTGGCGATGGATGATGCTGTAGTAAAGGTGGTGATCAGACAGAAATGGAAAAAAATTTAATGGTTAGCAATGACAGCATTGATGGTGCTGGTGACTGAAGATAATGATGAGAGGCTGAGAAGAAAATGATATTGTCGGTGCCACGGAGTGATAGTGCTGCATTATTTATTTACAATATTTCAATTATTTTCAAAGTTATTTTGTAAAATTGTCAAAACTCCTATGCCACTTACTGTTATAAAAATTTGTGAGTCCCCAGCCAAGCGCGTAACAAATTGATGACGTTGTGATGACGTCATACTGCGGGTCGATCAGGCAGACGGGCGATAAAGCTCTGTTGAATCGAACGGGGGTCGCCAATCTCAAAATGGCTATATCGTTTCCCCAATAGTAACAGAACCTGCGGTTTTCGTAACTCGTTGAATTAATTTAATACAGTCTCTCATCTACCTAAGCCATGTCAATTTTTTAGGTGAAAAGTCATTTTAGCCGATGTGTGAAGTATTATGCAGGTTTAGAAAAAATTATGTACACCAAAAAAAGGAGTGATAACATTGGAATGATGTTTGATTGATATTCTAAATTGTTTGGCTTCATTATATAGCAAAATAAGGCAAAGTAAATACGAATGACATCCTTCGAGAATGTCAACTAACGAAGTATAATTTGGGTGGACGGTGAAATTTTGAACTTGAATGAAAGATGCTCTGTTGGTGAAAAGGTTTCCACTGGCTTCTGAGGACTTTTCGATGGAGCCCAACATGAGCGTGTAGTCGGATGGCTCTGAGCTGATGCTGGGCGATGTTTGTTTGCGTGTCGTCTCAATTGCAGGTGAGAATGAGTTTCAACAGTTTTAAATTATACAATGGACACATTTTAATTTAAATAAATTCATCGGAAACAGTTAATAAAAATTCTTTTCATTTTTTCATGACGTTGCAATTTAATTAATTTTACATTTTGTTCTATTTTACATTCAATTTGTTTATTCATTTATTAAATTATTCAAAAATTCCAACTGAATTCAACTATCAGTGTTATCTTTATTTGCTTTTTTACAAAATACGCACCCTACAGCATGAATTTCTTATTTATTTCTATCTAGAAACCATAGACTTAGACTTAGACTAACTCGAGACAGTGGGCAGCGGTTACCACGTGTCGTTCGTCTAGAAGAGAGGCGCCACAGAGCTGTTTCTTGAAGTAGAACAACGCCGCTTGCCAGGGCCACGTGTCTGGTCTCGCGTCGTTGCCGTTGACGATCGGTTGCGGCGGCGGCGGCGGTGGTGGTGGAAGTTGGGAAGATGAAAAAGATAATGATGATAAAGATGATGATGGTGGTGACTGCTGGGGCACTGCCATGTTGGATTGGAAGCTGCAAGCTTTGTGTAACAATGCCGTTTGTTTTATTAAAAATAAAATGTTCCAGTTTGAACTATAGCAACATCTCATTCATCATTTAACAGATCTTCATTGTCACTGGAGCTACTATCTCTTCAATCGAAATCATATAAACCACACTATTTTAACCATTCAATCCGTCATTACTAGCACCACCATAGTCATCCAAATTATCATAATCCTAATTGAAATCGCCGATATTATTAATCATATCATCATAGGAATTGAAATAAAGAACATCCCTCACTGATTATCCAGTTAACGATACTCACTTGCTGGTGAACACGTAAGTGCCAGAGCTTGTTGGCTCACACAAGATGTACTGTTGTGTATATAATTGCAATAATCACCCTCTTAAACCAACACCATCTTTTATTTATACGTTGTTATAATACTTAAACCGACAAACCTCATACGCCACTGATTTGTTATCAGGTTGGGATTCGCTGGAGGTGATGGTGGTGAAGCGGAGAACGTGTAAAAGTTATCCCCTGGCATGTAGGATGATGCTTTGCTCGTCATGTCACTGGATAAATAACAATCGGAGTAATTTTCTTCACCATGTATGAAAATTTTATTGTTTAACAATATACTTTTTATAACACTTATCATTAAATCAAATCAAAATAACAAAATTTTCAAAACTTGAAGGAAGGCTTTGACTTATTTTAACGCAGTGGGCAGAAAATTAAAATTGACAACTGTTTGTTTAACAAATATCTGGCGTTCTACGCAACACTTTTGTTTAAAATTACTTCAAATATTCGTTTAATAATAAACAAAATTGTAATGCAAATAAACTTGGAACTTGTCAACATTTTTTCCAGTCAAATTCAAATTCAAATTTTTTGATTCAATCATAACATGAGATATATGGATCTTTGTGAGAGCAAAGATGATAACAAGCAAATTAATCTATTCAAAGTGGTTAAGTCTTGCTAAAACTACATCAAAACAGTTGAAAATGTATTTTATTTTACTGGACAAGTGTAAAACAACAATTTGGCCACTACTAACACCAGTAAAACAGCATCAACAGTCACAAGACAACAACAATAACAACAAAAACACGAAAACTTCCGACACCGAGAATGTAGTTTTTTTTCTAGTTTTCCGACTAACCCCATGTTCAAATAGCGACACAAACTGTTTGCTACGTCATCAGTCACGTGATCGAAACACACGGGAATCCATTTTGTCGTGTTGCCGTAAAATCCAAACACGATTGATTGGAGATTGAGTTTTACTTCATGCAGACAAGTGAAAATGGAAAATAATTTTGGGACATTTAAAAATTTGAATAAGTTGAAAAAATCTTCTCAGATAGTTTTATTATCACTAAGAATATTTTATAATTTAAAATCCAAAGTAAAATGATTTTTTTATCTATTACTTAACAATCAGCCAACGAGCCTGCCAATCAATCAGCCAACCAACCAATTAATCAGCCAACCAATCGACAAATATACCAAACCAAACAATCAGCCATCCTACCAATCAGCCAACAAACCAACCAACAAACCAACCAACAATCAACCGACAAATCAACCAGCCAACCGACAAACCACAACCGACCAACCGACCAATCAACCGACCAACCGACGAAAATGATTTTTTTATCTATTACTTAACAATCAGCCAACGAGCCTGCCAATCAATCAGCCAACCAACCAATTAATCAGCCAACCAATCGACAAATATACCAAACCAAACAATCAGCCATCCTACCAATCAGCCAACAAACCAACCAACAATCAACCGACAAATCAACCAGCCAACCGACAAATCACAACCGACCAACCGACCAATCAACCGACCAACCGACCGACCAACCAACCGATCAATCACAATCGACCAACCAACCAACTAACCACATCCCAGTTCGTCCGACCAATCAGCACAGTCATTCCTCCCATCACATTGCATCTGCTTGTCAACGCATTGTCCATTCGTGCACTGATACTGCTTGTCGACATTACAGCGATCTGTATGGACATGTTGGTAATGATTTGCATATTCAAAAAATTAAATTATTTAATGAATAATTAAATAAGACATAATTATTCAATATAATAATAATACACAACAACAAAAACAATAACAACAACAACTAATACCAACAAATCACATCAACAACTACCTGCAAATTACATCAACAAAACTCACCACAGTTACTCTCGTCGCTAGCATCGTGGCAGTCAACTTCACCATCGCATACCCACTCACTCATTATGCATTGTATTGAAGATGATGATGAAGATGAGGGAGAGGAAGATGATGATGAGGAAGAAGAAGATGATGATGGTGAAGAAGAAGAAGGAGATGCTGTTTTGTTTGTTGCACATTTAAACTGTCCTCTTTGACACTCTATAAAAAACACTTTTATTTTTAAATAAGCATAATAGTAATAATATGACATTTAATTAATTTTTTTAAAGTTTTCAATTAATTTATATGAAAAAACAAAAAAAAATCATTTTATAGCCTTGAAAGCTTTCATTTGGATAAACAAGATTAAATGGATGAATTTATTAAAAATGAAAGATTACTAAACACAAACCACAGTCCAAGAATAAATAGCCGAAACACCAGAAACACTAATCAAAAGAATAAACAACAACAAAAAACATCAACAACGAAATAACATCAACAACGAATTAACATCAACAACCAGATAATATCAACAACGACAACGACATCAAAAAGCATAACTGTCCTTTTATATTCCTTAGCTAACACTAAACTCAATTTGAAACTACACTATGGGTGACCTCTTCAGTTAAGATCACCAAGAATATAGATTGCACAATTTTTTCAATTACTTTTTAATTTTAATATAAATTTGTTGGAAAAAAAGCCCAGACCGCATTGGAGTTCATCGGACTTGTCGAAGCAATCCGGCTGTCCGTCACATCTCTTCCAAGCAGACACACATCCACCCCGCTGGCATTGGAATTCTTTTTGAATTTGGCATACTACAATTTTTTATTATGATTGTTGATAAGTGATGAGGGTGAAAATAAGGATGATAATGACGATGATGAAGATGTTGACCATCATCTTCAGGATGATGGTGAGGAAGATGTTGACCATCATCTTCAGGATGATGGTGAGGAAGATGTTGACCATCATCTTCAGGATGATGGTGAGGAAGATGTTGACCATCATCTTCAGGATGATGATGAGGAAGATGTTGACCATCATCTTCAGGATGATGATGAGGAAGATGTTGACCATCATCTTCAGGATGATGATGAGGAAGATGTTGACCATCATCTTCATCTTGATACATGGTTACATTCAAAAAATATGGCGATTGCAGCAGTAGAAGCAGCAGTAGTAATAGCAGTACTACTAATAGTAGAAGTATTATTAGTAGTAGAAGTAGCAGTAGTAGCAGTACCATTATTTACATTAGTAGTAATAGAAGTGGCAGTTATTGCGCTTAGTAAACAGCTTCACATACCGCAATTAATTTCGTCGCTATTGTCCAGGCAGTCGTTGACTTGGTCGCATTTCAACGCTGCTGGTATGCATGTGTGGTTGTTGGCACAGCCAAATTCATCCACGTTACATTCTTTTTGTAGAAGAAATAATTAAATAGGTAATATAATTTTTATTATTTTAGTTTGTTTTTAAAAATTCAACTAAATCCAGTCAAGGTTCTTTTAGTTACTTTGGAATGATCAAAGATATAGCAACTTGAATAATTTTGAATTGTTTTTATTTCGATGTTTGTTACTATTTGTAAATACTGTGAGTTGGTTGATATTTTTTTGAATATCGAGTACCAACCTAACCGCGGACAGGGCCCCTCTGCAAGAATGACGTCATCAACCGCAAGGTCACCCGCGTAATTTGCACCCCTGACGTATTCGAATATGACTTTGAGGGTACCTGCCTGAAGGTCAATCTGACCGTGCGACCAAGTTGAACTCTGACCTCTCATCTGACTCCAAACCAGTTGAGGAATGTCGTTGAATGTGTTAGTGGTGTATATCTGGTGGTTATGTATGAAAAATTATGATGACCAACACAAAGATGGTGACGATGATTTTACGAAAATTTATTCTAGTAAAATAAATACTGCGAAAGAGAAGTGCTATTGTCATAAAATATGATGATGTCTTTGTGTTAGTTTGTTAATGTTATGCATTAGTTAAACTCTGAATTGTGTTTGAGTTTATCAGAGACATTGGAACATCTTGTTGGGAGTTCAAACAAGTTGTTATCAAAAATGCATGTTAAAATGATTCTAAAGTTGTAATGTTAATATTTTTCATCATCATTAAGAATATTATAGACTTGATTAACCATATTAAATGTTGTTACGAGGTAAATAATAGTTAATAAACAAATAAAAAAAATGAAATAAAAAGTAAATAATAATTAAAATTAACTTTGAACCGGCTGCCACTTCCACTACTACTAATGTCAAGTCCGTGGTAGAAAAACTTCAGGCAATGAGTAGCCGTACTCGTTGCTTTTGACGTCATCAACGATGTCATCATCATCCTCGCTACGTCATTTTCCGCGTAACCCGATGACCGGGCCACGACTACCCATCCTGCGGATTAGATTAATTAACATAAATTATTTAGTCTTACCAACGTTAATAAAACCATAACAAAATCATAATAGGCATAGTTTTCTAAAGTGGAATTCTCTACCTAATATCAGTCAAATAGAAGCGAAAATCAAACCCATTTCAGAATTTTTTGTATGATCTTTCAAGGGTTTCAATGAAGGAAGACCCACATTGCCATCCTCAACCTTATCACCATCGACACTACCGCCAGTAGTCAATGTACCAGCTCGCTCCAGGGACCATGAAAAACTGGAATCAAGTAGGGGTACGAAGTTTTCCCACTCTCCTCTCTCAAACGAAATGTGATATGGCAGGTTCGAATCTGAAAATTTTGAATGCTGAGATAAAAATTTTTGGATTTAACTAATGAACTAATGTTTTTCCAACATATAATTTTACTTGTTTGGATTCAAATCTACATCTTGAAATTTAGATTATAATCGTCAAAAAATACGCTAACCAGGGTAAAGTCAATTAAAGTCAGTCACAAGAACAGCCACTAACAGCAACTAGCACAACAAAAATACCACTGATTACGTCATAAACTACGAGACCATCCTACCCCGCTGGCACTCCTCCTCGTCGCTGGCATCCCCGCAATTATCCACCTCGTTGCAAACTGACCTCCAACTTATGCACCGGCCATTGTCGCATTGAAATCTATCTCGTTCACATTTCTCTTCTGTTTTAAAATATTTTTAAGAAATATCTGCCATCAAAAAGTCGGAAAAATAATTTTATTCAATTTGATTTGTTTTGGAGTATTGAATTTTCGAATCGAAAAAATAGTTGTATTTAATTTTTTTGGAGTATTGAATTTTATATTAACAAAAAATTTCTTCTTAGCCATAATTACAACTAGCATTTACCATCTACCATTCTGACTACGACACTCAAAAGGTACTTGGATTGTTTATGGTTTCTGGCGTCATTGTTTGCTCGAAGAGAGCGTTTAACATTTTGCCACCCATTAAAGAGTTTCAAAATTCTGAATTGTGAATTATAAATGGGAACACTCAATAAAAATCCGGAAGATGGGATTTCACTTTTGGTGAAGATAAGGGAGATTTACTGACAATAATTTTGATTTATAAAAGACGGAACTAAATTAAGAAGATCATTCTCTTGACGACTAGATGACGTACAGATAGCATCCTTGCGCTTGAGGCCGATAAGCTGAAAACAAACAAACAGACAAACGGAAGTAAATAACGCATTTCCGTATTCTCATTTCCGGATCTACCACTGACAACGAAGCACGCACCATTCTGTGGGGATCTGTACATGTGGGAAGGCATGTAGCAGATGTCCGGGTCGTGATCGCTGATGAGGTCGTGGCAGTCGATTGGTATCAAGCAGGCCAGGCTGATTTCTGAATTTCGAGTGTTCCAAATATTAATTAATTAATTAATTAGAATAAATTTATTTAAGTTATAATCAACAAATAATAATCATAAATTTAATCATTCTCAATAGTGTTACTTATGAAATTTTATGCTATATTACTTCTGAAAATGATTTCATTGGAAAAGAAAGAAGTTAAACAGAAACAAAAAATATGCATTTGCGAACGTCGTTGTATATGAACCGACATGTATTCAATAAGTGCGTATGTCAATCGCACGCACGCGAACACACACACACACACACAAACACACACACAAATCTGTCCTATGAATGTTTGTCAGCGAGTCATGACTATGTAACTTGCGTTCGTATGCAATTCGTGATTAAAAACTCCCCCATACCTTCACAAAACCGTTTACAAGGGAGCACGAATGTATCATTACCATCGTTACCGCCACTCTGACACCTAGGGAATGACCTGGAGCAGACGAAATCCAGTGTAAAGTTGTGGCAGTCCCGGTTTAACAGGCGAAGGAATCGTACGAAGAGGTCCTTTCCGAGTGAACTCAGGTCAAGGTCTTCGAAATCGTAGTCGATCGCTGTCGTCGGTCGGGAAGTTTTTGGTGACGTCATTACACGTGACGTCAATTTCCATGGCGACGATGACGATGATGATGGTGGCGATGGTGTTGGCTTGGGATTTTGGAAGTTTATTGTGTAGTCGTACCCAAGATTCAAGCAGGGTGCAAAGGTTAGTTTGGAGCAAGATGCTAAATCATGATCATTTGAAATGTTTTTAGTTTTTGGGATGTTTATTTTGAAGATATTTATATCCTAATAGTTGTGGGTGGTTTCGATTTAAGAAAATTTAGTTAAATTATTACAAAAAAGTTATTTATATTCACCGCTAAAGATTTGTTAGACTTGATTAAGTATTAATATTATTGGATGTTGTTGTGTTGTAATGGTTTTAAAAACCTTTTTTTGGCAGAAGTTTTTGTTTACCCACTGACGGCATATTTGATCGTAAGTAACTTGGCAAGTCATCTGTTTTATTGAAGTGTTTGTGTGCTTTGTTGTATAAGTTTGCATGTGCTGCTCATTTTGTATGTGTCTGTTTGTATGTGTTTTATATGTGCTTGAGTGTGTGCGTTTTGTATTTGTCAGTATGCGTCCAGTATGTTTTTATATGTGTTTGTAGAAGCCTGATGTGTTTTGAATGTGAATTTTGTGTGTGTGTGTGTTTTGTATGTGTATAGTGTTTGTATGTGTGCGATTTTTGTATGCGATGTATGTTTTTTTTACTCTCACCAACAATCCAGACATCATTATCAGGATCTATCACGTCACTCGTGGATTGATTCATTCGAATTGAAGTTTTTATGACGTTTAATAAATTGTTTTTGGTTTCTCTCTGAGTGACGTCACTATCGGCATCGAACGTGGCGCTGGTGATGATGATCGTCAATTGTACCAACACACTACCTTGTCTGACGAGATGATGATGACGATGACGACGATGATGATGATGATGACTAAAAGAATGATGGTGATGATGATGACGAAATTGATGGTGTTCTTTGAATGATCCTGTGATGGAATTTGAGATATATAAACTCGAAGCGTGAAAGATGAATTATAAACAATGGAAGTCATGTCAATTTTTTACTTTCTGCGATTTCATAATCCCGAAACTTTTCACTGTTCCTTCTTAAAAAGACTAATGTTTCAATGAATTCTACGGTTATAAAACTGCTCAAGTTGTTTCAATGGAAACAACTCTTTTTTCCATATTTTAAATTTCTCTATGTTTGAAATGCTTTAGCCAAAAATGAACAATTCACAAATTCCTCAACCTTTCAACATCTTTTCAAATCTCTTATTTTTCAAGCTTGTTCAAAAACTTTGCTAGAACATGTAAAATTGGAATGAATGAATGAAGGAATGTATGAATGAACGAACGAACGAACGATCGAATGGATGAATGAATGAATATTAGAGTTAATGAATAAATAGATGAATGAATGAATATTAGAGTTAATGAATAAATATCAAATTATTAATAAGTAAACTAATCACTCAAAGAACCTATCCCATTTCTAATAAACCAAAAGTATAACCTAAAAGTTACATTGGGCAGCAATGTGTAGACATTAGCATACTGACTCCTATCCAAGGTTAAGCGCATCTGATGAATAAATATTTTGCTACGTCTGTGTACAATATAAATGAATATGCACGGATAATTATCTCCATTGTCTATAAATGAATATGCATGAAATAATTGTCTTCATTATCTATAAATGAATATGCATGAAATAATTGTCTCCATTATCTATAAATGAATATGCATGGATAATTATCTCTATTTAATGAATGATTTTATTCTTTGGTAATTACGAATTGAAATTTGTCAAAAATTGAATCTTTTTTGTCGTGGTGGTAGTTGTGTGCACGTAGTACGCACGTATGAAGTTAATTATTTTGAAAAATTTTAATTTAGTAAGATTAGTGTTTTTTTGTCTGTAGGTAGGTAGATAGGCAGGTACAATTTTTTGAATAAAATTTTCAAAATTGGTCACTTCATTTTAATTATGAAGATAGGTAGATGACTTGCTCTACATAAATTCTGTAAATTATTCCAAACAACTCATCCTACATAGTTCATCCAACGAATAAATCCTAGTCTAATATTTAACGAGACATTAATCTGATGACAACAATTCATTAATCGTATGACAGTCAATGAAAGTCTAGACATTCTTTGCGCGCTTACTTGAAGTATTTTAAACATCCTCATTGCAAATCTCTAATCAAATGTTGCAGCGTGCTTGAAAAAATCCAGTCAAACAGTGAAATTTGATCTTTTAAATCTCATAACAAACATAATTAATTGTGAAACTATAGTTAATTATAATTAATAATAATTAATAATAAATAAGTCTGGCGTTTTAACCGTTCTTAATCAAATTAGGAGATGTCTAAACATCGTTGAAGATGGCTAACATTTGGCTATTAACAATTTTTTTTTAGATTTTAGATATTTTTGTTGTATTGGTTCCTCGTTTTGTTTTTATTAATATTTTTACTATTTATGATTAATTTATTAGCAAAACGGGCGGCGAGATGTCGTAGCGGTAAGGTGCTTGCATCTCGTTTTGCAGAGACCGGATTCAAATGCAAAACGATGACTTTTGAAGAAATGTATGATAGAGTATTTTTACACAAACAAATTATTTGCGCTCTGGCTTTATTGAAAATTCGATACTCTACAATCTGCAACCATGTTGAACGCTTTGCCTAGCGCCCTTTGTGAATGACATGTTATTAAAAAAAAAGCAAGCCAAAGAAAGTTTAAGAGTTTTCAAACAAAAAGTCAACCAACTTGAGTGAGAATATATGCAGAGGTGTGTGTGTATAGTTGAGATGATGGTACCAACAGTTCGTCATTCCACGAAGCGTTCATTCTGCAGTTACAGATATATTGATTTACTTCAAATATTTTGGTTATTTTAATTATTTCAAATATATTTTAATTATTTTATTTATTTCAAAAAAAAATGTTTTTGTGGTTCTTTTTGCTGGTTAAAAAGAAACATCTACTATTTATCGGCTAAAAATTTGTTTGTACGAAAAATTTAATTATATAGGTAAATTATTAAAACTTATTAATTAGTTAAACAATCAATCAATCAATTAATTAATTAAGTTAATTATTTTTTTAAAAGCAAGCAGTCCATATAACCTCATAAAACATGTGTAGGCTGTCTGTTTGACACCGACTCTAAATATATAAAGTTATCAATATATGAACTATTTATTACAAGCTAAATTAATTAAAATTAATTAAATAATGTAGAGCCTAAAGATTAGTTTTGCAATGTTTATCCTAAATTTCTCATTATTTTCTTGTTAAAATTATCGTCATTACATTGTTGTCAGCATCATTCCCTTCGTCGTCATCATCGTCATGCTTATCATTCTCATCATTAGACCATATACTATATTCTATTTATCTATATCTGAGAAGCATTTGCTTCACAACAAATGCTAGTAACATCTTCATGTTAACCCTCATGTGCTACTTCACTGATAAAAGTTTTTAAGAGTTTAAGATATATTATGGTCTATTCTTATTAGCTGGTGGCTAGGATTAGGGCTATTGTTTACATACAATTAAGTAATTAAGTGCAATGCTATAAACTAAAAATGTAAAAGAAATGAGGCTAAATTTAAATGTAAAATACAATTATTTAAAATTTCATTTTAAAAATCATGAAAAATATTACCAACACTTTAACAGGGCTTGCGTTTTTTCGTCCTGTAAATTTGATTAAAAAACAATTCATATTTCAGGATATTGGCTGGTTGATTGAAATAAAATTGTAGGTATAGTTTTCAATTTTAGAGTGTGAAAATGTTGTGGGTGTCAATTGGTTAAATAATCAGTCAGTTAAATTATCAATCATTCATTCATTTATAACATTTTATCAATCAGACAGTCAATCATTTAAGAACTCATTCTTTTAAACCATTAAACCGATCAATCAACCGTATGTGACTCCAAGTCCCACAGCCAGCCCTATAGCGGCCAGTAGCAGTAGCGACAAAGTGGCCACCAGCATGGCGATCAGGAATTTCTTGTTATTTTCACAGCAATTTTCACTTTTCTCTTTTATGGTTTCATCTGATTTTGAAGCCGGTAGGTGTGTTGTGTTTAAGTTGACCGTTGTTGACGGTGCTTTACCAGATGTTGTTGTCGTTACTGCTGCTGCTGTGAAGTTTTGTTGATGTGTTGCTGAAATTGGTGTTGTATGTCTCGTTGTTGTTGTTGTCGTCGTTGCAAACGAAGATGATGTATTTTTGTCTGAAGTTGATATATTTCGGTCTGTTGTACTCTGTATCGTTAAATCGTCGTTGTGGCTGTCGAAAGCTTGGTTTGTGAAAAAATATTTATCTGTATCTTTGAGATTGTTGTGGTTGAATTTATTGGGATGGTCGTAGATTGTTGTATAGGGGTCGGATTCTAAATGCTCGTAAGCTTCATTGCTATGACCGCCTGTGTGGCTGTCGTCTTTGTGGTTGTTGTGGTTGTTAGAGGATTTAGTGTTTATGTTGTTATTCTGTATGTTGTTGTTGTTGTTATTTTTGATGTTTTTGTCAACTTCATTATCTAGTAAATTGTCAATGTTGTTTTGGTTTGTATTGTCGTTATGAACGTTGTTGCTGCTGATGCTGTTGTTGTTGATATTGTTGTAAATTTTGTTGCTATTGTTGGTAGTATCATTTTCGGTGGTGATTCCATTTTTGTAGTTGATTTTCTCTATGTCCTGGCCATTTGCAACAACCACAGCTTTCAAATCAACCTAAATGGTTTCATTCAAATACGACGCTAATGAATATATGTTGCAGCAGTTGTTCTTATGTTACATATAGAAAAGTTAATTATAAATGGTTTAAATACTTATACTGGTTTGATTTTAATGTTATATACTAAAAAAATGTTGTTGTTGTTGTGGTGTTGATGTTGTTGTTGTTGTTGTCGTGGTTGTTGTTGTTGTTGTTGTTTTTCTTGTTGTTAGAAAAACATTAACAGTAGATTAACTTTGTTATAATGGGAAAAGAAAAAAGAAAAATGAATTAATTTTTATAAAACTATGGAATATTAGCAAAGTTAATTTTAACAATAAATTAATTATTATATGGATAATTAGCAAAAAACTAAATAGTTTGAAAGATATGAATATGAAAAAAGGAAGAAAATAAAATTTCGTTACCTCCATGCTTTAAGAAGTTGCTACTATATATACCAATCGATAAATTTGAGTTGAGTGTGTGTGTGTTTATGTGTTTGTTTGTATTTATGTGTTTGTTTATGTGTGTGTGTGTGTATGTGATTGTGTGTGTGTATGTGAGAGTGTGTGTGTTGTGTGTTTGTGTGTGTATGTTTGGGGGCTTGTCCGCCTAAATTAACTTTATTAAATTAACTAAATTAAAACAATCCTTTCGATTAGTTTCATAATCAATTTCTCAGATTATTTTTCAGATTAAAAACAAATTAGAAATTAATTACTTTAATGTGTGGTTATAATTTATTCATTTATTACTTTTATCAAACTTTGATTAAGTTTTTTTTTACTAAAAAATATTCCCAATATATCCGTGAATGTTCAAGCAAATTTAAAGAACTTTCAAACTATTTATAAGAAACTCAGTTCTTCAAATATTGAAACGGATGACATTGATTATAAGGGCAAACCACTTGAACCATCTATGCAGTCAATATATATATAAATTCTACCTATGATGTTTGCTATTGTTTTAATGTTATTATTATTGTCTTTTTAGTCATTATTACTATTATTATAATAGTAATTAATCAATGTAGTTGTTATTGTTGTCGTGTCGTTGTTGTGTTCTTTGTTATTGTGTTTGTTTGTTTGTGTGTGTGTGTGTGTGTGTGTGTGTGTGTGTGTGTGTGTGTGTGTGTGTGTGTAGCTAGAGCTATTTGCAGTGGCAAATCCAGGATTTTATTTTTTGGCATGAGGGTGTGCGGAAATGATGACTTCAAGCCAATCCCTCGTGAATCCCGTTTTATCCCAGTTTTGTTGGATGGATGATTTTCCAAATTCTTAGTTGATGGTTTTTTTGCTAGTTTCCGTTTTCTCTATTACTGTATTCTGCACAGAATCCTTCAATATTTTCTACAACTTTAGTTATTTTTATGCATGTATGTATGCATGTATGTATGCATGTATGTACATATGTATGTTAAAACCAAAACATGATGAGTGACACTGAATCGTCAAACATCAAGTAACAAATGGATTAACACTTTGATTTGTCGTATGTATGTATGTACGTGTGTATATGTATATGTGTGTATATGGTTTGTATGTGTATATGGTGTGTACATGTATATGTGTGTATATGTGTGTATATGTATATATTTATTTATTTATTAATTCATACCTACCTTCATACGTTTACTTTAGAGGATCACGAGCTATTGATCATGCTAAACTGATTTCACCAAAGTTTTAAGCGTCATAGATTTGAAGCTCTTTTCATTTAATCAACAAGCTACACAATAACATAAGAGAAACCTATGTATTTGTCTGTGCATGTGTGTGTGTGTGGGTGTGTGTGTGTGTGTTTTGTTTCATTTGTGCGTGTGTGTGTGAGAAGGTGTAGGTTTGTTTGTGTAGACATATATGTGTGTGTGTTTGTTGGAGTATGTGTGTGATTGTTAGTTTGCTTGTGTTTGTGTGTGTTGGCTTGTCTTTCTTTGAATGTGTGTTTTTACGCTTGCTGTGTGAATGAAAAGGCAGTTGAGTGTTCATATACACAGATTACATACATTACATAGATTACCCCCCTACATACATTACATAGATTACATACAGATTACTTTTACCTTGTTATGGTAAAAGATGTTTGCATATATGGAAATCAATTGACGATTTAATAAGTTAACAAGTAGATAAATTAGTTTGTGTGTGCGTGTGTGTGCGTGTGTGTGTGTGTGCATGTGCATTGATAAATAGAAGTAAATATAAAAATAACTGATAAGATATTGCTTATTTCCTCTTGTTAGTTGACGAAAATTTTTAGAATTAATTCCTAATGATCAACATTTTCTCACAGATAACTTAACTTCATAACTTGAAAGAATATGCAAAATGATTGATTTTTTTTTATAAATTTATGAAAGCTATCAGTAGATGGAAGAAGAGTAATGTCGGCGTCATATTATATTATGCGTTTGCATTGGAAGCTACTTCAACGTCGATAACTTTTCAAGTTTAAAAAGAAATTTATTTATGCGGCTTCTTTCCGTGAAATGTCTCTAATGATTCGTAAAACTAAAAAGAAACTAAAAGTTTAAAAAGAAATTTATTTATGCGGCTTCTTTCCGTGAAATGTCTCTAATGATTCGTAAAACTAAGGAAGTTAATTATTGATCGTAGTAGAAGGCTGACGCAAGCGTGTTTGTTTTGTTACATCTTATCTTTGCACGTTTCGTGTTTGGAGGTATTTGGGTTTCAATTATTGCAAGAAATGCTAGGAGATTTCAAAACTTATGCAAGACCATAAAATTTCAGCTAAATATTTTAATAATTTTTGAAGAGTTTTTTTTGTCAGTTTTTTTAAATCTCAATTTTTCACTATAAGCGCGCAATAAAGTCGACAAACTTTTTACTCACATAAAAGTTAATGTCTCTCTTCTTTTAAAAACCTTACACCGTTAACAAATTTTTTCATAATTTCTCCTTATACACGTTAAACAATCGACTGTTTCGTACCGAGACGGGATCTAAGGGGGAATGTGTTTGCCTTTACTTCCGTCAAATGAGGGTGGAACGGGCAGCGGCAGGACAGTCGTACTCCTCGTCCAGAGCGACTTTGAAAATGACAGAAATCGGGTCTTAAAAAAGAAGGTTCTTAATGGTGAGAAAGCACATATTGAGTGTTTAAATTAAAAACAGTAGGGCACGATTGGCAATCCGCTCTTTTTGTAAATCCCATTTTAAAAATTGCGCTAAATACAAATTATATTAGTTATTAAATAATTAATTTGAAAAAAAAAATTAAAAAAAAATGAGTGGAAAGTTGTTCGTGGAAACATTGAAAAAGATTGGATACAATGTTAGTGGGTCAGATTTAAGTGGCGACAATTTCGATTGGATGTTCGACGATGACAACCTTAAAGGATTTTGCAGCTGGTTCTGCTCCAATGTGGACCAATCAAACTTCATCCATCCATCTGATGTCGAAAAGTTATTCATTATTATTATAAGTTGTTCATTGTTATTATTTATTAATTATTATAGATAGTCATTAGCAGAATAAAAGGTAATACATATTCAACACACATACATACACATATACATACATATACTTATACAATATACACACATACATACATAATAATAAAAATCAAACTGGTAACAAATATAAAAAAATATTTAAGTATAATTTTTAATAAGTTATAAAGTTAATTGTTAATCTATTAGTAGAATTCACGTTATAAATGACATAATTATATTATAATAATGGACCATGGTTTTGAATTTAATTTAAAACTAATTCAATGAGCTTTAAAACTAATTCAATGAGCTTCAATTACAATTGATGCTGAAGTTCTTGAAGATAGTAACTTCTTTATTTTAATATTTTATATTTATTATATAATTTTATATTTATTTTATTGCCTTCGCATTAATTTTGCTTTTCTGTGTCAATTTCATTTGTAATTTTGAGATTAATTGTACTTGTATAAAGAAAGGCAAATGTAGTACATACATTCCAATCATTTTTATTTTAGGTTCACTAAACTCTCCTCAAGTGGAGCTGCATTAGAGTTGGAGGATGTCAATAAGCTCCTGGCACATGAACAATCTCTTCTTGTTCAGAGAGACGAAATGGATTTTTACGATGATGACTTTGAAGACGTCAATAAAAATTCTGAAGGCAGGATGAATCACGTGCTGAACAAAATAAAATCATCAAAAGATATTTTATCAGAGAATAAGAAGAAAAAGATGCTTCTTAAAAAGCAGCATGAGATATTAAACAAGCAGCTGAAACAAATGAAAGATGAAAATTCAGTTAACGAGACTCTGGTTGGATCATTAGGAAAGCAAGTTGACTGTTCATTGCTGCGACTTAAGAAGGAAGATGAGGATTGGAGTCTGGTGTCCGACAAATTGTGTTTATCTGTTCAAAATGTCATGAACTTTTATGAATCGTTCATGAAAAGAAGTGAAGTTGTTGGTGATTCAACTGAACTGAGTCCAGTGCTTGTTGAAACTGGACAAGTTAATAATGATTTTGCATCACTACAAAACTTTGATGTTATTTTGAAGCACAACAATGAATTTTTACAACTGGTTGAAGACTACATGAGATTTCAATCCCAAATTAATAATGCTGATGATGAGAGTTGGGATAGCAGTAGCAGCATTGTCAACAGCAATAAGAGTAGTGGAGGATTGAGTGACTCAGCATGTCTGTCAGTAACTGATCTAACCAGTGCCAATGATGACGAAGATGACGTTTGCAAACCAGCTGCTTTGGAGAGCATTAAAAAGTACTCGTTCTCAAGAGAGTGGATGGATGATATTTTTATGATCCAACGATGTTTACAACCAACCGAACTATCGTACATCATGGCCGACGTAAACAAGAGCATGGTCAGTATTGAATGTGATTTCCTTGAAAAGTATATCTCCGATTTCAAGTCATCACCATCATCATCCGCGTTGCCGTCTAACAACAGCAACTATCATCAACACAACATCAAGCTTATGTCAGAAACTCTTTCTCGAATATATAATTCAGAACTTCCACCCATCCTACAAAAAGTAGCTCAGTACAAAATGCTTGATGTGGTAGCGACTAACTACGACGAAAAGTTACAAAAGCAGGAAGAAGTGCTAACGTTCTTGGATGGTGTTCTGAGTCAGTTCATGAAGCACGAGTCGTTGAACTGCTGTTTGCACGCTGTTTTGCACTTGGAACAAAAGGATCATCGAAATTTGAAGATGATGCTGATGGCAATCGAGTTGCTACTGGAGGAAGTTGTTTACAAGTCTGCCATTAGACAGGTTGCTTGCTGCTTGCGATGACGTTGTTAATGTTGGTGTGATGAGGATGATATTGACGTCATGATGATGGTGTTGTTGGTGTTGATAAGGATGTTGATGACGTAATGGTGATGTCTGGTGGTTTTTATGATAATGTCAGTTTCTGAACACGTTGCAGGCCAAGTTGAAAGATATGTTATCATCTTCATCATCGCATTCATCATCGACTGAACATGATGGGAACATGATCCTGCCTACAGAGTCCTACCTCGGTCCTGTCAGCAACATGTTGAACACCATCCGAACAAACTATGCCGACCAGATGAAAGATGCGGACAACAATGATGATAGTGTTGGTGGTGGTGAGTTGTTCGTGACCGTTTCCATGTTGTTAGATCAGGCAAGGAGACTGATGCGTATGAAGCTGAGCAAGGAATCAACAACTGCTCTCAATAGATGTCTCGCTCATCAAAATGCTGGCCTGCTGTCAGTTTTGTTGCCGTTAATTTTATTGTCGCCATCCATTTACTCTGTTGCAGCTCCCTGAAGTGTCATTTCTCATTTAAAATATTGCTGAGTTTTTGTTCATTTTAGAAGCAATTTTGTGATTTTAGTTCAAATTTTTATCATATAACCCTTTTTTCTATGTGTAAGAATGAATCTCCCATCTTTTCATATTTATAATTTTTAATGTAACTGTTAAAATTAATAATAACCAGGTGCAAGCAGCAACAGGAAACAGTTAAACTCTTCCCATTGGACGATTCAAAATCGAACAATCCAATTAATCGTGACCTCGGATCAGACCTCACCTCCAAATTGCTGCCCCAGTCAATCATAGCGAAGATGATCGAATTGGATGATATCTCGCAAAAAGTCAGCTTATATCATTTTGTCGCATGCAGCTGTTGTTTTGCATATCCACAATGTATCAGTACATGTATCCATGTACTTCAATAGTTGAATTGGGACAAGCAGCATGGATCTGGAGTTTAAAATCACTAAACTGTTAATTTTGTTCATGAACTGATATTTGGAATTTAAAGGCTAAATATATCTCATATAATTCAGTATATAGTATTTTTGACGGTCTTATTAGCGCTTCATGTTAATATTATTTCTAAATTTTCCATTTTAATAGATTTTAAATTTTGGTATATTTCAAATTTTTGAGTAATATTCACACAGGTCAAATTATCATTCACACCAATTGTGCAAGAGATTGAAGACAAGAAGAAGGTTTGTATACATTAAATCATGTGCCTACTACCTGAGTTTGAATTCTCATTATACAAAATTTGATTTGTTGCTAACATCTTCGATGGAACTTCAGTTTTAGCTGTATATTTTTGTAAATTAGTTTTATTAAATTTTTGTAAAGCGTTTCGTTGAAAATACTTGTTGGATTTATTATTTTTACCGCAAAGGAATGAATTATTTTCATAGTTGCACATTAAATCTGAGTGCATATTCATTTAAAATTGATTGTACGTAATGAACTATAAGATTTAAAGCAGTTACTTTAGTATGAGAGACGCAAACAACTACTAGGCGCGAATTAAGACATGCGACGAATTAAACTATTTATACATTTAATTAAAACTAATTATACCTTAAATTAAGACCGATTGTACATTGAATTCAACCTGATTAAACATTTTATTGAATGCAATCACATCAGATGTTGAGTGGAGATGAACTGGCATTGTATGGTAGAAACTTGTTCATCGATTTCTTTCTACATGAAAATCGGCTGAAGAAAAGAGTCAAAGAACTATTTGATCGAACTCGACTAATGCAATGACATCAATTTCTACTGTGATTAAATTATAATTTAATTTGTAGCAAGTTGTCACAAAAAATTTCTTAGTTTTTGTCCTCAATAGGTACACGAATAACATTTTGTTCACCCTGCGTCATTAAGTTGTTTTCATTTTACATGCATTGTTCAGTAAAGATTTTTATAAAAATTATTTGTTTCGCCCAAAAATGTGCTCGTCTTCATTAAGTGAAAGCTAAAACGAGCAAGAAATTTGGTTTGAACAGTTGTGAACAGGGCCACCGACAGCCAAATCGGGCCCCATGTTTAAATGCATACCGGGCCCTTCATGTATATATACAACAACAACAACAACACACGTTTAGACGACATTTTCCCCGAGATCGAGGGTTGCCGTTTGGCTACCTATGATGAGACCGAAATACCCCTCGACGCCATTCCATCATAAGTAATTTATTTGGCTAATTTTTACGCAGGACGCCCTTCCTTACGCAACCACAGTTATAAGCGGTGGGCCTAGCCTTTGATGATCCAACATCACTCACAAGGCAGTGAGGGTCAGTTTAATGTCATAACCAGGACATTGTCATAACCTTCATGTATATATATATATATATATATATATATATATATATATATATATATATATGTAAATAACTATGTCATACATATAACTATATTATATACATATATTATATTATATTATGTTAAGCGCTTTTAAGTAGTTTTAGTTTATAAAGACGCTATATAAATACTCATAATATGACCAATTTAGGAGACAATAAAGACAAAGTTGTATGTAAATGAAAGATTGGATGAATGAATAAACGAACGGACGGACGGATGGATGGATGGATAGTTCTCAATGCGGCCCTCACAACAAAAAGTTTGTCTACCTGCGACATGCATGTTTCATGCATGAATATTTATCCTCAAAAGCTTGGGACTCTAGTAGGCATACAATAACAAACTTTACTGAATTATTCAAAAATTGTTATTTTCACCTCAAAAATAACATTGCTAAAAAATGGTATTTAACCCAGATAACATCAACACATTAACAACAATCAACATTACAACAATTTTAATGTAATTTGGTCTTTGATGCTTCGGATTCGTCGGATAGCGCGATGAAGATGAAGATGATGAGGACGACGTGCGCGCTCAGAATGGCGACGATGGCGGCATAGAAGTAGCTGTTGCTAGAAGTCATGCCCATGATGGCTGTCAGGAGGAGGAGTTTGTTGTTCCATAATTAAAATTTGAAAAAAAAATAAATCAATTAGGCTCTTTAAAAAGATAATTGAATGTGAATGCAAAATATATGAATAAATTATAATAAATTATATCAATTATAGCAATAAGTACACAATTAACTATTTAATTACGTGATCTAACTTGTAGTATTAGGTATATAATATATTTTTAATGAAAATTTAAATTGTCATTTTTAGTTCTAAAATATGAATGAACTTGTTAAACAATTCATCGCATGACATTTGTAGACAGACACACACTTCTTAACTAATTAGCCTCAACATTATTTATTTAAATGTAAATAAGCAAACAAAATATATGGAATGAATAAATCTTAGATAAAATGATTTAAAATTATTAAAACTAAACCTTCAAAAACGACGTTCTTGCTTGTGAAATAGAGACACAAAGGCAAAAATATCATCAATGCTGATAGCCATAATATTTTTTTAAACATTTGCAGTGGAGTTTCTTGGACACTTTGTATTTAAATGAAGAAAATATTTATAAAATTAATTCAATATAATTAATTAATTTATTCATCTAATTTTTATTTCATTAACATTCTAATCTAACGTCATACTTAAAATCTAAAAAGAAACGAAGAGAATGTAAATTGTAAACAATGCAGCCTACAGATACTACAATAATTTTTCTTCGGCGTTTATTACTTTTCACCTTTTTATTTACAACTTATTTTACTACAAAGTTCTTTTACTTACACCCAAAATGGAGGCTGCTGTTGTTGTGATGGTGGTTGTGGAAATTGCATCTGCTGCTGCAACTGCTGCATTCTGAACACATTGTTCTTCTGACTGTCAGTGAGGAGTGGCTGTTGCTGACTCATCTTTGTTTGTGAAAAAAATTCAATTGGAAATTAATTGGTTGTTGTTTTTATATTAAAAATTAATTAAACATAATATTTATATATTAATTATATAATCAATAAATCCTCGTTTGTTAGTCTCCATCTGCTATGGGTCTTACATTTTTATTCCATTCATCAATTTCTCTCAGTTATAATATATATTTATTTATAAATATAATAATAATTAATGCTGCAACTTGTATGTATTACTACTACTAAACTTAGTATATATTATACTTGTATATATATATTAGTCAAAGATAGTATACTAAAATAGTAAAAGTAAATGCTAGCTAATCTTGCCTTTGTTCTACTAATTAACTAATTAATACTAATAGTTAGTAATTGTAATTAATAGTAATACTAATAAGTAATAATCATCAAATTAACATTAAGTTAAGATTAAAATACTAATCTAAGTTATGACATACTATGTTTGTGCATGTATATCATGTATCATAGTAAGATATACCTTATGAATGATTTATACACACACATGCATGTTCCTTACTTTTTATCAATAATATCTGAACAAAATGACAATAATCGCTGAGATGACAGCCAATGGAAATATAATGAGTTTTGTTTACATTACATTTGTTTACAAACTGACAAAGGTATATAAATCAACATTTGTTGCTTTTGGGTGGATGCACATAGATAAAGAAGTATCTATTAACATACATACATACATACATACATACATACATACATACATACATACATACATACATACATACATACATACATACATACATACATACATACATACATACATACATACATACATACATACATACATACATACATACGTACGTACGTACGTACGTACGTACGTACATACATACATAAATTGAGAAATTGAATGTTTTCTATGTATGTTATATATACGTATTTTAGGTGGTGCTCCGATGAAATTTAATCACAGGTATTGAGCTATAGTCTCATAAATAATTTTTTTCCGGCTGATGTTTGATATATAATTTTTTATATTTGATCTAGTTGAACTAAATAGTTCAAAGCGTCAAATATTCTTAATATCATTATAACAAAAATTTTCTTCAATAAATACTACATCATTATTTTTTAAAATTTTAACAAATTAACTTAAATTTCAAACAAAAGTAACAAATTACAAGAGCCTTATTAAATAAATTAATTAAATATGTGCCTAGAGAAATAAAGACAAGAAGAGATATCTAGTTTAATTATCTAAATATTTTCATGATGTTATTACAACAGATCTCTATCAAAGTCTTTATATTTATATGTTCTACTACAAAATTTTTTCCTAATCATGTAGTTTTATGACAGCCAATCAGTCAACCAGATGTTCATATGGCGCCATTTTTCAGCACCCAACTTTCAAAGTGGTCACAAACATTAGACAAGCTCGTGATGTTGCACGCACTTAAACTTGTACCTGCGAATAAACATATTAACTACTCACATAATATAATATCCAGGTCAATGCTCTTAATGGATTATTATAAATAAATAAATAAACAAATAATTAATTTGACAGTGATTAATTACATATAATAATAAATGTACGTGTGGCTGGTTGAATACATGTGTGTGCGCTATGTAATGTTGTATGATGGACATATATATTTGAACTTTTTCGAAATATTAGGCAGTCAGTTAATTAGGCAGAAGTGTTAAATTATTCAAAGCGTATCAGAATGTTGTGTGTTGTTCTTGGCATGTTCTATTGATTAGAATCAGGCAGTATAATTGCACACACAGATGCATGTACATATGCCGTCGGTTGAATTGTAACGCCAGCGTGGGTGTAATGCGTGCTGGAAGTGCATCACATTCTTAAGTTAAAACACGTTCTTTGGCTCAGTGGAGTGTTTTTTCTAGGATCGTTACTCTTAAAATAATAAGCTTTTATAGTATTATAAAAAGGTTTTATTCATTGTTACAACATAAACTAATTACAAATATTAACTAGAAATTCCAAATTATTTTAAGATAAAAACAATGGATTCGGCACCGTGTATGTTCAAGCCGAATTATCTGAAAAGTAAAACTTGGTTCGTCGGCGAGAGGACCTACATCGAACAGTACGCCAAAAATTTCAAACTCTGCCATCCCCTGCACAGGAACACCGAAGAGTACAACAGGGAAGTTGGATTTCTCTTCAAACAAGTTGGATGAATTGTTTAAAACATAAAATTTTCAAATTTATTAGGAACTAGAAAATTTTTAGTAATTTTATGCGACTAAATGTTTATATTCTTTATTGAGTTTTGCTAAATAAGCTCTCCAAAGTGTTACTAGCGACGTTTAAATTCGGTTTTTATTTATTTTCTTTCAAATGCTAGTTATTCAAAAATTAGCGAACATGTTTAACACAATTTATAATCTAAATTCGAATGGCGATAAACACTGATACAGTTATGATTTAAAACGGTTTTCAAAAATTTTCCTTATAGCGACCGTGTATCTACACTCCCCGCATGTTCTGCCTGGCCAGTATGCTCTTTGAAAAATTGAAGGACGACAATGTGGACAACATGCGGACCATTCAGGAACTGAAGATGAAATCAAAAATTCGCAACAAGATGCAACAATTGAAGGAGGAGCGAGAGAGATCTGTCAGGCACAACCGCGCTTTTGAAAAATCTTCAATTGATGATAAAGAGCCGTCGAAAGGTGAACACTGGCAAAGATTCACCAGTGCAGATGTTGTCAAACTTAGACGGAAGGAAATGGAAGAAATGGACAAAAATAACGTCCCCAACTTCGCGGACGAAGATACTAATTTTTTCATCGACAACGTTACCACGAACGAAGATGGGGATGAAAATAATTTAGAAAACATCCGAAACAAAAATAAAATTGAATCAAATTTATCTCTTCTAAATTCAAAAGAAAACACGATTATTTACGACGACGCTAATAAAAGTGCAAATAAAAATATTGATACTAAAGAAAATGATAAATTGAATCACTTACCTGTGGTTGATAATGAAGATGAGAAATCAAGTGATAATAATTCAGACCGAATTTTTTATAAACCGAGCCCGGTTGACGACAATGCACTGGAATACGAAAATTTTGTTCGTGAGGAAATAGAAAATGTTAAAGCCACGACTCACGTCAGAATTGCCGATGACAAAAAAACGACTTTTGCTGCACACGAGGATAATTTATTGTCCGATAACGACGACGATGAACCTTTAGACAAGAATGGCTTGAGGAAATCAATAACTGCAACATTCAGAGAGAAACCGGCGTCAACAAAATCTTTGAAAACCGATCCGAAATCTTCAGGACTCAGATATACAAAAAGCGCTGGAACTGTACAGAATCCAAAAACAGTTCCTAAGAGCAACAAAGTAAAATCTCAAAGTGGACGAGCTGTCAGCAAACTTTCGTTCAATGATTCAAGATCTAAAAAACTTCTGAGTGACAGCAAAAAGACAAAACAGGCACCCCCAGACGACATGCAGAATGATTGGGACATCCCAGAATTTGAATCAGAATACGAGAAAAGAAGAACACTTGAACTCGTTTTTGAAACTTTAAAATGTACTGCCACTTAATTATTTTGTTTCGGTAGTTAACGAAAATTATCATATTTTTTACTATTGACAGATCAAACATATTTACAAGAGATATTGGAAGATTCGAAATTTTTCAAAATGCATCCGGAAGTAATAAAAATTTAATCTGCTTATTTTTCATCTGTATGCGTATTAAAATAATTTGTTAATTGAAATTTTCAGTTAATTGACGAACTCGATCTAATTATGGTCACTTTGTGTGATTTGAAGCTGAGAAAATTTGAGAAACGTATCCCAAATTCGATGGACAATAAAAATTATAACGACGATGCGAGATCTGAACAATCGAAATCTGCGCCGACAACCGCTTCTACTGTTCGAACTACTTTTCAGAAATTCAAACAACAGCAGGAACTTCTGAGAAAGTTAGGAACCTTCATCGAGGTGGAAAAACTTTTGAATCAGTACAAATCGAAACTAAACGCCTCACTGGCCAGGTGTCGAATCAGACTCTCAATCCCATCTCTGAACTGCATTCTGCCGGACAGTGTTAAAAAAGCAGAAACGATGGTTCCTGATATGTTTGTGACTTTCTGGGTCAATCAGCTAAAAGTTAGGTTGGTGTTTGTTTTTCAATACAAGAGACATTTCTACGAATTGAAAAGTTTCAATTTGCAAATTTAAAGCTGTTTGCGCGTTTTCAGTATCGATAAAATGGTTCACATGCTGGATCAATGTGGCTTCCAGAAAGTGGAAATCATGGAGAGCAATAAAAAAGACTTGAAAATGTTACTAGCCGGTAACAGGTTTGTGTTTGACCGGCAGTGCTACGATGTCATTCACGTTGGTGGTCATCATTTTGAATTCTTTGAGAACAACGAGTGGAGGAAGAAGAGGCTGATCATCTTGCAGGTAGTCAGTGGTTCTCAGAATGTGGGCTATGGAAATGGATATTAATTAGATTGCTAAATCATAATTTTACAGTTAGTAGTAGCTATTTCGTTCATCATATGTAGTAGAGCTGAGACTTCTAAACCATATACATTACATCAGTTGGTATAAATCTTTAATTTAATTTGAAAAAATAATTGTCTAGTTTATTTATTATCTGGGCTATTCTTACATTTTTCTTTAAATTAAAATCCGTCAAATCATTAGAAATAATTTTCACATAAATATTTTAACATCGTTAGGATAGATCAAGTTCTGTGGCAGTGCACTCACTCTTCAACCTATCAAACCAAGGTTGTCTGCCTGATTTTCTTACAACTCTATAACAAATACAGTTTCATTTTTACACGCCAGGTGACGATGACGTCATTCACGTAAACCCCGGAAGTGGATTGACGTCTGGTCACATGGTCAGTTTGGTGCACGCGAGCAAAGGGTGTGGAAAGGTGTATTGCACGGAAATAGCAAGTGGGAGGTGGAAGTTGATGAGGAATTTGACAAAAATGGGAGCTATGGGTTGGTCCAAACATCCTCTGTTATTTATTTTCATTAAATGCAATAAATTTTAATTAACTCTAATTAATTTGTGAAATTTTATTCATTTAGTTATTCGTTTTTAACTATTTTTAAAATTTGTGGTGCCTTATATTACAAGTCCAATTGATGAGTAAAAACTTCGGTTACATAACATTTTACATTGCATCACTGTAGTAGCTAACATTTCTTTACATGCCGTGTCGAAGGCCTATGCACGCTTGTAAAGTTTCATTTAAAATTGCTGTCTCAAATTGCGTCGAGTTAAACATAAAGAATGATTTCTTTATTATTTTCACATATTAATTCGTTCCAAACAGACAAAATAATAATAATTGATCGGCTATCTACCAAACATCGCGAATTGAATGACGTCAAGTTGGCTCTAGTGACGTCACCGTGTTCGAAATCAGGCCTTGTCAATCCAGTCAACTTCCTGATGAACGAAGGCGAAGGTTAGTGAATGGGGCATACAAATTTTTTCAATTTTTTTTGACGATCCAACTTGAGAGCTATTCCGTGGTTTTAAATTATGTTGCGTGTTCAAGTAAATTGGGAAAATTCCGAAAAAAACACAATTGTAGCCGTCGTTCAAAATATCGTTGCAAAAGAAAAATAAACAATTACAGCTACACTTCCAATAAATTTATTTAAAAAAAAATTTCAGGTACAATTTCGATGTTGTTAAAATTTTGATTGACTTTGAATTGAAAAATCTCCCCGCACATTCATGTCACATGATACAGTGCATTAACATAGAAAAAATTCAATTAAACGCTGTGAAATTTGTTTATTAAAATTTTCAACTAAGTCTACCACACCACCAAACTAACAAAACTATTTTCGGCACTCAACCTCCAAATCAATATCACCATCACCATCCCTTCTAATATTGGAAAACAAAAACAAAATTGACATCACTAAATTGCAATTATGAATTGTTGTCTTTCGCCTTTGTGACTTGTGTGGTAGGAGCGCACTTGTAGGCTGGCTGCCAGTTGTGCTGGTAGTCTTTCCTTCTAAGGAAATCCATGGCTATGCAGTACTTGAAGCCGGGACTACACGTGCACTCCATCTTGTCGTCGTCTGAATCGACGTCTGAGTCGTTCACATCCTTCGTAGTTGCAACAAATTATTATTATATTATTATATTATTATTATTAATATTATTATTATTACATTTCTCGTTGTACGCATTTTATATCTATAATGGCGAGCATCGTAGACTACTTTCTCATTTTAATTCATTTTATTTTATTTCATTGAATATTTATTTCGCCCCTTTTTTGTAAAAAATAAAAGAGTTCCCATTCCATTATTATTAATATTATTATTAATATTATTATTATTATGATTATTATTATTATTATCAATTCACTCTTGAATAATTCTTAGAGGAAAGAAAGAATCATACAACCATCATCATATCAACTCATCAGTCTCGCGAGTTGATTTGATTTGGTGGTCTTTCATTACAATCTTACAAAGATTGTAAGATTGCAATGAAAGACGAAAAAAAATGTAATTTCGCGTAACTTTGTAACATAAGACAGAATGTTGTAATACAAAGTTAGTTTTTACAGCATAACGTACATATCAACATTCAATGTAGTAACGAATTTGACATAACGCTACTTTAAACAACATGACGTGATACAACATCATACAGTGCAACTCCAACAAAAATTTCTACCGCAACAATGAATAAATAAATAAAAATAAATAATGGGTTTAAACGTAAGTTATATATGCCCATATCAAAATAGCATTAAAAGACAACAAAAAGAAATCAAACAACAATGTCAATTTTATGTTCATAAAGAAAATCTTTGTTGGCCAACAAATTACTGATGCTAAAAATTTAAAACCTAACATCATTACGTTATCTTATACTTGAATAAATTTTTATCAATATATCAAATTAACTAATTCAACAAGCAGAGTTGAATTTTTTCTACCTTTTCTGGGCAAGTACCATCAGCTTCCAATAGAGCTTTGCAAGGATTCGGCTTGACATTCCTGTCGAATTGTTTTCAAACATAATATTTTCAATCACAATATATTCAATCATAATATTTTCAAATGTATCAGAAACTAGACCTCCTAAACCAAATGGCTATAATACAGTAACGTTTGCATTATGATAATGTTAACATTTTTCTTAAACCATGTACAGAAAACGTGATAACTTAAATCCAGTAATAATAGTTAAATGAAAATCATTATCACATTCATTTGAATAAATTAAGTGTATTATATATTCAGTTCAATTTTTTAGCTAATTTACAGTTTCCAATCTAGAGCTTTGGCATTTGCTATTGTAAATGGAAATTAACTATTCTTTGAAAAGTATAAATTAAAGTTGTATAAGGTAAGTGTATTTGAATAATTGTAAACGAATGCCAGTCAGATGATCAAGTAAAGTCAAGATTGAAGTTTACAAAAGTTATACAACGATGTTTGGGTAATTCTGATGAAGAGCTAACCAATCGAGTACAGTTACACTAGCATTCTTCTTCAACTTCTTCAATCGCTTCTTTTCATCTTTCACTCTCTTCTTCTCCCTCAGCCTCTTCATTTCCTCCTCCTCCATTGTTTCCTTCGTCACTGCAGCCGACTTCATTTCCTTGAATAAGTTAAAAAATTTTGTGAAAACTTTAAAATCAAATCGACAAGGATTTAATTTTATTCGTAAATATGAACACTCAAGAAGGGACTTAGTGGTTACTTCAACGTGATCAACAAATGAGTGGTAACCTGTATGTAAGTTTCATCAGTTTGTATGCCCAGGTCTACGTACTCTCTTTTGTGTTTCGTATCGCCTACAAGTAGTGCCGTCATTATTCCCATTCAATTTGTTTATATTCTCATAAAATGTTTTGGTTTAATTTATATAAATAATTTTAAAAGAAGTGTTATTGACCCACTTAGGTAAAAAAAAATTTAACTTTAAATCGCTCTCTGAAGTCATAGTGCTTCGTTATTTTACAAAAATATTTATCAACTGAAAAACTTTTCCTACTTCCATCATTCTGTTTCTTCTTTTGAATGCAGCTCTTGAATCGGTCGGTTTTGCAGAAGGCAAACAAATCAGAAGTTAGCGTGTTAGGATCGCATTGCACGTACGGTCCTAACCTTTCGCCGCACTTCCTTTCTCTCAGAATTTTGCGCCTCATAATTCTATTCATGATCTCCTGCGTCACAATTGTATTTCACTTTTAAAAATTTCTCCCTCCTTTTATGACCTTACATGGATGAGTTCATGATGATTACCGTTTAAACATGGTTGAAAATATGTTTCATTTGAAGCGCGGATGATATCTAGTTTTAATAAAACCGACAACAATCTGCCTTATAATGTGATGTTATACAGTTACAATCATTCAACAAATAAAATTAGAAGATTTTACACATGTAATTATACAAGCAACTATGTTTGCCAGAACTGCATAACTGAAACTTGCAAATTTAGTTGGAGACAATCATTTCACTCTTTTAAACTTTTATCTCCTGGTGAAAATTACTGAATTTAAGGATAAAAAATTAGGAATTTTTGATCAAAATGACACTCAGTCAACAAAAGAAGAAATGATTGCCATCTACCCTGTTACTTGGGATCCTCAGCGGACGAGTCTTCTTGGGCTTCTGGAGACATTGAGCCCCTGATTCGATCTCGTTATTGTGCAACCTCTCTATCAAAAGTTTCACTTGGGTGTCTTTCGGCTTTTCTAACAGGACCGTTTGCACCTTATAGTGAGTTTATTTCTCAATTTGTAAATTTTTTCTTCATCGACCCCACAATTTTTCACTAGCATTTTCTAAATTTTAAGTGTCCATCTTGATCTTAAAATTTATTAATAAATTATTTTTATGAACGTCAACGAACAATCGAAGCAGATAAACGAATTTCAATGACTTTAAGTAAAGTCCTTTAATTACGTATCTCTTATTTTTTTCATAATTTAAAGGACAGTTGAGTAAATTTTTGAGTTTTGAAATTATTGTCGATAAACATCTAAAATTTATTGCTGTTACATGTTCAAAAATAGCTATACAGTTACCGCGTAGACGTTAAATCACCAAACCAAGTAATTTAATAATTAACCCAAACTGCAGACCTACAAGTCCAATGCACTTACCTTGTTTTTAACCGACTCGACAAATGTCTTGACATCTTCGAATGGTTTTTTGCTTAATTCTTCATAAGTTACTGTCTGCATTATTTAATATATATATATATATATATATATATATATATATATATATATATATACATATTACATTTGTATTGGTAGTTAAACAACTACAATAACATCAGCGATAACATCAATTTACATAATTATTATTACGTTTTTACACTGTTACCCAAGTTATAAATAAATGTATGTACTAGGAATGTTGGTTGCTGGGTGTGTTGTTGGTTGAAATGTCAATGTTTCGATGACGATGAAGAACTTAATCATTTCATTTGTTGATATTATTTTAGCTCTTGATACAATTTTTAATTACGTAAATTGTTGCATTATATATATCAATTTAATTGAAATTATTTTCAAAAATGTGTAATTACTGTATTACACATTTAATTTTAGTTCACGTCATTATGTCAGTAGGGCACTACTTAACTTGGCTTCATTCAGACTAAACGACATTACTGTACACTACACACACACACACACACACACACACACACACACACACACACACACACACACACACCGAAACCGTGAAATGGTTAACAAAGTTATAACCGGTTCAACGGGGAATGGGATTTTTTTGGGAGTCTTCGTGGTCAACCTGCACCCCCGTGGCATGATGGAGCAGAGGAGATCTGAAGTGGACTCTCCCTCGCAATCGCATACCTTCAAAATATTATTGTTCACGTCATTATGTCAGTAGGGCACTACTTAACTTGGCTTCATTCAGACTAAACTCTATGAAAAATTTTATCTAGCTGTGATTTTCTAAACAGTGTTTCACATTTATTATTGAAATAAAGTGCCTATTAGAATAATTAACGGCAGTCAATGTTTGATTTAACATTTTATCATTGCTGACAACTTTTCATATAAAATACAAATTTAATAACAAACACTTAATCTATCTTTTTAGTAAGCGGTATGTAGGAGCAACACGTGGTTGAGTTGCATCCATTTTAGGTGACTATAATATATAAAATACTGACGTTGAAAAACTTCAAAAAAATTTTGTTAATAAAGAAATTTAATTAAAAAATTCTTTCTTTAATTGTAAACAAAGAGATAGAAAAAGCTTAACGTCGTGTAATGCAAGAAGCCAAAATGCCAAAAAACACATGATCAACACATGTTCTACAAACAAGCAAACAATAAAACGAACAAACAGACAGACAAACAGACAAACAAACACCTGGTCAATGGATAAACGAGGTGCCTTCTTGAAAACCTTTTTGCCACAATTGTTTCGCGTCTGTAAATTTGTTGCAAGACAAACTTGATTGAGAATGAAATGTCATTTGAAACATATTATTAATAAAGGCACATTACGTTAGCAGGTAAGCTGTTGTATACGCACGAACAAATACATACATTCTCCGAAATAATACGATGCAAGTTTTAAAGTTAAAAATATTAAATTGCCAAAATTTTGTAAGAAGCTCTTAAAATTCAGTAGACATACAATTATTTATATAATTGTATTAGTTTGATAGATTCGTTGATTCATTTAGATATAATACTATTACCGATTTTTGTTGTTCAAATCGAAACATGTTTGGAGATGTTCTTGATTACCAGGAGTTGAAAGGCTTCACTGATAAATATAATTAATTCATGAAGTGACTGCAATCAATATTTATTTATAATAAAAAATATATCAAACTAAAAAATAATAAATCGACCGTGTTATATCTGGGATATGATGTTATACAGGAAAAAAAATATCAACTTGGTTTTCTAAAAGTTAATTCTTGAAAAATTAACCACCAAGTTGTATACAAACTTTTAAAATAAACAATGACGTTTTTTTCATCTAGCACCAAATCACTGTATGTAAATTTTGAATAATTCCCCTGAGCTTGGTACTCAAATTTAAATTTCAATCATGAAAGTTCAATCGGAGTATAGATAGATGTGTAGCGTGATGTTTAAACTTTGTAAAAACAAGGATTTTAAAGTAACATCACATTTTTAAATTTAGAATATTTGAGTCTTATAGCTGATTGAAATTGCAAAGTTTGTGTGAATGTTCTTTATCCACCTTCCAATCATCTTTTAACTTGTCGACATTTTATTGATGTTTCCCATTTTTTGAAACTTTTCCAAAAATCGTCAATTGTTTTATTCTCTATAATAACCAAATTGAACAAGTCTAAAAAGACGACACAAGTTTTAACAGTAATTTTTAAATTTTGAAGAGTATTATCTACTGTAATATCTAGCAAATCTTATTTTTTCATGCAAAAAACATTAAAAAAATGTTTTAACCGAAACTTTCGGTACGACTCTATTTTTTTTATATTAATCATATTAAATATGGACGTCATTTATTTGAAGCACCCAGCAACATTACCAAAACTGTAGTATAGACTCTCTGGGAGTCCATGTTGGCCCACTTCTGGGTACTTTGACGAAACGTTTAGTAACTTTCAAAACTGTTTCACTGCTCCCACCACCACCACCGTCGTCGGTGTCCAATCCTAGAAATGATTCTGTTCCATAGTTCGATTTTTCCTTTCCATTCCAACCCAATAATTGCTTACCTCGAACATTCAATTTTTCTAAATAAAATTTAAAAAAGAAATTAAAAATTGGAAAATTTTTTAATTTAATTTCTTTCTCACAAACCAAAATGTCTGGGTTTTTTCCTCACAACAGTCGGTTTACTAATCTTTGGTTTCAACGATGGTATATGTTTCGGAATGGTGGGGAATTTATTGGAGAGAATACTTGAGGTGCTGGCCGATCTCTGTATCTGTTTATTGCTTACGGGTTTTCCGACATTCCCGTCATCTTTTTCATCGGCTTGAGACACCAAAGCTACTTTTTCAGGCAAGGCACGAATTTTTGGATAGTGTTCAAGGAAAAATTTCAGGTTTTCCTCAGAATTTATCTTGTGCAAAAGTTTCATCCGAACTGTTAAGAGTAATCAATGTTATGTACTTAAGCATGAAATAACTTGTTCGGTAATTACTATTTCTAATTCGTTAGAAAATATTAGTTAATTCACATATAATTTATTTTGTCTGCATGATATTTCCTTTAATTTTAATTCATTTACGGCAACAGTTTATAATTTTCTATCTTACAAACTATTCAAATTAATAAAAAATCATCTAACGCGCGTAGATCCTATCGAACTTTCTATCTCTTGAAATAATTTGGCACGTTTCTTCTTGCTTCTTTTTTTTCAAAACCTCCTCCACATTCGTCTCATCATTTTCGCCGTCCTCCTCGTCAGCATTTCCACTCGACTTTTTCAACAAATGCTTTTTCATTTGTTTCTCTTCTTTGGCTAAAAAAACATAAAAGGTATCCTTCAACTGATACTATCCTTCGCAGCAAAATCGGAGATCCGCCCTTGGTGCTAGGTGCCCATATGCTTATACAACTATAAATATAACCCTAAATGTTTTACTTATCATAGCAATTGAATGATCAAAAAATTGGTTGTGATTGTTGGAAGTTTTCAAAATTGGCTAAAGACCTGTTTCTAGATCTAGGATGGATCTCCTACTTAACCAACCTTCACATTTGATGGTGATTTACTAAAACGATTCGATTAAAATTGACTACTATGTAGTAATTAGCATTTGATAATTAATCTAGATTTCGCAATCTGAGATTTCAACTTTAAACAGAATTTTGAGGTGGTGACAAAAAAGTAAAATGATTTGTTGGTGAAGGATTTTAAACTGAATGAGGAAACCTAATTTTAGTTCTTTTTGCTTCTGCGCCCACACCGGCTGACATCTCTTCATTAGGTCCAACTTTTTCTTCATGATCTAAAAAAAATCAGTTAAACTGTTCAAGTTACTAAAAGCATACATACCTATAATTATTTATTGTTAATACCTTATGTAGAAATCTCAGTTTAAAATTATAATCTTAACATAATATTGCTTGATACATTGTTATTATTTAGTTATTTTAATCTTTCGTGTTTATCTTTCTGTTTTTCTACAAATAAAACGACAAATGTTATATTTTATCATTATTTACATAAACTCTAGAAGCACTGTCATTAGTCATCTCATACTAAACATAGACAACTTAAATAAAGCATGCCACCCGCGGAAAATTCATTTTTCATTTTGTAGATTGATCAATTACTTTTTTGAAGACGTCTTCGTTTGTCGGATTTTCACTCAATTTGCCGGCATTTACGTGTCTGTACGTCGTGTTTTAAAAAAGTTTTTTAATCTATTTTGGGAAAACTTTAATTAATTTCAATTCATTTTATCAGCCTATAAGCAGATTTTCATCAAGCCCTAATCATCCATAACAGTATTGTAACATTATTAAATAATCTGGAGTAATTTGGTAAGAAACGATAATTATAAGGAGTCAAATTTACTTTCAGAAACCGTTCCTTTAACCATTTTTCAGTGAAAAATGTTACGAATTTTAGCTTTTAAAAATTTAAAATAATATCTTGACAGGTTAACACAGTTGCAACGAGTACATCGTAATATTATTGGTGGTTATAACAACAAATAAAAGCATTATCATGATTATAACTCAAACAAATCATACACACTCCTCACCTCACTTTCATCAACCTTTCCAATTCATATCTCTCTTTATTTTCCTTCTCTGATTCTTCAATTTTCTAGGAGTTATTTTCAACTTATTATAAATTTCAATTTTGAATCATTTTTGTTATAATTCACGGGGTAAAGGAAACTTTTTCGGCTGGCTACACATCTTGAAGTTCATCAGTCAATATTATAAGAGCGTATTTCAATGTTATTATTGTGTTGAACATCTAATGTACATATTTTGAGTAGTACGTACAATAGTACGGAATATTCAGTACACTTTTTGTAAAAAAAGTACACTTTGTGTACTTTTGGATGATATAGCAAATTGAGTAACATGTCTAACGTTTAGAATGAATGGTAGATCATGCTTGGTGATGCTCAGCTTGTTCTTCAAAAGTTTCACAAATAGTTCACTCTCTAATGGGTTGAAACCTGAAGTTTTTGGTGCTTCGGACATCAGTTTCATGATCTATGTGTTTTTGTTTTGTTGAATTTTAAACTTTTTTTAATGTTTCTGTCGTTTATTTATAATGAGCCTGGCATAAATGGTTGCATCAATTAACTACTTCAACTTCACTTAAAATATAGATTTACAATTTTTTTTTCACAAATTGTAAACAGCATATTTCACATCATAAAAAGACAATTCATTCCAACTTTTCTGTTAACCTGTTCCAGATCTTTTTTTGGCTTGACGAAATCCGACTTCAAATGTTTGTCGAGAACTCTGCAACCAACTCTCTTTCCTTCGAGATCGTATCGTGACAGTGGCGTCAGGTGTCCGTTCTGACACCTGCAACCGTACTTCACATCGCATTTCTTCTCCACTAAAGCAGCAAAAATTGTTGAAATAATTTAAACAATATATATTTATACATTTCGCGAAAGATAAGTTCTAACAAATTAACTATTTTCAACCCAATAAATTAAAATAATTTAATATAAAATAATATAGTACACATATTACATTGCATTTTTAAATAATTTCAAATTTTCAGTTTGGATCTCTCCAGAACAAACCTTTTTTAACTTTCTTAACTTCTTTAGAATCGCACGTGTGATTGGGCTGGTAAGGCGAGTGAAAGTGATGAAAGTAGCTCTGCTTGTTTGCCAGAGTACTGCTAAGTTGGGAGTGCGGAGAGTGATGTGGATGGTGGTGCTGGTAGTGATGAGAGTGGTAATGCTCCAGTTTATTCAAGGCTTCAACCAGCAAATCCCGATCTATCGACTCGATTCTTTTTACAGGTGACATGCTTCCATCATTAGATGTGGAATGCTCTTTTAACGACTTCGCTGAAAAGTACAGCGACAACAACTCATCGACCAAGTTCATGACGTGACCTTGGCTTGAAGCAACAGGAATGTTTTCCTGAAGTTGGTGGTGATGGTGAGCAGCGCTTGGTACGGATGAAGGTGACTGGTGCGTTAGATCAGTGAGAAATTTAAGGTGATGATGGTGATGGTGGTGGTGTTCAGCCGATGCTTGGAAATGATTACTATCGTCATGATGTTGAGTGTGGTGATATGAATGGTGATGAACGTAATGCGGAACGACTGCGTTGATGAGATGTCCAATGGAAGGAATGAGACTGTGGAAATCATGCTGGTGGGGGTCGCTGGGATCGTGAAAATGATGGTGACTCGCGTAATGCTGGAATTGACTGAGTTGGTAGAAAAATTGAGAGATTAAGTTTATATCAGGCTTTGATGTAATGCTGCCGTAATCTTTAAACTCTTTTGATTTCTTTCTTTGATCTGATGCCACTAATCGTGTTTGGGCAAAATGATCTTTTTCTCGATACAAATCGAATTCATTTTCGTAAGGGGTTCTCTCGCAGAATAAATCTCTCATTGTTTTCTCGGCGTCTGGTTCCGACTCGTCACTTTCACTTTTAAATAAAACTTCGGAGCTTTTCGATAAGACTTTTGCGTCTTTAACGCCAGATTTTTTGCATTTACACAACTTTTCAACAATCATCTGCAAAAACAAATTAATTGTTTGTGTAAATAATAAATACTACTTTTAATTTTTATGACATAAAAACAGGATCTTAAAATTAGAGACGTTTTACCTTTATAGATTAGGCCTACTTGTTCGATATAGTTCGACATCTAACTTTTATTTCATTTTAAAATGATAGTTACAGAAGGTAAAGCCAATGTTTTGAAGCACATCAGCATTTGATTACTTTCAAAAAATGTCATTAAGGTGATTTTGTCTCTTGAATAAAATTGCTGATTCAGAATTTTGAGCAGTAGTAATCAAGTCTAAATTAATTTAACAGTAAAAATGATCGATCCATCGATTCCTTAATTTATGATAAAAACGTTAATTTCTATGAATGTGAGTTGAACAATTTACTCGAAGAGATTAATTAAAATTGTAAGACGATTCATATGTGCTATGTAACATGTTACGTACGTCTTAACAGTAGAAAAAACGAAATTAATATGGTGGACAATGGACATAAAACATTTATCGTGAGGCTACTGAATTGAAATTCACAATAAAAGTTTCAAAACTCTCAGCCAGTTAATCAGTTTGTTTGATGGAAACGACATGTTTATATGTTCAGCCATATTATAATATAAAACAAAATAAACCTTTTGTAGATTTGTTTTGACTGTTTTTCTCATTTGCATTCTGATTTCGCTGGCATCTGTCCCGGAACGCTGGCCAGAGGCTTCACTGATCAATGTTCGATTGCAGCTAATTTGTACTTTCACTTCTTCCTCACTTTTTAAACTTTTTTTCTTTAATTTGGTTTTTTCATCTGGAACATCTAAGTCCATAGAGTTAATTTTGTTAGCTTCGAAAACGTTTCCAACAATATTTTCATCGTTATTAGCTGGAGAAGTGTCATTCAAGTTAAAATTTTCCGCTATATGGTTCTCTGGGCCCAGCTGTGCCACAGTGTCAAAACTTTCGTTTCCTGTTTTTTTATTTTGATTGAAAGACTCTTTTTGAGGCAATTTTATTGGCGAAGTTTGATGATCAGCTTCTGCATTTGAAACTGGGGCGGTTTCTTCTTGTTGTCGGGTGCTCATCAGGTTTTCATTATTTTCGAAATTCGCTGAAAAAATGGATGGTAAGTTGGTATTGGTCAGTTTTTCTAAAGTTACGTTAATGTTATCAGATTGTCCAGTATTCAACTCATAGTCCGCCGATTGATTTAGAAATAAAAGTTCCTCTTCGTCATCCCTCGTAGTGAGGTTTGTAGTCGGTTCTAATTTCGTTAGGTTCATTTCGCTGTTTATTACATCTGCTTCATTTGTATCAGCAACTTCTGTCAGTTCATTTGTATCGGCTTTTACGTTTAAAGGACTTCTATCCACCCGTCTGTCAGTTGTATTAACATGATCAGTATCACCTTTATCTACCGCCCTGGACTGACTAACAGCTATGTTTTTTTTTCCAGAATAAGTAGATGCACCTCGAACATTTTTATAGGCTGATCCAATTTTAGTTTTTCCAGAAATTCTCGATGTTAATATATTTTTTTCAGATGGTGGAAGATGTTTTAAAACAATCTTTTGTTTTTCGGAGTAAGTAGAAGCAGGTCTAACTGGGTCTAAATGTTTCGATATATTCTTAGATTTTCTTAAATAGTTTGATGTCATTTTAACTTTTTCATTTAAGTCAGGCGTTTTCCCAGAAATTCTCGATGTTGATATATTTTTTTCAGATGGTGTCAGATGTCTCAAAACAATCTTTTGTTTGTCAGAGTAAGTAGAAGCAGGTCTAACTGGGTCTAAATGTTTTGATGTATTCTTAAATTTTCCTAGATAGTTTGATGTCATTTTAACATTTTCATTCAAATCAGTCGTTGCGATTACTTTGTCCATTAGCTTGGATGTAGTCCTGGTTTTCTCTGAATTTATGGACAAATTTTTCTCTGGAGCAGCATTTGTTTTTCCTACGTCGTCAGATTTAATTTTTTCTAGTGTCTCAATAGTTTCATCAATTTTGTCCCTGTATTCTGGAGGAGTTGATGAGAGTTTCGTTTTAGAGTTTCGAAACTCATTTTTGTCATGGCTTGACTGGATAGCAGAATTTTTCAACTCTTGATGATTTGTTTGTCCGAAAGAGTGGTCAGAATTAATGTTCGCGTTTGATTCTTTTTTATTAGAATTCGAAACATTTCGGACATTTCTAACTTTCGAAAACGATTTTGGCATCGAATTACTACAGTTAATGGAACCATTTAAAGTTGGCCTAATATTAAAAACCAGACTGTCACGACATAACTTTACTTTTTTCTTATTACAATTCAACAGCTTACATTCACCAGTTTTTGCTTTCAATAAGTTTTTATCATTAATTTTTTGGTCTTTCATAATTTTAGATATTTTTAATTTTTTAAATTTATTTAACGTGTTAATATAGGCCTAAAACAGAATAATATCAAAGATATGCGGACGGTAAATATTTTGTATTTAAGATACGTCATAGCATTATAGGAAAACTTCTTTCAAAATCTTACACGACTCAGCTGAAAAAAATTTTTTTAATTGAACGAAATCAGAATCCAAAACTTTTAATGCACCTTCAATTTTTTGCAGATTTAACAGCTCTAAAAGATCTCGCTCTTGGATCTTCAGACGAGAGTAGAATTAACTCACTGAAGAGTGACCAGAGAAACCTAATGAGGAACGTTCTAATGTGTACTGAGTATTTATAATTAAAAATATTTCACAACTTTTAAAAATCCACGCTACACCTAATCCGTCCTGATAATAATTTTTTAATATGAATTTCTTAAATATAAAAAATAACGTGTAAATTATAAATAAATAAAATTAATATTATTATAATAAAACTAATTAATCGTTTAGGAGTAAATAAACGCAAAATATATCAAAAATAATATAAATAATTATCTTTATTTATAAATGAAATTTGTTCCCTTACAATAAAAAAATTTTTCCTAATTAAAATTTTTCCTAAAAATTTCCCATCAATAATTCCCATGAAAAATTTTCCTGAGAAATAAAGTACAAGGCCTATTAGGATGGGTCTACTATACGAGATCACTGACAGACGAGGAGAACAAGCAGACGGTCCTCGACGCACTGGGATACTACGAGACACAGAAGCCAAACAAACCTCCTTTCAAACCATCACCGCCTACCGTACCGCTAAGTCAAGATGACGTTGAAGGGTTCGACCAGTTTGAGAAGGGTAGTTTTCTTTATTTATATAATATTCTTTTGTAAAATAATTTTTATGTATTTTTATAAAAATAGATGTAATTTAATATTCATGTCACAGTTTCGCTTAATAAACGACGTTATTACAATTTAAAGTAATTAAAAAAATTTATCTTCAATGCTGAACAAAGAAACAAAAAATTTTAAAAATTTGACAAACCTTTTTTCATAAAACTTAAGACAAATTTCACGTAAATGCTGTGTAATTTTCAATGATCCATTCAGGTCAGTACCTCACATTTTACCCATCATGCTTCGGAAATGGCTGCTTCTTTGCTGTGCTCCTAAGAGAGGTATCGCTCTTAACCTCCTTCATTGAATTGAAATTGTATCTAAACCATTTTAACCCAAAAGATTGCAAAACGCAACATGCATTCATACCTAAACGTACAATATGTACTGTACATATACAAGTGTAGATTTAAGCACTTCGCCATATCTAAGCGTACACGCATCGAACTAACAATAACGTTATTAACTCTTCCACAGTCTGAAGACACACAGGGAACAATGCTGCAGATAATAAACCGGGCAGAAGCTATGGGAATCATCAAATAAATCCACGAAGCAGTCTGATTCCGATAAATACTTGTCAAGTCAACTGTTTTTTGATTATATGCTTATTTCTATTTATAAATCAACGTTGAATGCACTCAGCTGAATGTAAACCTCGTTTAAGCTGTTATATAAATACATATATATTTATATTAAATATTTTTAAAATTATTTTTTCACGTGATTTTAAAAGTGATATGTTACCCATATGTATAACACTTTTTCATCCATCAATAGAAAATAATTAAAAAAATTAGATAACCAGTAGATAAAAAAATGGATAATTTAAGACCCAAATGGCAAGTTGTTTTGTCTTAATATTTTTCTAGTGGTTCCGGAAGTTATTAATTGAATGAACAAGAAAACTAATTGATTTAAAACAAAAATAATTTGATTGAAATTATGTTATATCTTATGAAAAATCAAATAGACCACATTGATATGGGAAAATAGAGTAGTTAGTGGTTTTGTTCCATAAAATAAGTAAAAATTAAGCATTCAGAAAAATTATTTCAACATAAAAACACATTTTAAACTAGATTAACCTCCAGAATGATAAACACAAGCCATCACAATTTTAAAAAAATTCCTATGACACGCTGCTATCAAGCGCGCTGTAAGATCACAAACAAGATGGCCAACCGTCAAGAGCTGAGTACACTTCCGCCGGAAACAAATGACGTCATTGTTTACAATGGCAACATTAATGCCGTCATTCAAGCTCAAAATATCTGATGCCGTGTGACAAATTTAGGGAATTCGGCCTTTTATGTCTATCAGCTTGTTTATTTTTTCATTGGATAGGAATATTGTAACAAAATGGAGCAATAAACTGTTTTAAAGAATGATCTATTAATGTTGTTTAATTTTGGTGTATGAGCTAAAAGCTACAAAACCCTGATAAAACAATAAGACTAAGCAACGAACGGAATAATTTGATAAACGTGTGGTACATGAATGGATGAATAGCATAGACGGCTTTCAAAAAATGATTCAAATAATTTTAAAAACCAGAAATAAAAATCAGTTACGTTAGAAATATTCATATCTAGTTCAGTGGTAGAGAAAGACTATGCCAATAAATTAGTTCTGCCTGCGGACGAATCGTTGGAAATTACTTTCCATTTACTTAAAACGAAAAAATTGTTCCATAGTTTGATGACATCTAGCGGAATAATCATTCTGAGAAGAAATTTTTTATCGTAAAAAGTTATTATCATACAAAAGTTTTTAGAAATAGAAATCTGATAAGTTAAGTACATAGGAAAAAATTTAGATTGAAACTTATACATCCATGTGCAAATTTTAGAAATTATTCGACATTTTATAGGCAGCCAATGCAAGAGAACAAGATAGTGAGATGAGATATACGAGGAAAGAAAGATAGGCAGACGGCAGTTATATTATTATTATTATTGCATAAACATTATTATCACCTTCGTCAGAATCAACTTTCTGACGACATGCTAACCATTATCGCGAGGAAAACAAACATTCGACAGACAACCAATCAGAATATTTCTCCGATAAAAGAGCAAATACTATTGGCCGTTGCAAAAAGTCGTCAGTCGTCATTGGTCGTCAGGTTTTGAACGAAGTATCAATTCATCATGTCCTCAATGTTCAGATAAGCTTTTTGAGTGATTTCGTCAACAAGATATGAGATGTATACTTTACTTACGCTATATGTGCAATCACATTCATAAAACAGGTTATACAACAGAAACTTATATATATATATATATATATATATATATATATATATATATATATATATATATATATATACATATATATGAACTTAAAGCAACAGAGTGTATGAAACAGAGTCCTCTCGTTGTACACATAAAATAAAGTGTGCACTGTGCAATAATACCCTGTGACAGAAAATAAATTATGTACTATCAACAACAGAAGTCTGTCTCCTCCTCGGATACTCTTTCTACATAAAAAGTAATTATTGATTTTATCGTCTAAGTAGATGTAGTCATTCGTTTTTAGTTCTTTTTTTTGAAGTTTTGTTTTGAATAACGAGTTATGACATGATGTTTATGACGTTCTGAAATATTAAGTAGGTATTGAAATGAAGCGACAATCAATGTTAATTAGATGAATTGAATAAATTATCTTTACAGCAATGCTTTACTTAAAAAAATCGCAACCCATCCTCTCCGATGTCACACACAAAATGCATCCCCAACTGCTTCAACAAACACAACAACAACAACAACAACAACAACATCAACAAATTCAACAACATCTTCAACAATGTTTCGAACTAGATTTGTCAAACCAGCCACCTCCGGCTCACCAGCACAACTACAGCAACAACATCAACACACGCATCAACAACCTTACTTTCGAGAAAAAACTGGATAATCATAAAAGTTTTAACGTCGAATCGAATGAAGCCCACAAAGTTAATCAGACTGAGGGAGGGAAAAATTTCGAATCAAATTTGAAGTTTCCATGGATGAAGACGACGAAATCTCACGCCAAACAATGGAAATCTAATTGGATTGGTCGGTATATTTATTATTGAATGAATTCATTTTTGTAAGAGTTACTTTTTATGACTTTAACGAGACTGTGGAAATGTTATATTGAAATCTGATACCACGCGTCTTATGGAAATAAGAATTTTATACAAGTTGGACAAATATTTTTTTTTTATAAAATTTTACTTCTTCATTAATCGAGATGCTGAAGTTTAAATTTAAAAATTTGATAGATTTAAAATAGCATGCATTAAAATTGGGTTATAGTTTCCAACTAGTGAACCATATTTTTACGAAACTTATTTTTTTATTGATTTTTCCACTGTTTTTAAATGAAAAAATTAGTATAAAGAGATTTACAGAAGGCAATAAGATGTTTCTTGAAATTTAAATTTTACAATTTTGAAATTGTTAAAATATTCTTAAAAACTGGACATTTTATATAGAAATTCAATATTATTATTAATTAGGAAGGAATTATTATCCTTGACTTGTTGTGTAGCAAGTTGACTTTTATGAGAGCAACGACACAAATAATACATAATTTTAAATCTGGAAAATAGCTCTTCAATGAAACTGATATACTCCACTTTTGTTTTTTATTTGTTCGCTCTGGTTTTTCATAACATGGGACCGTGTTTCTATCTGAGTATTAGCATACAAAATGCATCCAACATGCCTGACGTGGAGCAAGGCTTCAGAAGTTTTGGTAGTCTCAATCCAATAGTTTCTTGGCACTGTGTAGTCAATTTTCGTGTTTCAATTCAAAGATACTTACAATTGTTTTTAGATTACAAAGTGCTCGTTTAAAAGTCATTATCGTCCGAGATGTAAATAAAAAATTATAAAAAATTAATTCGGATTAGTTAAAAATTATTTGTCTAAAAAATGAGATTTGTGAAAAATTTATCAAATTGTTTGTGATAATTATGATAAAAATACTATAAATTGAAGGCATGATAGCAATCATCGACAACAGATCTAATGTTTAGCAAGTTAATTATATACAAAAACTCTTTATAAATTTTAAATTTTGCTTTGATAAGCAATTATTTGAACTTGAAATTAAATTTAAGGTTAGGCCCTAAGAAGGAACGGGCTTTACGATTTTACTTTATATTTATTTAGAAACTAAAAACAACAAAAATTTCGAAATATTTAGCTACATAAAAATTAAATAAAATGTAACACAGACCCTATATATCTATGGGATGATACAAACATGACAAAAACACAATACAAAATGATACAAACATGATACAAACACGATGCAAACACGATACAAACGCAATACAAACATGACATAAACACGATACAAACACAATACAGGCATGATACAAACATGATACAAACACGATACAAACACGATGCAAACATAATACAAACATGCTACAAATTTGATACAAACATTAACATGTGAATGTGCATCTATACGTACGGGTTGTGGATGACGAGCGATGACATCTTCAAGTGGGCTATTCACGATAACAAACCACCTTATCACTTGTTCGATGGCTTTATCGCTTGCATTGGCAAATAAACGTTGACACATGTTTTGCAATATAGGCTTCTACTATGCATACATAAATGTGTGTGTTGTGTATGTGTGTATTGTATATGTGTGTGTTGTGTATGTGTGTGTTGTGTATGTGTGTGTTGTGTACGTTTCATATTATAATTAATGTGTATAATTATTCATTCATTAAATTTCTAATGAGTTTGTATATATGTGTATATGTGTTTTATTTTGTTCTGGCCAGTAAATACAATTACCAATTTGTCATTTTACATATTTTAAAATTTTTTTAGCTCGTGAAAAGTAGTGAATGATATTTTTCACATTTTGGTTAGTATATTAATTAGTTTCCAAATATGATCGGATGACGGAATGCAATATGTCAACTTTGAAACGAGAGATTAAAAATTTAAAATACATATATATCAAATCATTCAGACTATGTAGGTATATTTCTTAAATGGTTATTCATTTTATCAAAAGTAGAAAGCAAGTAATCAAAGAATCATACCTGAAACATAATCTAAACTTTTAAAATAAAATCGAAATAGGTAAATAAAAATTCTCGCTGAAAACTTGGTTACTTCCATTTCTCATATGTCGAGAGAGGTCTTTTAAGTAAAATTCTGAAGTGGATTAAAAATTTGATGACAATTAGACATCAAATTATCACCAAGTTTCGCCATCATTTTCCGTCTCATCATCACCATTTTCCACAGCCTGCCATAACATTAACAACAAAATATTTCACCATCACACGTTATTAATTTGCAAGCCTACTTCACGGTGGGCACTTCACGCTGACGCGCTCATTAATCATGTACCTTGTATTTTGTAATTTACTACCTGATTGGGATACACGCTCTTCTGTTTTATTTTCAATCCAAACCCGTAAATGATTTTTTTTTTGATTTTTCGTTTTTTCTTATTTCTAAGTTTAAGTTAGGTAAATAATTCTACCAAAATTCCATCCGTATTTATTTATTAAATCGTTTAATTGCTGTCAGGATGAACAAGTTATTGTATAATATGGATTGGAAATTCGTAGCAGACAATGAGAGCCGAAATTTGTTTCTAATAATCTAACATCACTAGCAAAATATGTGTAAAACTAGTTGAAATAATTTTGAAATATTTAAATTTCAGGCGCTGATGTGCACATATTGGACGACAACAAAAGAACTCGCACAGCTTACAGCAGGTCACAGCTTCTGGAATTGGAGAAAGAGTTTCATTTCGATAAATACATTTCAAGACCAAGAAGAGTGGAACTGGCTTCATCTCTCAATTTGACTGAACGACATATTAAGATCTGGTTTCAAAACCGTCGAATGAAATGGAAGAAAATGGAGGCAGGCAAAATCACTTCAACTACTGCAAACAATTTTGAAGGTGCTAATGTACACTTCAGTCCAAAAAATGCTTCTAACCATGCCAGCAATTTTTTTGGTAGTGCTGACACTTCAATTTCGAGTCCAAATTTCAACAATAAAACTGGTGAAGGTAACTCGACCTTTTCTCAAATCAACTTAGTCAGTAAAGAAATTGAGCTTCCTGTCAGAAAGATGGGACAGGAAATATACAACTTGGAGACATCCGGCGGAAGTGGTGGGCTGGTCAACGGTCACGTGGCAATCCATTCGGCAGATACTTCGGTCAGTGCTCTTTCAGGTGGAACAAGATTTCCTTTCACTAGAGATCAATTCGGCAGTTCTGACGAATCAACAAACGAAACTAACTAAGATTGCGCGTCTAACATTTCTTGTTTCTCTTAAAATTTTCTGTGTTTCTAACACGAAATTGTATATGACGGCGAACCATCTCTATCTTAAACAAATTACTAACTGTGAATGAAAACCTAAACTATGTTGACGAATCTTGAAAATTGTTCTCTATCTATATTTTAAAGCGAATGTGCATGTGAATAAGTTGTAACACTTAATCAACAGAATGAGTAACCCGAAGTCTTCCGAACGAACGTGTCGTTCTTATTTGACGATAATTTTTGTTGTACACCAGCAAACGGCCATATGGAAGATTTAATCATTGATTTAACTGCTCATTTATTAAGTCTTAGAACTGCGTGCACGTTCAAAAAATTATTCGCTCATTTGCATCGTTCATTTTAAAATCAAAAAATTTTGCGAACGTTGAGAATTTCTTGGATAGAAGCAAAACTGAGTATGAATAAAATAGCCTACCATTGAAAGCAGTGTGCAAAATGTGAATTTCACGTAAATAATCCCAATTACATTGAAATCGGCGTCATAAACAGTTTTTTTTTCAAAAATCAACAACAAACACTCTTTTTAAATTGTATTTTTCAACTGAGAGTTACATCAAATCCATGTATAGTGCATATAATATTGTTTTGGTTTAATCTTCTTCTTTCAAAATTGCCTCAGGACAAAGGGAACTGAAAACAATAAATTAGGATTAAGTTATTAAAACATAAAAATAATATAGACTAACTGTAACTTAGCTAACTAGTATCTCAAACCAGTTATTTTAAAATTTTTAGATTTTAAACTGGAAATATAAAAAGCCATAGACACTTTTTAAAACATCAGTAAACACATCTGCAAACAGAACTGTAAAGCAAAGAAGAAAGTAGTGATTTGTCTTCACAAAATTATTTTTTAGATTTTCGTCCACTATTTAACCTTATCATTGACCTTTACACATTTTTAGAAAAAATATAAAAAACAGTAATAAATTAATCTTGTCAAACTTTTCCTAGACCAAGCTTCATTTCAGAAATGATAAATAACTATGATAATTTATGTAGACCAAGAAACAATCCTAAATTTTTAAAAGAATTTCAAAAGAAAGAATTGAACTAGAAAAGTACCTTTTTAAACCAAAGTGTTTTTTCTTAATTAGCGTTTGCATTATTTTCTATTTATAAAACTTTTCAGGTCGTCCTCGTTTTGTAATTGATTATAATTAATTTCAGTTACAAACAATCATCTACACTACAGACTAGAAAATAAGCTCACTCACAATCACAAGTCACTGATTAAAAAATAAAAAAACAAGTGCACATAGTCAAGAAAGAAGGATTTTTAAAAGGATAAACAACACAAACTAAAAAATTTTTAGTTAGTGTTGTTTATCCTTTTAAAAATCATTCTTTGTTTTTAGTAAAAACATATCTGATACCAGTACTGTAAAAAATTATCTGTACATAATACATAAAATATCTGTACATTACATACTGTACATGATTATGCTTATGTGAACAAAAGCAAAACACATCAAATCATAAAATCGTCATATAAAATACAAAAAAAAATAACAGGTAAAGGATGCACGTGTTTCTTGCAGGTTACATGAATAAAATTAAAAATAAAACCTAAGTCCTAAATGAAAAGATGGCTAACTTGATCTTATGACGGCCACAGTAGCAACGAAAAGGATGACACTTCCTTTGATGACCTGTTTGGCCGTCTCCTCTTCTACCTGGCATGCTGCCGGATCTTTTGGCACACCCCTAAACATGATGAATTCGTAATATTATATAAAAAACAGTACAACGTTGTTGAAAAAACTTTTTAATAACTTGAAGTTAGCAACGATGACTGACCATAGCATATGAAAAAATGTTATATACTTCTTTAAATCTATGTATTATTTATTATACATATTTAAATCTGCACGCTAAATTTTAGCATTGGAATATTATAAAATTTAAACTATATTATTTATTTTAATTTATTACCTAAATTAAAAATGAAAAAGTAATATAGTAATGCAAACTTTTCCAATTTCTGTACTTTTATAGTTCAAATTCCATAAAATCACAAGATTTGAAGTAAAATTCCATTTTAATCATTTACCTGAAATCTAAAATAAACGACAATGTTGTCAAGTAAATTTGAATTTCCGAGTTATTATTAAAAAAGGTTCATAAATTCTTTTTGATTTGTCAAACTTTTATTTTAATGTTTAAATTAATTCTTTTTAATCATTAATCGCGGTTTCAACTGTCAATGTCTGAAAATAAATAGTTAAACTTAAAATGCTTGGTTGTCATGATGGTCCTATACATTGTAATGAGTCCTATACATTACAACACTCTTTTTTTTATATATTTATTTAAAAAATGTCATTAAAAATTCATTTAAAAAAATGTTACGTAACAATGTTAAGTCAATATTTTTAGTTTAATAAACGTTTGTTTTTAAGTAAGTTAAATTCACATTATAAAAACTAAACTAAAATTAATAAGCAAAACACTGAAAACACTAAAAACAGCAATTGCTATCTATTGTAATTGCTTATTAATTATTTAAATTTATTATTGCATTCAGCTGTTGGTTGAGGAGGTTGAGTAAATCAAATTTAAATTTACATAGGTTTTATTTTTATTTAACTTTTAAATTTTGATACTACTTTGTACACAAACACATATATCATAACGTAAAAGCAAAAATATAGATTATCAAATGCCATTCACAGATGGATGGAATTTAAAGAAAGAGTGAGCACATTTTTATCCTCATGTTTATACATAATTTTATTTCCATTAAATTGAACATTATCCAGAAAATTCTTGTAAGGAAAATTGAAAAGACCAACTTTAAATGATTAATAATTTAATACCATCAATTTGATAGAATTCTTACAATATTGTATAAAATATGGTCTCCTTCCAATATATATAATATACTATATATATATATATATATATATATATATATATATATATATATATATATATATATATATATATATAATTATAATATGCATAATATATACATGTAGAATGTGTACTTGTATGTCATATATTTATAGATAATAGACTATATTACCTAGTATATTGGGAAAATTCATAATTTTAGAAGTCCTATTGCATTAGCGTTCATTTTTTGGAAGCTTTATAAAGCCTAGCAATACCATTTAGGTAGAGGAAAAAAAGCTAAATTCACTGACAATAAAAATTTGTTGTTTTAAATGTTAACGATAGTTCTATCCGGTTAATATTAATTTCTAGCTTTCAAGTTTGCCATTTGCAATCATTTGTAAAAGCATTCAGTTTGTTTAAATGTAACTGGCAAATGAACTGAAAGTTTAAATTTTCTGTTTTTCCTTACTTGTGTTTATTTGTAATTGTACGGTCATTTAATAATTGACCATTACACCATCGTTCTACTATCTTTCAGTATATTGATTGACATATACTTTCAACTTTCAAAACTATTCAACAATAAATTAGGCAAATTAAGATGTCATTCCAGTTGTTTGCCTGGTGCATGTCGTTCTTTCTCTTGCTCTGTCAGAATGTGCATGGCTACTACAACATCAGTGTGAGTGGAGGGTATGGAAGGTCTTTTGATGGGATTGGTGCAATTAGTGGAGGAGGGGTAGGTTTACGTTTGTCAATGTTTGTTTGTTTGTCTATGTCAATCTGTCTGTGTCTGTTGCTGTTTGTTTGTTTGTTTGTTTGTTTGTGTTTGTTTGTGTTTGTATATGTTTGCATTTGTGTTTGTGGCCGTTTGTTTGCATATGTTTGCATTTGTTGCTGTTCGTTTGTATATGTTTGTATCTTTTGCTGTCTGTTTATTATTGTTTTACTTAGTTTTAGATAATTTTTTAATCATTTTCTAACTTTTAAATGTGTATAAGTTCTGATCAGTCATTTATATTTCGATTCACAATGTACCTACGCCGTAGAATTATATCCAGTAAGATATCTATCTACATATATATATCTATATATAGATATATATCTAGTAAGTTTCTATAGCTTGTTGGTGATACATGTTATGTTCAAATTCACAAGTGAAAAATTTCCATCTTGATTGAGGTTGTTTCAATGAGGTTGTTCTTTTTTCCCTTCAGTATGCAATATTGCTTAGATTACAATTCTCAAGGTTTTTGATTTTATTGATTGATTGGATTAAAGTAATTTATATTTTAGTGTGGTGTGAAATGTTTGCAGGCTACCAGCAAACTTCTGGTCAACTACCCTCCGAAGCAAAGAGATGAGATACTGGACTATCTCTTCAAGGTTCACCTTTAATTGTGTGGCACTTCAATTTTCATTACATATATTTTTAATTCTTGCAATTGTTGATTTTACCAAATAATTTTTTTACTGTTGAATGTTAATAGGCAGCCAGTAGGTTAATTAATTTTTCTGTTTTTCTTAAAAAAATATTTAAAAAAATGAAAAAAAATTTTATAAATGTTGAAATTTGGCAGCCAAACTTTGCAGCTTCATTGCACATCTTGAAAGTTGAGATTGGAGGTGATGCCCAGTCAACTGGTATGCTATTTCCTTTTTCTTCTTCTCATATTTCCACACACACACACACACACACACACACACACGCACGCACACACGTACACACGCGCACACACACGCACACACACACAAACAATCACACATACACAGAAAGGTAAGTTTTTACAAAAAAAAGGGATGATTGAATCGTTATGATTAACATCACTAGCATTAACATTATTATTTTTCATGCTCTATACACTACCATATCATAATCATATTCATCATTTGCCATAATTCTTAACTGGAGTAGGCAAACTTTTTAATGCCACGCATATGTACAATGTATTAGCATCAGCATATAATTTACACAATGGAATTTAATTTTAAAAGTAGTTATTAGATAAAAAAATTTCTCTTACTGATAATAGTTGCAAAACTATGTATTTTATCTGTCTTGCTCTCTATTTTTAGCTTTCCCTGGTTAACTTTTAAAACACTTTTATCATCGTAATCGTCATAAGATCAAGTGTAGAATTATCATTCTTGAACTTTTGTTAAGTGCTATATAGATGCAATCTAATCTAATCACATTTGTTTGATTATTTTATCATGTGACTCTTACCTTGTTGGTTCGTTCGAAGATATAAGACAAAAAGATGTTTTATGGTTTATAATCTTTCGTACAGTTTTCTACCTAGATCTCGAGATGTTTTACTGTTCGGATTTCATTGTACAGTCTCTTGTATGTTTTTAATGTTCGTTTGTATAAGAAATGTTTCATTGGCTGCGTCATCAACAGTGAGATGGTGTTTGTTTACTGAATAGAGTTTTGGAATTTGGAAGTTTTTTTGAAAATTAGAATGTACAATTAGTAATTTTTCTTCGGTTAGCAGTTTATATCATTTCGTTTTATTCATTTCGGTTTTTGTTTGATTTGATTCGACTGAATAAACAATTTTTAAATAATTTATAAAGACAGCTCATACCAAACATCTTGCTTTCTTTTTTGATAATTCAAGCTTTCATTGATATGAACAGGTGTTTATGATTTTATTATTTTCACCAAAAAAATTTGTTCCTTTTTTAAATTTTTAATCATTATTATTTTAATATAAAATGTCGAAGAATTTTTCATCTCGTGAATGTTATTACTCTGTTTTTAAATTAGGTTTTATCGGTTTTGATAACTTCAAGTGGTGATAAATTATAAATGTATGATATACGACTCTTACTGATTTATCACTATCTCGATAACTCTCTTTAAAAATGTTGACCATAAACCACTGTTGAATGGGACCAGAATGATATGCATTTGATAAGATTTGTTTAAAATTAATTTTTTTAAAATATTGGTTAAATTGTATAAATGTTCTTTTCTGCCATTTTGAGGCGCTATAATTTTATTTTCTAGGCTGTTTTCTTTACATAAATCAATAGAGGTTAATGTTGAAATGATGTCACCTTACTTTTTGTTAATGACTTTTGTTTGTTGCAACTAACTACGCCTGCTTGCTATATCACCTGTGCATGCTGATGAATAAATCTTCTGTGTGTATAGATTAGACTCACCAGAAACCATCATGACGCTATGCAAAATTGTTATATATGGTTGTATACATTTTTACCGTCAATTTAAGCTAAAGGACTACTGTTGTTTTTTAGTTGTTTTTTTCATGTTAAAATTATGATCCAGATACGAGAATTTTACACAATATTCCAACTTCTCTACGAAAGAAATCACTTATTGGTCTTCAAAATGAGCTGTAGTTGAAACGTTGAAAAATTGACTGTTGAATTATCAGTAGACTACATTTTGACGTTAACTGTAACGTTGTGATAAATCAGTACAAGTGCCAATCTTAACCATACAGACGGCACTGAATCATCACACATGCATGAAAGTTGGGATGAGAACTATGAAAGGGGGTACGAATGGTGGCTGATGGTTGAGGCCAAGAAGGTCGGTTTAATTAATTTTCATCTCGATGTAATGGAAGTGAAGTTTTATTTTTTAATTATGGGAGGAGTGAAGTTTCAGTCTGTCTTGATCCCAATTGCGATGATGTTGTAACAGTGTATAGGGGTGTTAAATGATTATCAATTTATTTTTTTATATTTCACGTTAATAAAAAACTCCAGAATATTAACTAACTACCCATAACTAACCACACATCCTGTCTGCCATGCAGAGAAACCCTTCCATCAAAATAGCCTGCTTGCCGTGGGCTTTCCCAGGCTGGGTGGGTGAGGGCAAACCCGACCCGTACAACAGGCCCAACACTACGGCAATGTACGTCGTTAAGTGGATACTGGGTGCAAAGAAATATTACAACATCGATGTTGACTACGTTGGGGTGGGTTGTTGTTGCTGCTGTTGTTGTTGTTGTTGCTGCTGCTGTTGTTGTTGTTGCTGTTGTTGTTGTTGCTGTTCTTGTTGTTGCTGCTGTTCTTGTTGTTGTTGTCATTGTTGTTTAAATCATTTCATAGTTTACTTGACAAAAAATATTTTGAAAATCATTTTTTTTTTCGTTTTTCATGGCTCATTACATTCTCCTCCGTGGACTCGTTGAGTCATAAAGATGAATCATAAAATTAAAGTTGAATTAAATCTAAATCAGAACTAAATTTTAAAAATCCTTCTCATGCTCACTAAGATTCTCACTGTTGGACTTTGGCATTAAAACGTGAATGTATATATGTAAAGTAAATTTATTTCAATGTTCAACTTAAATTAATCAATAGATAAACAAATTATTGTTATAAATAAGATTGAAGTTGCCAAGCATTTCTGACGTGGTTTGCATTTTTACGCCGCAATTTACTATTTATCGTTTCCTAGAATTGGCTGTAATTCTTTTTTCCTCCAGATCTGGAATGAGAGAAGATACACCACGGAATATGTGAAGGTAAGGAGATATTCATTTCATTCATTCATTTCGACGGTCAATGTTGTATGTGTTCAAATAAAAGTTTTTAAATCATTAAGATAGTCAGTGAAAGATGAAATTTTTTATTTTAAATTCTCTCTTTAATATTTTTTAGCTGTGAAAAGCAACAGGCATACACTCAATGTTTGCAGATACACGCACACATTGCATATGATCGACCGGGATCTGCTTGTAATCGAATCTGGTCACTGCAATAGCATTGCCAAGCACCTTAGCCATTACACTATCAAGCTGTTCAATATATTAAATGGCGTTTCATGAAAATAACGAAAAACTTTGAGAATTGTACAAGCAATAATATAATACTTTTATAATTATATAATTTTTTATTTGATTTTATAGCTGATAATAGGATATAATTGAAACAGGTCTTGAAGCAGCTGCTGTTGGCAAACAACTTGAAAAATGTCAAGATGGTGGTTGCCGATGGCGACTGGTCGGTCAGTGCTGACATCATGAAGGACCCCGCTTTTGCTGCTGTTGTGGACGTCATAGGGTCAGTTGGGGACGTTAATATTATTATAGTATTATAATTAATATTATTATTATTAATTAAAATAAATAAGTTTATAATTGTAAAGGAGGTAATGTAAAGTGTTTGAATCAGGCAAGTTATTGTAATAAAATGTAAGTTGTTTGCTAAAAATAAGTCAGTGAATCGTCATATTGTCTGTATTCGCAAGCAGGAATGACGCACCTAAAATTTCCCACTTAGGCTATTGTGTGGTTATATTCCACTTCGAAATTTTTAATTGCTAAAATAAAATTTGTGATATCCAATTTATAGAGTTTAATAAATACCACTTCTGAAAGCTTGTGTGATAATAATGTTATATTATTCTCTCTTTTTGACTACCAAGTTGACATCTTTAAGCAGCTCATATTGTTTCTATTTTATCTTGACTTTTTCATATTTTAATTAGAAAATTTTGAATCAGTCACGAGTTATCTTTTTATCTTCCTGGTCGCAGTAGAATGCCATCTCCGTTCTATTTGCAGGGCACACTACCCTGGAACTGAAAGCACGGAAGATTCCCAGAAGACGAACAAAACGTTGTGGGCCTCTGAGGACTACAGTACCTTCAATGATGACGTAGGAGCCGGATGTTGGGCTCGAGTCAGTTCACATTTTTTGTTTGTTTGTTTATCTGTCTGTTTGCTTGTTCGTACGTTCGTTTCTTTGTTAGTTGGTAGAATGTTTCAAGTAGTAGAAGTTTTCTGCGTTGCTCTGAGGTTTTAAATTTTAGAAGTTCGTTTTGTTTTTAGTCAGTTTGATGTGTAGCTCCATTGATTGGTTTTAAGGTTGGTTTGACCTTAGTTAATGCTAAAAATGGTACGGGAATTTCCATGAATTATACTTCATAAAACGCCATAGGCAAAAATCACTTCAATGAAAATATTATATAGTAAATAACGTGATAAAATTTTGTCAAAATAATTTTGTCAAAATGTTGATTAAAATTGATACTTCTGAAGCTGCTGAACAGAAATTATGTGAAAGGACTTATGACCAGGTGACAAAATATATGCTTTTGGTTTCTCATTCATAACTTCAATCAGTTATTGTCTGAATATTGTTATTGTTATTTACCAACACTAGTTTTACTATTCTCACGTCCACAAGTCAATTATTTGTTTAAAATGAACAACTACCAATTTTACCAACCAATCGATCAAGATACCATCCAACCAACCAACCGACCAACCAACCAACCGACCAACCAACCGACCATCCAACCAACCAACCATCCAACCAACCATCCAACCAACCAACCGACCGATCATCCAACCAACCAACCAACCAACCAACCAATCAACCAATCGAAATGCAGCACGATAGCCTGGAATTTGGTGGCCAGCTATTACGACGCACTCCCCTACACGAGAGACGGACTGATGACTGCCAACGAACCTTGGAGTGGCTATTATGAGGTGGCCAACCCCATCTGGGTCACAGGTCAGCGTGATTTTTTTTTGAGTATTAGAAACGTTTTTAAATGTATTCTCTAATAGCGATTTTAAATCTTTCCAATATTATCATAAATATTCCATTTCCTGTAAAATCCTTATTTAGCCCACACGACTCAGTTCACGAAGATAGGATGGAGGTACCTGAAGCATGAGTCGGGTGTGGGTCATTTGGAGAGGGGGGGTACCTACGTGACCCTCATCAGCCCCGATAACAAGGACATCACCATCATCATTGAAACCATGGTCTGTGTGTACTCATATCATTTGAAAAAGGAATGGCAATCTCCGTACTGTTTATATTTTTTACTTATATCTTCCAGATTGAGGCACTTGTTAAATTTAAATTAAAAACTCTGTCTGGAAGATACAAAATAAGATTAAAAAAAAGTGGAGGTCTTTGTGCCTTTGTTTCATGTGGTGTTGTGTCGCATTGAAGTTATGTTGTGCGTCTGGTTAGGTATGGAGCGTTGTGGAATGGTTATTTCTATGCGTTGGTAATTTTTTCCAGTGATTTTTGGGTGATTTCTTCTTTTTTTCGTTTTGACCTGACGTTGTCGTTTTTTTTTTTCATTAGATTTATTTCTGACTTTTTTCTTAATTTTTCATTTTAGCTATTGTTTTTCAATTAAATACCATTTACACGTAACACACGCAGACGTACAACTATACTCTATTTGCACTTATCATCTAACATACGCAGACGTACAACCATTCCAAGTGCATCAGACCGAGAATTCCCAAGTATGAAGTGTTTAGCCAGCAGGCAGAGTTCTTTTTTAGTGGAATTTTGGTTGGTTTGTTTATTATTAAAACAGTGATTTCATTTCTGTTCAGTTTACTATTTAAGTTTCGCATGCCATTATGGAAAATTTTTAATAAACTACCGGCTTAAGTTAAGTTTTACATGTCATTTTACGGAAACTGTTCAAATAAAGTGCCCGCTTTAGCTATTTCTGTTTTGTTATAATTCGCAAAATATTATGTTTCTTACCCTATAAATGTGATAGGAAGGGTAACATGGGCATATATAGTCATTTTTATGGGATTCTCAGGAATTTAGACAGTTCTGAAATTTTGTATCTAGGCGTTGCATTTTATTTCCTATTTTCTTCAGAGCGGTGTAACGAAATTGAATCGCTGGAAGAGTTCCTTCAAGTACGGACTTGGTGAGAAATCGAGTGTGTTCGTGAAGATGGAGCCTATTAAGGTTCGCGAATTTCTTTTCGTGACTGTGAATGAACCATGGTAAGTGCTGCTAAATTGTGAACGGCAAATTACAGTGGAATATTTTATTGTTTCTTTTTGCCATTGTATTTTTTTTACAATTCTTCGTTTTAGTATTTCTTGAAAGTGTCAACAACAAACATGCGGTGAGTGTAAATAAATACATGTGAATCAACGCTAAACTGGCATCTTTTTGCAGTCAAACCTAGTCACTGCAACAGCAATGCCAGGCACCTTAACCATTACGCTATAGCGCCGACGTAAACATTTTTATATTTTTCCGACAGCATAATTCCCATTTTTGGTAACAAATAAGTTGTTAATGTTATGCCGCACAGTGTAACATGCGTTTTTTTTATACCTAACTGAAATTTAGATTGGATTTTGTCGTTGTTTAGCGTCTTCAACGTAATGTATGTTTGATTCTAAATGTCGTAATTTTCAAGGTTTCTCTTTCAAGTTTTCGCCTGTCACTGGAGCCTGATGAAGTTTACACGCTAACAACGTTGGAGGTCGGTGTCAAAGGTCAATACGGCAGCCCACCTCCTTCTCAGAAGTTTCCTCTACCTTACTCCGATTCATATACAAGTTCGTAGCGCTTTGTCAATGAGTATTTAAAGTTCTGGTTTTAATCATTTTATTACCAGAAATAAATTTTTATTAATTTTGTTAGTAATGTATGTATGTAAAATGTAAAACTTTTCATTATCAGAGACGAGAACTACGTAGAAATCAATGGATAATGTTAAACAACAATCGTAATATAATAAGTGAAGAAAAACTAACCGGAGGAAACTTTAAACAATATTAACAGCTAATTAAGACTATAATGTAAGTCAGACTAAAAGTCAGCAGGGAATAACATAACATATCGCAAAACAACGATACCAAAACAGACTATCCACATTATTCGGAGGCCTTCAATTTCGTGCCCCAATGTGGAGTTTGGGAGGTCAGACCCGCCTATGACGACCCTAAAAATAAGGTCAACAGACAGGTGATAATCACCAAGTAATTATTTGTTTCTTATTTGTTCATTTGCTTCTGTTTAAATTGTTGAATGATTGGTCGGACTGACTGAACAATAGATGAGCAATTACAGACATGCATACACAACAATTAATATAAAATATAATTGCGAAATGATGCGTGGTTATTATGAAGGTAACACACACACACACACACACACACACACACACACACACACACACACACACACACACACACACACACACACATATGCATATATATATATATATATATATATATATATATATATATATATATATATATATATATATATATATATATATATATATATACATATATATATATATATACATACACACATATATATGACATATA